TTCCGACCACGGTGCCAGCCCCTTCCTTCCCCTAGTGTACATGCGCAGTTATGGACTCGTAACTTACCTATTTTCCTCAATAACGTTATCACTAAAAAATTGGGTTCGCCTTAACTACCTATTTCGTTGCCACACCAACCTTCAAGGAACATCACTGCGTACAAGTTATAACGACGCTGTCTCCCAGGGCAGCTCACCTTTCTCGGCAAATGACGGGACTGCTTTTTCACGTATTCGTATACTCTCATCCCAATCAGGAGCGCGCCCTCTCCAGCCGCCGCCGCGATCTTGGATGAGCCCTGTCACGCCCGCTGATGCAACTGTCTCTTTTGGGGGGCTTTTGATGGGAGAAGGAGGTGGGGAGAGTCAGCCCCAAAGCATGGGCTCTGGAGAATGGAAAGTCAGCGAGCCTAGCTTTGGCTGGGGGGATCCTGGGGCTTCCGGGGTCCTGGAGCCCTGCGAATCAAAAAAGATGTGCGGCTCAGCGCTTGATTCGACACCGTGGGCGAAGGACACCATCACAAACGACACCGGCCCACCGCCCCTCGCTTGCTTGGGCGATTTTATGGCATCTGATCGTTGACTGCAACCCCCTGTTCACCTGCGGGGTGGTTGTTGACTGCTTCGCGTCCTGCGAAGCTGACTGCACTGTCGTGATTTGGGATTGTAAGACAACAGCCCGCAATGTCAACAAGACAAAGTGGAACCTATTCGAGGAGCTGAGGGCGCGATCTTGCCGGCGATGCCGCAGTTGTGTCGATCGAGGGAGATGGTCTGATGAGGCGGCAAGATGGGCAACGAACGCCTTTGAGACATCTCGCTTCGCCGACCGTTAGGGCGCGTCCGCGGTTCTTTGCCATCATCAATCGCGATCCCGCTGGACCGAGAATGTCGAGATTCACGAGTGAACATTTGGGGTATACACTACGTATTGCAATCCGGAAGACGATCTCAGATCTGAGGCGACACAGTTGACCGAAAGACTCAAAGAAAGCAAGGAATAAACCCTGAGACCAAGAAGGAAGCAATCACGGAGGCTGCCAACACGCCCTAGTGGGTTCTCGGAACCGTGCTCTATCAACAGTACTCTCCGATGCCGTGACTTCCCGTCTGGGATGCACCTGCAGATGCTCTTCGAACAGCGAGTTCAAACATGGGTGGTCGTCACCTGTGTGCCACTACGCAGCGAGGAGAGTCAGTCTCCTGACTCTTCAAGCACATAGTTTTCCGTCCCTCTCAGAGAAAACTTTAGAGTTCTTAAGCCAAAGATCCCTGGTGCGACATCCGGCCAGTCGTTGGGTGTTCACCTGCTGCAGAGGCCAAATCGAAATCCCCTTCATTGACCAGCATTACTTGAGACAGGCAGCAAATGGCCCAGGTACCGTTCCTACTTGGCAAGGGGAGTGCGGGCGCGTTGCTTCACCGTCATTTGGCCATGGGTGGAGTCGAGGAGACAGAGGGCGAGACTAGTGCAAATTCAGATTTTGTGCTCTCTGAAATGGAATGGGCTGTTCATCGAGACCCAACAAGCTGTGACGGAAAGGGGGGGAGGGTTTGGAGTGCATGAGACCAATTCACAGGCCGTCTTCTAGCGCCCGGGCTTGTCCTTCTCGAAGTCATCCAACGGGTCTCTCCTCGCCCATTTTTGGGCGCCATGTACCCCAACATCCCCCTTCGAGGTCGGACTAGCTGTCCCTCTTGGACAGACAAAGCACAATGGACCCAACCTGCCGGTGCAACAGCGAGTTTCCAGAGGGGAATCGTCAGGGAGTTGCGCTAGGCCTGATCCTCACTACCACAACCAGCCACGCGGTGTCAACCATCGGAGTGTTATGAGCACTCCCCCAAACCTCGACACGCAATCAAGGGGGATCCATGCCAGCCCCCCTCACCAGGATGAGTTGGCTCTCCGAAGTACCTCTTCGCGGAAACCCTATGATGGGCGATTTCGGTGAAGATGGAGAATTGGAGATCCACTATGGAAAGGTCCGGATGGGAAGCGGGGGCCGGCGGCGTTGTGACGAGTGAGAGAAGCATCCCACGGGAAGAAAGCTCAACTGTCTACTCTGCAGACATGCAAAGTGAACCGGTGAGTAAGTCGAAGAAAATGAACAAACGAGGATATTCCCGTTGATGCGAACCATCCAAGGGGAAGAAGGCAAAGGGACCGCCGAAACAACGGCAACAGAGCGACGGCACATACCGGTGGCTCAGCACAGCAGCTCGACCATGTCCAGCTGACGCTTTACGCGGCCCCCTCCTTCTTTCGTGCGCCGTTGACGCCTCTCGTTCAGGGCATCATCGATCGATCTTCAGCGGGTCAGTGCTAGCTGCCGATGTGTTGACCCACGCAACCAGTAGCCCCCTTTTCCTCCTCCACGGGTTTTGTTCAACCAGCCAGTGGCGTCTTTCCGTGTTTACGTGAAGATAGTTAGATGGGCAGATAGGCAGATGAACTAGCCCAACAGTGGAGACGGCGCCCCGTCGATCTCAAAGGGCGGCTTCCAGCTATTTGGTCAGGCCCACGGCCCGGTCGTGGCCACGACCACTCTGCGCGGATCCGTGGTCCTTCCTGCCTCCAGGAAAGTACCCGACGCGTCTACGGCTCATGAGAGCTCAAGTCTTTTGATCCGAGACAGGGCAACAGCCCATCCCCCTTCAGTCTAGATGTCGTGGCTGTGACTTTTTAATGAGGAAGAGCGAGGTTTCCCGGGAAAAGACACCAACCCAGCCCATCCCGACGACAGGTCCAAGAAAATGGGGGAAGTCGAGTAAACCGAGGACGATGATTGTGGATCCTCCAGACTCTGGTTTTCAGGTATCAAAACAGTCAGCGCCCGACTCACGACCTCCTCACCTCCAAGCAGAGGGGGACATCATTCCGAGGAGATCTTCATTAGTACCCATCTTGGGAGTACACGCAGCGGCTGACAAGTGGTCTGCGTGGCCCATGGTGCTTAGTGAGTGGTGGCGCTCGGCAGACCTACTTCTCGTTCCTGGGCTTGGTCCCCATGCATGACTTTCCCGTGGCCTGTGTCCAAGGGCCGGTGGGAAGCTGGTAACAAGCGAAGTACGCGCGAGATAAGTTGAATGAGACCATAGCGGAGTACTATCGGATAAGAGTTCGTCAGTCCCGGTTGGCTTACTTGGTCGAAGCTGTTTTCTCGGTTGGTAAACGCGGGTACTGCGCTTGTGGATAATGACTGCAGGAACTCGACATGCCATGCTACTATGAACAACCTAGATGGACCCTCAAGGGACGGGAGAGCTTGGCTTTTGCTGTAAATGCGAGATATCTCCTCCTCTTTGTGTCATTATTGGACGTGGATGTTGCCCACGTGGATCTGAGGCCCTTCTTGACACAGCTTCTCGCAGGAGAGGGTTCAGGGCATACCAGTCAGCCCATTTACCCATTCCACCACGCTAGCTACGTTCGCCTTAAGCCTCCAAATGGCCACCTCGCTATCGGGATCAAACGAGTTCTAAGCCAAAGGCTTAGACTGGGTCTGAGGATATGATATGTGATACAACAAACAGGTGTGGTTTGGGTGTGTGAGGTTAAAGGGGAATTTTCCGCCGTCGTTCCCTAGTGATAAGGCTACTATTGCGTCCAATATGAATGCTTCTCGATATCGATAACCCGTAGAAGTGGATTATCCAAGGTTAGCGTGGTTCCCAGAGTCTCCTGGACCCGTTATCTGCCAATGTAAACCTTTCGTTACTGTAGCATCAGAGGGGGGATGGATGAAGAACCTCATCTTTGATCCGTTCACCACCCGAGAACATGCGGACTAACCTTGATTGCCGGAAATGTTTTCCTTTCTTTCCACCTCCGCAACCAACCTAGCGCAGATACAGCCACTAACAAATAACTTTCCCTCAGTCGAGCACGACTAGAGAGCGAAAACAACCCGGGCACGAGAGGCTGATAAGGAAAGGGTAGAGGTGCGGGAAAGAAAGCCGACGATTCCGTTGCTTGTAGTTTCTCCATCACCACTAGGCAGACCGTGGCATAACCGACTTCTCTAAATGAACCCGAAGAAATTTAGCGAACATGTGATAGTTCCCTAGTATATGGGAGGAGACTGTAGGCACGCAGGAATTCTCCTCACCCACTCATCCCCATCCACCTTAGCTCGTCCCATAGATAGCGCCTCACCCCCGTATAACGTCACGCCAACTTGAATTTTGAGGCCTCAGATCACGAAACCAGCGCCGAGCAACTGGCAAAAAGAGCAAACCCCATTTTCCAAGACTACAAGACACCAAGGCTGAGCACGAAAGTGCTCGACATACAAGACGGGTAAATACTTTAACAAAACATGGTATTCGCTTTTCTGGCTAAGATTAAGTACATAAACACCCATCTAATCGTCCGCCTCTCTGCCATTTATGGTCCAAGTATCTTCACCGACCAGATAAACCGGCCGAGATCTAGCTTGTCCATGGTAGAGATGTCAAAAAGGGAAAAGCTCATAAGCATATACCCCTTTCTTTCACCTGGCAGCCAGATACCTATAACGGGTAAGATGGTGCTAAGACCAACGACATTTAAGAAAAGATGCTAACTCATGGACAAAAATAAATAGGCTTCCCCAAGTTTAAGTCTCGTCCACACATAGGTCGTCGGTTGAGACGGGCGTGACTGGCAGACCAAACGGCGGGCTGGTCCGGAAATGGACCGACCGTGGGAGGGGAGGCACCTACGCATGAGCTCTGTCGGCTGCGTCCCTAAACGAATGCTTTTTCTTTCCCTTGGGTTGTCATCGCAGCGCGGCAAGAGAAAACTAGCCACACCATGCCGGCCGGTAACAGCAATGTAAAAAAGACAACAAAAACATAACCAGTAGAGTGCCCCAATAAACCGACGTCTAAGCCGAAACCTCTACGCAAAACGCCGTGATGACCGAATGCGGGATGTCACTGGTCGAAAAGCCAGTCACGAAAGATCTGGAGGGTGCCGGGGTGGTGACCGGCCGCCCTAAGGCAGCGGTGTATGTTTACCACCGACGGTTGCCGATAGGCATGGCGTTGGGCCCGTTAGCGCCTTGAGAACGGCCTATCGTAGAATGGTCAGCACCCGTCTTTGACTGAGGTCAGGGATAGAGAGGTACACACTTACCGCCACGGAAACCACCACCGCCGCGGCCACGGTAGCCGCCATATCGGCCGCCACCACCACCTCCACCACCATAGCGAACCATCTCGGCAAGGCGAGGGTCAATGTGCTGCTTGGCCTCCTGGAGAACACCCACCAGGTCCCGAGCCTGCTTGGCATCTACACGTGTGTTAGCGATTTGGCTAGAAAGAGAAACAGATAAAGGAGAGCAAAAGGGGCAGAGAGAACATACTGTCAGTGGTAAAGAAGGTGATGGCTGTGCCCTTCGCGCCGGCACGGCCAGTTCTACCAATGCGGTGGATGTAATCCTCCGAGTTATTGGGGTAGTCATAGTTGAGCACATGGGTAATGTTGCGCACATCTTTGGAACAGGAAGGGCAAAGTGGTTAGCAACAGCGAGCAGCTTAGATGCGTGCAAGCAACGTTCCAGCATGAACGGACGGGCGGATAACACGGATAGCTAAGTATGTTTCGTGATCCTTTCATGACTGTACTTCTCTCCTTGGCAGACGGGCTGTCTGTTGCGGTGAATATGCCGGGGGGAGATACAAAGCTCCAGGTCCTCGGGCCGTTGGGAATCTTGGAGACAATGCTTGATCAGGGTCAAGATGATGCCTACTCTACGCCTGTACCACGGCAAGAAGAAACGGTACAAGAGAAGAAGAATTACGGCGTAGCTCCGGGCACAACGTCCCCACTACGTCACGAATCCAAGACTCCGTTCAGGAGGACCATGCAGACACGAGGTCAGGCAAGTTCGCGCAATCAAGCAAGCCCCTAGACATAAGAGTAAAGCACAGCACACCTCGATGCTGGAAAGTCGCCCAAAAGGGCACGGGGGAGGGGGTAGGGAGGAGGGGCGAGTAAACATACCGATACCACGCGAAGCGACGTCGGTGGCAACCATGATAGGGCTCTTGCCAGTCTTGAATTGGTCCAAGACCCAATCACGCTCGTTTTGCTGCTTGTCTCCGTGGATGGCTAGAAGTGCTTGTTAGCAATGCTGCGCTGCACGTATTACAAATTTGGAGGCAGTAGGAATGAATAAACTTACAAAGCGCGGGCCAGCCGTCCTGGCGGAGGAAGCGAGTGATCTCGTCCGCAACACGCTTGGTGCCTGTGAAGATGAGGATCTTGTTCTGGTTGTCCTTGTCCTCCATGACCTTCTCAAGGTGCTTAATCATCTTGTCGCGCTTCTCGCCCTCCGAGACGACCTCGACAATCTGGGTGATGCGGTGGTTCGCCGCCAAGTCCATGGAACCAATGTTGACCTGGATGAAATCGGTCTGGAAGTCGGACGCCAGAGCGCGGACCTCCTTGGGCCAAGTGGCGGACCACATGCAAGTTTGACGGTCGGGGCGAATCTGGCCAATGATCTTGCGGATTTGAGGCTCGAAACCCATGTCGAGCATGCGGTCGGCCTCGTCCAGGACCAGGTAGGTGACACGGCGGAGGTTAGTCCGGCCAGACTCGAGCATATCGATCAGGCGGCCGGGCGTGGCGATACACACCTCAACACCGCGCTGGAGATCGCGAATCTGGGGACCCTTGGGTACACCGCCGTAAACACAGGTGTTGCGGATCCGGGACGACTTGCCGAACTTGGTGATTTCCTGCTGAATCTGCACAGCCAGCTCACGAGTGGGAGCGAGGACCAGCACGATGGGCCCGTCGCCTTGCGCGAGAAGCGGCTGAGCGTTGATGTGAACGATGGCAGGGAGGCAGTAGGTCAGAGTCTTGCCGGAGCCGGTCTCGGCAATACCAACGACGTCGCGTCCGGAAAGAGCCATGGGCCAGCCCTGAGATTGAATGGCGGTTGGCGCAGGGAAGCCCTGGGCCTTGACCTCGTCCATCACATAGCGGGGGAAACCGGCCTCGTCGAAGGTCTCGACAGGCTTGGGAACGTTGCTACCAGCGACGGTAATGGAGTGGTCGCGGCGGAACTTGTCAACTTCAGCCTGCGAACGGTTGGCAACATTGGGGTGCTCCTCGTAGAACGATTTCTCGAACTTGGGGAGAGAGTCCATGTCCCAGTTCTGCTTCTGCAGACCGGCGCCAAGGTTGGACATGCGGTCACCACCACCCCCACCGCCTCCGTAGCCACCGCCGCCATATCCACCCCCACCGCCACCGTAACCGCCGCCGCCGCCGCCGGAGTAACCGTTGGATCCGCTGTTGGAAGAAGACAAGTTAGCAAGTCTGATAGGGAAGAGCCTAACGCGTGGTGCTGTTGAAGCATGACGGGCGCGTGCCAGATCATTCGTAGACCGCCAAATGGCCTCAAGGTAAACAATAGTAAGATAACTTACGAATAGCCGTTAGAATAACCACCACCTCCACCACCGCCGCTACCGTTGCGGTCGTAGCCTCCACCGCCATATCCACCACCACCGCCACCGCGGGAGCCGTAGCCACCACCGTAAGACATATTCGTGATCACGAGGATGCGAGAACCGAAAAAATGTGTTGAGTCGAGTTGCTGGCGAGCAAAAAAGGATGGATGACGCGCGTTGGAGATGGGGAGTCGCGTTTCAAGACGTTGATGTGGTGAAGAAGTTGGACAAGGAAGGAGCCCAGCGACACTCGAGGTGCAGGAAAATGCGTCGCGAGTCGGCTTTGTATTAAATTATCGTGCTCAAAGTAAATGAGCCGATGTTTATCCCGTGGAGATAGGAAAAGTGTTTTGGGATGGGAGAGGGAGATGTTGGGAGATGAACTTTTTCGTCGAAGCGAAAAAAAAAATCTTTTGGAAGGAACTTGGAGAGGATGGGAACCCAAAGTCGCCTCCTTCAAAAATTCTGGGGCCCTGGACTTGTCTGGCGGTAGGCGGCCTAGCCAGAAAATATTTTTGCAGGCAGGCACCCTGTCGGGTTGGCCGGAAAAAGAAAGCGGTAACCAGATAAAGGCTTGGCGAACTGGTGCCCCAGGCATGAATTTGGTAATATTACAGTTGCAGACGAGCATCGGTACCTTACGGCGTAACACCCCACGATGAGTCCTGTAATATTGACGTCCTCACTCTCACCAAGTAATTACCAGCCCAACCACGCTCAGTTGGAGCAACAATTTTCCAACTCAAAGCGTCAACTCGAGCTGTACATTTCCCAAAATGCAATTTCCATCTACATCTTGTTAGCGAAACGCGAAACAGAATTCGTATCCTCCATGAGGGGCTACCGAAATGATTAACTCACCTTTGTAGCGTGGATAAAGATCTTGACCAACTCCTCAATCCGCGAAGGGCTTTGCAGCAATGCGTGGCGCTCGAGCAGTGCTGTTTCACAATCTCTCGTGTCAGCCCCTGCACTACCTTGTACTCCTCTTTGTGTACTCTCAACAGAGCTACACATTGCTCAGCTTCAGCTCCCACTCACCGGAACCAATCTTGACCGCCGTTACATAGTCCTCAGCCACGTAGTTTTCGATCCACGCCCAGTAGGTATTGCCGTCTCTCTTCGATCGGGGGTCGGCATGGAGTTGCTTGGCGAGGGCGCCGTATCCGAGAAGACAGGGCGCGATGGCAACCTGGAGGCCTAGCCAGTCCTGCGAATGACCAATGTCGAGGACATATCGTGTGTAGGCCGTGCATGCTTGGTGGTTGTCAGGTAACGGCCGGGATTGGGTGTGGAGGGCAAAGGAGGGAGGGAGGGAGCTTACCTGAGTTTTCCGTTGTGTTTTCCATTTCTTCCTTGGAGATGCCGAAGCTCTTGCAGTAGTTGATGTGGAGTTCCATTTCCTTGAAGATATGGGTAACGATAGCGGCGGACTATAGGGTTTGGGGTCAGATTACAGCTTCTTGTGGTAAACATATAAAGGGTGGACTCCTTACCCCTGCAATATCCTTCATGGTGCTGGCCTTGAAAGAGCCGAGTGCGTTGGCCCGCGCAAAATGGATCTACCCACATCAGCATGGCCTTCTAGGTGGTAATCAGCCATAAGCATTGGGAAGAAGAGGTGACATACAAGATAGAGATAGTCTTGTATCAGGTACTGCTTGAACGACTCAAGCGGCAGCGTCCCATCACCCATGGCCAGCACGAACGGGTGGTTGATGAATTCATCCCAGACGGGAGCCACATCGGGGTGTTCGAGGAGGTATTCAACGAAATGCCCCCTAATTACGGTAAGCGGAGCGTCTACCAGGACGAGAACAGCGGGGCCAAAAAGTAGAACGGGGACTGTCACTTACGGCGAAAACGGCAAAGAGTACATGGAGTGGAAGTGATTGAGCGGCCCGCTCCCACCGCCCAGCCCGGGCGCACTCCTGATACCAGCCTGGACATATCGACACCCAGCCTTGACTGCCGCAGGCATATCCATCCCCTTTCCTAGGTTTGACGCAATCGCCGCTGTCACACAGCTCTCCAGTTAGCCAATTCCGTTGAAAACGAAAGAATAAAACAATGAGGAAGAGGGGGATAAACCCACAAGCCAAAGAACACCCCGTCCCATGCGTATCCTTAGACGCGCAATACTCCGTCTCCAACTGCACCACGATTTCCTCTCCCATCTTCGGATCCTCCCCCACCAACACATCCACAACCTTCACCCCATCGTCCCCGAGCCCCTCCATATCCGCCACCCTCCCATCTGCCCGAAAGGGACAGTGCCCGCCTTTGACAAGCACCCAGGGTGGACCAAGCGCGCGGATGGCGCGGGCGGCGGTTTCGAGGTCTTCGACTGTTTTGATGCTGTAGTCAGGAGAGAGGGAGGAGTTTTGCGTGTTGGCGTTGACGTTGCGGAGGAGGAGCAGGGCCTCGGGAACGTTGGGTGTGACGATGGTGGCTAGCGGGAGGAGGCGGGTATGTAGGGCTTGGAGGGCTTCGGGAGGTAGGAGCTGGGCGCCGGTGGTTGCGATCATGACCTGGTAGGGGGTTAGTGAACTGTTTATTTGTGCCAACTGGGATACCACAATATGGGGGGCAAAGCATGTACAGGATCAAGAACGACGGTCGAAACGTTGTGGTGCGTAAGGGCATCGGCAATAGTTTCGATCGTCTCAGTCGAGGCGAGCATGCCTAGACTGGTCAGCACAACTTAGAATCAAAAACTAACTGATATCCCCCTTGCGTGTGCGAGGTGAGTGAGCCTTTACCTGTTTTGACAACATCCACCCCGACGTCTTCTATCACAGCATCGATCTGCTTCCTCAAAAATGTAGGAGGGACTTGATGAATATCATAAACGCCTTTGGTGTTCTGGGCTGTGAGGGCCGTTGTGGCCGTCATGGCGTAGCAGCCATGGGCGGCGATGACTTTTTGGTCTGCCTCGAGGCCGCTGTATCGTTGTGTAAGTTTAAGATTTAATCAACTCAAGGTAGGGGAGCGAAAATGAGGTGTTAATTAATACAAAATTATATAATAAGAAAAAGGATCTCGACGTACGCTCCACCAGAACTGTCAGAGCCCGCGATCACTAATATCCTCGGGGGTATCATTTGGAACACCTGGCTGACACCTAGCTCGTGGTGTTGTTTTGCTGTTGAATAAGAGACAAAACTTGGAGAAACCGCTCCGAGTCGCTCGTTAAAAAGGGAAGCTTGCCCACTTGACGTTACTAAGTTGAGCGGGGACAGTGGGGTTGAATTGGGAAAAGTCTTGTCGTTACGAGCACATTTTGCTCTTTCGACCACAGAACACGTTGCCCGGGATGAGATAGTTGTTATTCTTTTATGTTTAGACTCCTTATTTCGTTGCAGTTTTCCCACCCATAGTCACAGGCTGGCTTGCATGTACATTGTAAATGGACCAAGATGAGCAGCGAAAAGGAGTAAAAAGGGAAAGCCAACTTTGCCTACCACTTGTCCGAGCCTTTAGCCACCAATTCCCATTGAACAACCAAGAAGATAGGAAACCTAGCCCCCCCACCTTGTTGGACTCCTTTTCCCGTAGTTCCCTTATATGCAAGTCCATCTACCAACCTGACTTTCCGTGTTGACGTCCCACGTCCCAGTCAAACACGGCCTGCCTTTTTATACCCTACGAAGACAACCAACGCCGGTATAGCCACTGCCTAGAGGCGCACCAACCAAACCGTTGAGTATCACACGCATTGCCTCGATTCTGAGAGAACCTTGTGGGGCCCAAGAAAAAAATAAAAACCGCGGCTGGCTTCATGGTATCATCGCCGTCTCGCTCCCTCCGTCCTCCACTCTGCCTTGTATTCCCTGTTATGTATCAACCGGTTTACCGCTACCGGCTAAACCCATGTATCACGCCCTGTCTCTTTTGAGAAGTTGTGGTGTTTGCTGGATCACTCAAGCTTCTCTGCCGTTCCGCGTGGTGCTCATCCTCGTCTGAGCTAGATTCGTTGTCATGGCCATCTGCTTGTTTTTTCGCTTGGCCGGGGTTCTTCTGTTCTTCCTTTTCCTCATCGTCTTCGTCTTCGTCTTCGTCGCTATCATCGTCCTCCTCCTCCTCTTCACTTTCTTCACTTTCTTCCTCATCTTTGTCCTTCTCCTCGTTTGGCGGGTGAGTCCCGTTTCTGACCACCTCGGGCGCTATCTTGCTGCCATTTGCCTTGGGAACCGCACCCGGGCTACCCTCCTGGTCCTCCCCATCACTCTCTCCATCTTCACCTTCACTCTCACTTCCATCTTCGCTCTCTTCCAAAACCCTCTCGATTCCTTCGTCTCCCTCATCCTCATCCTCATCCTCGCCATACACCACTGCCCTCAACACACCCTTCTCAAACAGCCCCACAATCATATTCCGATCCGCCAGACGGTAATGATGACACTCCAGCAGCGATAGGACCTTGCGAAACAGCCGTGGCTGCGCAAACCCGGCCGGCGCTCGTTTCGCCGTCCGCTCCGTTTGCCCCAGCATCGGCGTGTTTCCTACTGCCACTGTCACCGCTGATGTTGCTGCTGACGTCGTCACAGCCATCGTCTTGAGCTGCATCAGCTCGGTACGTGCTCTCCGATATAACACCATATTCGACATATCTATGACCAGCTCGAGGATGCGGTGGTTCGTCGGATCTGGGTCGAGTTCCACGCGCGGGGGTAGGAAGGGAAGTGCGGAGGATGATTGCGCTGCTGTATCGGACGGCCCAGCCGCGGCCTCGCGTTCGGCTTCCTCGAGAGCTTTGATGAGGGATTCCGAGCGCGGACGAGACGGTACGGCGGGTAATTTGGTAGTTTCCGTCTTTTGGCTGGCAGGCAACTGGATCGCGGTAACCGGGGCGTGGCGCCAGGGCTGGAGGGAGAAAAGCTGAGACAGGTCTGATGGGATGCACAGGCCGAGCGAGTGGCCGAGGAGACTGGTGTTGGCGTCCCAGCCGTTCTCGGATAGGATCTCGAGACCGTGGATGGAGCGGGAGATGAGGCCGAGTACGAAGAAAGCGGTCCCACGCAAGCTGAGTACCTCGTGGTTTTGGGCGATGCACACAATCTGCTCGACCACATCGCTCGACTCGAGGAACGGTGCGCCCAGTTCCATCGACCCGACGTTGCCCACCGCCCAGAGGCAGCCCTTGACCTTGACCATCATCTCCGGGTCGTCCGACTGCATGCCGTACTCGCGAATGGTGGCGGTGAACTCGTCAAAGTGGCCCTTGTCGCGGAGCAGCTTACACCCTTCCTGGGTGCGGGTAAGCTCGCGGTAAAAGTGCGGTGGGACGTGGTTGTCGGCCTCCATCTCCTGCTGCTCTTCGAACACGCTGATGCGGTTGGTTTGGTCTTCTGGTTGATCCATGAACGACCGCGCAAGGCTCGCCTCAATGACACCGACGTACGAGTCGTTGCGGCCCAGGAACCAGTCGTCCATCTCGTTGCTAATGTAGTCGAGTCCATCGAGATAATGGTACCCGATCGACGTCGAGAGAAACCGTAGAAGCAGCGGCGCGCCAATTTCACCAAGGTGGTCCAACGCTGGCCGACATTCGACGATATACTCGAGGTGGTTCTTTGTGTTGCAGGCTTTCTCCAGGATTTTGACTGCCGTGGCACACACTTCCACTTCAGGGTCATACAGCTGTGTTACGAGCAGCTGGATGGCCCATTTCGAGTCTCCCGGCTCCGGGCCGTGCGGCCCCATGCGCGGGTGCGTGGCGAATTTCCTCAACGCATTCGTCGCATATATCCTGATATCCTTCGTGCCCGCGGTTAAGGCCTTGGAGAGAAGTACCCGCGGGTGGCCCTGGAGCGAGTAGTCAAAGTTGGATAGCATCAGTTTGATGAGATCCGGTCGCTGCTTCAAGTCGAGGATGCGGTACATCATATTGAAGATGCGCCAGCGGTCCAGCATTTGCATCCCCTTGACGTCCGCGCTCAAGACGCCCAGGATGGGGAAATACCCGCCGCAGAGGGTGTCGGCCAAGCGGTCCTTGGAGAACATGGGGTCCTGAGCCGTCAGCCCACTTGTTGGGTCACATTGCGCTAAGCACTCGGCAACCTGGCGCAGAAGCTTGTTGTCGGACAGATACTTGACACCCTCGGGGCTCTGTAGCAGAGCATGCATCAGCGAGCACCCGGTCCGGACGTATTTCTGCGTCGTTCTCGAGCTCTTGATTTCGGAAAATTTGTACTTGAAGGGACGGTAGAAACTCATGATCCGCTTGATGAACTTGGATGCCTTGATGGCCTCTTCGAGCCGTTTCCCGCTAGTGAGCGGCCCTTCGATCAGCCGAGTCATGACCTCCCAGTTCCATTTCGTGTAGTTCGAGCTGTTGAGCACGTTAGACTCAAGAAGCAGCTGGCGGAACGTCCCATCATCGAAATTCGCTGTTGTGGTGGCCTTGGGGTGCTCGTCGAGCCCATTGAGGTCCATATTTTGGTGGACGGAGGGAAGATAAGCGGCAGAGGGCGATGATCGGTAAAGCGTCCTGCTCACGCTGCTAATCTGGTATACTACCCCAGTTGCAGCAAAATGGCCCTCGTCCTTGAGCTTCGCAGCCGAGATGAAGAGGTCTGGAAGTAGCTGTAATTCGCTGCTCCAAGACGGGGGGAGCAGGCGGCTGGATAACTTCAGCACCTCCCCTATCAACAGAGTTGATTTGCGCCGGAGTGTTGCGCTCTCGTTGGTCTGTGTCAGCTCCAAGAGAGCTGGAACAACCCCCGACTTGATAAACACCGCAAGGAGAAGCGCTGTGTAGTGCTCTAAGAAGTTTTGCTCTCCACCATCTTCATCCAGCTCGGACGGGGAGTCCTTGGCAGCCGTGGCAGCGGTAGTAGTGGTCGATTTGAGGTTTGTGACACGGCCGTAGGTCGTGAGTCGACGGCCAGCCAGGAACGAGGTCGCCCATGCCGGTGACTTGATACGCAGCAGGGAGAAGATGAGGTCGATGATGCTCTCACGGATGGGCCCAGCCTGCACAACCATGCTAGTGATCATGGATCTGATGGCACGGAAGTTGTACATGGACAACGTCATGAGCCCGGACCATGTCTTCAACGCAGAGGCCACAGCTTTGACGCTCTGCTTGAGAAACCGTTCATTTGACGAGAGTTCATCTGTGAAGGCCGTGAAAAGGACCTCCAGCTCGTTCCCCGGGCGCAAGTATTGGCGTCGATGTGGTGCATCCAGAAGGTAAAGAAAGGCCATTGTTATGCTCTCCGACGCTTTATAAGACCCGTCTGCTAATGCTTCGTGTAACGCCGCCATGCCCCCGGAAGCAATCAGAAGTTGCGGGTCACGAACGAGGATCTCGGCCAGCGTCTCGAGGCAGATTGGCCGCAGCCTTTCCTCGGGCTCCTCCGCTGCCGCAGCAATTGATCGGACCACAGCTCTCGATATCTCGCGCACACCGTCTTTGACATCCAGAAAGGCGCGCACAAACTTGAGTGCTTGCTCACGTTCGACGTCGGCCTTTCGGTCCTTGATTAAGGACCTACAATGCATGGTTAGCTTACTGAGGACTGAAACAAACACACCTGATACGCGGATGCGTACAACACACACACACACACAATACACGCGCGGACAACTGTGAAGCTCAACTAGGGTGCTTTGGGAAGACCAACCAAGTAACAAGATAATCCGTGTTAAGAGCACGGATTGTCCTGATGGAATTGATGTCTGATATGGCGTAACGAATCATTCTGTACCCCGCAGCGACCACCTCGCGGCTCTCGCTCAGCAACATGGCCTGCATGCGGAAACCAAACACCGACCACTCCAGGTCGTATTTGAGTGTGGGATGCCGCTTGAAGAGATCGACTAGACTGTTGGCACGCGAGACGTAGTAATCCGGCGTCATGCCCTCAACCTCTAGCGCTTGGAGGATTTCAGTGAGGGCAAATGTGGGCGACTCTGTAGGCTCATCGATGTCGGAACCAACACCGCTCCGAGAGGCGCTCGGTGGGGAGCGCACACTACTACCAACGGGAAGAAGGCCCTCATTTCTAGTCCGTGTGGGCGTGGTGGGCGCTGCCTTAACGCGCTGGGCATCCGTGATCTTTTGGCGTAGCTCCTTGATGCGGAGGTTAGACGAGGTTAGCTCGGCTTCGACCCGTTGGCGCTGATCTTTAGTTTGTTTCGCTTTTTTAGAGTTCAGCGCTTCCAGCATATTTTCGCTCCCCTCTTTGATCTTCATCTCGCGGCTCAGAGCCTCGCGCAGATGGGCGATGGTCTTTTCGGGGGTCGGCCCGTCATCCTCGTCTAATTTCTCGAGCGCAGGGAACATGTCGAGGCGTGAACCCGCTCGTGAGACATTGGTCTGGCTGCGCAGCTCAGAGCTGAAGCTGCCCGGCATCGGTGATGGGTTGAGCTGTGCCCCGCGCGAGGCAAAGCTCACTGCGGATGCAGAGAGGTTGCGGGCAGCTCCATTGGGGGCCGGGGCTTGTAGGGCATCGCGCTCGAGACTCGGCCGTGGATTCCCTGGTTGTGGCGGTTGTTGCTGCTGCTGTGCCTGCTGCTGCTGGGGATCGAAGGACCTTTGGGTGGGAGTCGCCGAGGCGCTCAGCATGGTGGACGGCCCGGCCATTTGCCCGCCACGCCCGACGCAGCGGTCGGCACCCTAGATACCCCGGACAGTCCAAGAGTGCTCGGCAACTTCAAGGACCCTCGACGCTCGCCGGGTCGGGGGTATAGTTCGTCGCTCGGCGCATCAACGTCGATCCCTCGGTCCGTCCCGGTGCTTCAGCGGCGTTGTGGTTCGATTGTCGTCATGGCACACCGATGCGCTGTCACGGTCGGGTCGCGTGCGAGTGCCTGCCGTGTCGCGGGCGTGAAATATAGGTAGTGTTTGTGTTGTTGGCCGATGCGGTGTGCTGGGTAGGGTGTGGGGTGTGAACGCCGTTGGCTGTGATTTCAAGGTCCACTGTGAACGCTCGTTAGCGGGCTTCAGATCCGCACCGTATCGCGCTGTTATCGCAGCCTTGGAACAGGGTCACAAACGGCGGTGCAGTGGTTGGCCTGTGCTGCAGTGGGGCTCTTCCCATCCATTCTGCCCCACTTACAAGCTGCCCCGCCATCAATTCCACATGCTCTTTCCTCTTTCTCTCCCATCTACTTGATCCCCAGATCAAAGGTACCTTGGGGCTAACTCAAGAGTAGAAAAGTTACCATATAAGAGTCGAAGAGGATTAAGTGACTGGACTTTACTAACTAAGACAAAACCTGAAATTCGAGGAGACCCCGGTGTCAATATCTATTAGCAGTTTGGCTCCAAATTCCATCATCACACCTCTGGCTTGAGGAACTGTGGTTTGGTTCAGAGGAAGCGATCTAACCTTTCACATGTCACCGTCATTGCTACTCTGTACACCAGCCTTGAACAGAACCAAAACTTTCGATGATGCCCTCGATCGGAGGAAATGTTGTACAAAGTACAAGGGAACAGATAAATTCGGTCCACCTCTGCCCGACAAACCTCTGCTTCTTTCTAGGGACCAAGCAACATCACCGATCTCAAAAATTTATACCCAATTTTAATCACATGGTGGACAAGAAAACATACTTCAAATTCTGTCCTAATTTCGGGTTTCTATGGGATTTCTACTCGGTACTTCGTAGACCTAGGAAACCCCATCCCATGGAGTCATTGTGTGCAACGGCTCACCATGGAAAGACCCGAACAGCGGATTCAACGAGGGGCTCGCAGCGGCGCAAGGCGGTCGGCGGACTCCGGCGACCCACCAGCGTCCTCCCACCTTAACACCCCGGATTTTACGACCCCTCGGGCGGGATGCCGCGCCATCGACAAACCCGCCATGCGCCGTCCGGGTGTGGCCTCATTGGGCCCCGGTGCGGGTTCCCTAGGTCGGCGCTCAGAAAGGTGGCCGGTTATAAATGGGGTTGACTACCTCCCCTCAAAGTAGGTAATCGACTCCCAACCGGTCTCCAACGTCATCGCCATTTTTGTACAGGACCGTGCGCAGTGAACGGTTTGGTCTCCGGCTTCAAACAAACACTCGTAATCAACTGCCATCTTGCTCCGCCGCTTTTTCGCACCAGTGTTTCGCGATTCGAAGACCGCTCCCAAGATCAGACGAACACTAAAACCTGTGCATTCCTTCCTTCTCCCCCGCCGTTTGAACGCCAGTCGTACCTGGATCAACAACCACCCACATCCACCATCGTCGATATGCCTTCCCTTGCGTCCGCTCGGTACGGCAAGGACAATGTCCGTGTCTTCAAAGTCGACCGCGACGAGAAGACGGGCGTCCAGACCGTGACTGAGATGACGGTGTGCTGTCTGCTAGAAGGCGAGATCGAGACATCGTAAGAGACCGCGAGAGGAGGGGAGAAGAGGGGCATCGGATAGCGTGGATACACCAAACTTACCAACCTGTTTCTTTTTTCACAGATATACCAAGGCCGACAACAGTGTGGTCGTTGCGACCGATTCAATCAAGAACACCATCTACATCAAGGCCAAGGAGCACCCCGTCAACCCGCCCGAGCTGTACGCCAGCTACCTCGGCCAGCACTTCCTCGATACGTACCCGCACATCAGCACCGCCAACATCGACGTGACCGTGCACCGTTGGACACGCTTGGCTGTCGACGGTGCTCCGCACCCCCATAGCTTTATCCGCGACGGCGAGGAGACACGCAACGTGGAAGCCACCATCTCCCGTACCGGCGGCCTCGCCCTGCGCAGCAGCATCCGCAAGTTGACCGTTCTCAAGAGCACAGGGTCCGCCTTCCACGGCTTCGTGCGCGACGAGTTCACCTTGTTACCCGAGACCTGGGACCGCATTCTGTCCACCGACGTCGACAGCACCTGGGCGTGGCGGGCGTTTAAGACGCTGGCGGACGTTGAGAAGGCCGCTGCCGACAAGCGGTTCGACGATGCATGGGAAGCCGCGCGCAGTATCATCATCAAGACATTTTCCACCGATGAGAGCGCGTCGGTACAGAACACCATGTACAAGATGTGCGAGCAAATCCTTGAGGTAGTACCCGAGGTTGATACAGCTGGTTTTACGTTGCCGAATAAGCACTACTTCGAGCTAGGTAAGCCGGCCCTTCTATCATCCATACAACCGCCGTCTAACTAACTCTTGCGCAGACCTGAGCTGGCACAAGGGTATCAAGAACACGGGCAAGGACGCCGAGGTGTACGTCCCGCAGTCTGGACCCAACGGCCTCATCAAGTGCGAGGTCTCTCGCGACACTGCCACCCTGGCACATCGGTAAGCGCTAGGGAAAGAAACGGTGGATAGCAAGAGTTGGTCCAACGTGGGCCTATAGAGGGGGCGAGGGTGAGGATTTGCTTTTCTCTGCATTGGCGTTATTTTTTCTTGCATATGTAGCACGGAGCACAGAAATCATATAATTACGGGACTGTAAACCGTCTGTCCAGTCTGCACCGTCGGCGTGAGGGACCCGAGCGAAGTGCAATGTTGGTCGGTTTCTGTTCCTCCCTTCGTTGAAGTACCGCCACATGCCGTACGAGCTTTTGACAAGCAGCCATCCATGATGTACAAGAAATGTATTGTTGATATACACAGGACTCGAATGTTGGAGTCAAGGTCTTCGTACAAGGATATCCCACTCGCCGTCACCCTCAGTCACCGACACCACCTATATCCTCGCGCCATCTGTCTCCCTCACTGCCCTCGCAACCTCCTCCCACCCTTCCGTCCCCACAACTTTCCCCCCAAAACGGATCAAATTCTGCTTGTACGGATGAGCGTCGCCCTCAAACGCCTTGAGCCGTGACAACCGCTTATCCCGCAACCTATTTTTCGGCAGCATACCACTGACCGCCCGACGCAACACCTCTGATCCACCAAACTTATCCTTCAACACATCCATCGTGATACTGCGCAGCGACCCGGGCCGCGTGTTGTGTCGGTAATAAGTCTTGCGGTACATCTTGTGGCCCGTCGTGTACAGCGCCGCACAATTCGTCACGACCACGTAGTCGCCGCAGTCAGTAGACGGGTCCCAGATCGGCTTGTGCTTCCCCATGAGAATGAAGGCGATGCGCGAGGCGAGGCGGCCGAGCGACGGCGGGGTAACGGCTTCGGGGGGGGACTTGATCGTGCTGAGGCCGGTGTGAGGGGTTGAGGCCGAGATGTGGTGCCATACTCGGGAGTAGGCGAGTCTTGTCTAGAGTAAGAGGTAAGACGTCAGTGACAGGCCGCGCCGGATATACCAAGGTGTAAAAACAACGGGGAGACTTCTTACTGCTCCGACTGTCTGTGACATGGTGGGCGGTTTTCGGAAGGGGAAAGAAAGTCGTGAGCAGATGCCCCTGGGAACTAGTCCCTCATCAAGGAAGGCACGGCCTCTGCAATCAAGTGGCAATGAATTAGGGCAGAGCCTCCCTGTGGTCGAATTGGCTGTGGGAACGGGGTGAGCGTCGGCCAGATCACGGATCGTCAAGCTGGCTGGCGATTGATGGTCACGATGCCCGAGCTCGTTCAATGTGGGAAAAATCGACGGTGCGCCACACAGCCACATCTTGCAATTATTTGCGCCACATGCTTGGCGACGCGGCGTCCGCCGCCCACCATCAAACGACCCCGCCAGAAGCCGAACCGAGCTCCGAGCAATGGAACCCCACCAAGCAATCCGGAAGCAGCAACCCGATTTCAAAGCACAGTTGAAGTAATCCACGGAGTTGACGGAATACACACGGTATTTTATCTCCTGGTTTCCTGGCTGAGGCGATTTTTGTAGCAACCACGGAATAATCCAACTCTTCTTTGTAAAAACCACTGTCAAAAAGTCCCACTGCCACCGACTTCGTCTAGCTTTTTCTTTGCTGCTCGGGTTCGTTTAATTTCCTGAATTTCCACAACTGAGGTTCCCTGGACCTTATTGGACACTGGAACCTTGATGTATCAAAGTCGCACTCATACGCGTCTAATACAGTTATCTACCTTAGTTTTGGTCACATCGGTGGGAGTATACGCCTGGAGTCGTCCATGGGACCGGGGTCAGACACGAGCTAAAACGCCGTCATCACCATCCTCATCATCATCATTATTATCACCGCCATCACCCCCAAAGCAGAATACCTCCACGATGGCGGTCACATCTCCCTTTCAGGTAAGCCCACGTTTTCGTGCCTGACCCTAGACATTTCTCCCGCATTTTTTGTTTGTTGTGCTTTTTATTTCCTTGATGCTTCGTCCTTTCAGGTTTCATATCTATCATGGAAACTCGGGTGGCTGAAACTTGAAACAGACGCTCTTCGCCGTGCCCATGACCTGTGAGGGTTGTGCCAAGGACGTCTCGGGCGCTCTGCATCGGCTGCCCGGCATCACCAAGGTCGAGGCGAACGTACTGGACCAGTTAGTGTCAGTGGAAGGAACAGGTCCGTATTCGAGCTCCGATCACGACCGTGATGGTCAGAATGGGTTGCTAACCTCTCAAACCTACCCTGGCAGCGGCCCCATCGGCTATCGTTGAGGCTATTCAAGCCACAGGGAGAGATGCTATTTTGCGGGGGTCAGGCACCTCAAACAGTAAGTCTACTAATATACCCCGTTCCCTGGGACTCCGAAATTAGCTTCAATCCCTGAAAGCATCACCCCGTCACTCGAAACCCCCTTTCCCTCTCCTCTCTTATCTTAGCTCCTTTTTGACATCAGACACAGGCGCCGCAGTAAGCATCCTCGAAACATATCACCATCGGCCCGACACTATTGAAGTCACTCCCGCCGGTGCATCCGGCGGCAGCTGGGTCAACGAACGCCTCGTCCGCGGCCTGGTGAGGCTAGTGCAAGTCAGTCCAACCGAAACACTCGTCGACCTGACCATCCGTGGTGTGCCGCCCGGCACCTATCACGCCTCAGTGCGTGAGTACGGGAATCTCAAGGACGGCGCGACGTCGGCGGGGCCGGTCTGGTCTGGATGGGATGCTAGCAGTAGCAGTAGCAGCAATACCACGAGCAAGGACAGTGCACCACGTGGGATACTCGGCACGGTAGAAGTCGGCCCCAATGGGTATGGCAATGCGTTTCTCAACCGGCCCTTCCAGGTATGGGAGGTAATTGGGCACGCGCTAGTTGTTTCGAAGCATGAGGAACATGACCGTGCGAATGCCGCTCCGCTGCAGAACACGGAGGACACGGTAGTCGGCGTGATTGCGCGAAGCGCCGGGGTGTGGGATAACGATAAAACGGTATGCTCGTGCACGGGTAAGACACTCTGGCAGGAGCGGAAGGATGAGGTGGGCAAGGGGATGTTGTGATGATCGTGGTGGTGGCAGGACGAGCGTGGGGGTGTTGTTTCGGGGCGCTGGGTCGACTGCTCCTCAAAGCTGAAGAAACCAAAGTTAAACAAAGGGAAAAGGGGGCCCCTGGAGTTTGGGCGAGATTGGGTGTAGCTCTTTCCTACGCAACCCGACAAATGAAGGATGATGCACCCCGGGATACAGAGTGTATTAAAAATATACAAGCGACCTAGATAGAGTTTGTTGGGAGGGCTTGTCCCCGGTTACCCCTTGATCCCGTCATCAACGTAGCCATCATATCGCGCCTAGCAGCCCCGGAGAAGAAGAGTTACAGAGCCCTAGTCTTTGTCATCTCGGGACCTAGTCGTGGTCAAGGGGAAAAAGAAGGGGTTTGCGACTGTTCACCCCTATACCCCAAGGTTCGAGGCTAAAGGAACTTGGACATATCCTTATTATTTGTCGGGTATATATTGCCCCCGAATTGATGGACTCTTTTTTTTTGTGGTGGGGGAGGAGGGGGTGTTTCTTTACGTCCCCCATCCGTATCTAGGCAATTAATGTATAGGTCCCTACCATGTACAAGAAGAATAAAAGGAGGTGTTCGGCCTTTATATTCACGTAGGAGTTTGTGGTGATAACCTCACTCCCACGACCACTGGTCGCTTCAGTGGGACACGAATCACGAGTTATTTCGGATCCACCAACACAGCGGCCATAGACTGATGCTTACTTATGTTCATGCTGGAAGCTAAACTACACCAAGGGACATATACGAGGACGTCTCATGTTCTTGGCATGGAATGCGGACGCTATGGAACGAAGCTCGCGAATCATCAACTGTCCAAATGCTTGGCCAAAGAATGGTCTCGAACATTTTTGAGCAGGGAGCGACGTTGTGACGATGGGCCCGGTGACCCGTGAGAGTTGAAATATCACGACCCATGATAGGAGTCAAAACCGTCTGAAGTTGTTCCCCACAGGCCCGAAACAGCGGCTGGCACAGATCGAACAAGCACCCCGGTCAGTGTGCTGCTTAGCTGACCTTGCCGTCGGTGCCCAAAATGATTTGCATGTTCACATTACAAGTATTCTGACAACGGTTTAACTTGACCATGATAGGGCATCACATGGGCGCCAAGAGCTTCAACTTGTCCGGATCCAGATTGCAAGCCCGAAATATCCGGCCTGCTTTCATCCATCGTTAACGACCGGCAGGGTCCAACCTCTATTTCTAGAAATAGGCGGCTTGGCACGAAGGGTTGACGGTCGGATAGCTCGAACAATACCGATGCCCGACGATGTCGTGCAGACAGATCAGGTTCAAAAAAAGAGTCTTTAAACGTCAGCTTGATGCTAAATCCGGTACCCAACCTCCCCAGGCAAGCGCCCACCTCGGGAAAGCGGCAAGTTTCTTTGAATAGCACTTTGCGGATTGGTAGAAGGAGGTTGACTGGCGCTCGAGGATGGAGGGCAACCATTTGACGCATGCCCTGGTGGTGTCCGCCTCTGTGGTGTCGCCTGTAGCCGCCGGCGCTCCAATGCAGGGGCTGGACTTGGCCGGGGGTTCTAGTCCAATGAGTGGGCGGCTTGCTGTGTTGAGAAACGCTTTGTGCATGAGAAAAGCGCAGGCCTGTGATTCGCAGGGGTTCCTTGAGATCTGTGACACGTCTTCGGGGCACCTGGGCATCGCATTGACCCCATGAAGTCTCACCCGCAGCCCTGCCGCTGGGGCAAGAGCAGGGGTTCAAAGTGTTGTCTTGAGGATGAGAGACGTTCATGCGAGACGATTCGAAGTGGTCATTTCTTTCTTTTTCCCCCCTCCAGTCCCTTTTGGGGTTGAAGGCGATTGAAAACAGAGAGCGCAGGACACCAAGAAAAAGATGGGACATCGAGCTGAATTCCCTCCTGCCAAATACCTACTCATCTATCAGCACAGTCTCAAGAACGGGCCACTGTGCTGGCTGCGAGAAAGCGTGCAGCCCACAGCGGCCCCAGCCGGCGCGCATGGCAGTGAAGCACATGGTTTGAGAAGCGGTGCGGTTCGCTCCTGCGTCGATCCGGCAGCTAGGTTTGGCCTTGCACTGGACTCGATTGCCCACTTACGCTAGTGTAATGCCCATGGCGCTCAGAAGAATACATAGTGTATGTAGTACTAGCAGTGAGACTGTCGAGTCGATGTTTCTCAAATAAAACGAAAATTAAATAATGTGAGAACCTCAAGACACTTACACTACACCCAGGAAACTTAAAATTTCGGCTCAGAGTCTGAAAAGCGCAAACTCCCATTCATCGAAGTCCGGAGCCCGCCGGCCGGCCCCGACAACTCAGACCCCTTGGTCCCACTTTTTTTTTAAAGATATCTGGGTTTCTCTTTCCTGCTCGAACCAGAGCCCAGAGCCCAATACCTCCCGATTTGGCAAGGGCGACCCCTGTCGGTTGTAGCAGAAAGCCTTTTTTTTTTTCTTGAGAAGCCCCTTCCGCGCGAAGTTGAGGGTAAACGAGAGAGGTCGTCCATTCGAGGCCTGGCAAGACCCATAGTCTGCATGATCATCTTCCCCAGCCTGGTCGTCTCCAAACGGGCCCTGGGGCCCCGGGCCTCAAGTTGTCGAGTCCGCCGGCTGGGCCTCTTGTTGAGACCTGAGAACGGCCGCCAGCCCTGTTTCGTCTTGCGCGTGCTACCTTTGGTTCCCATTCTCATCTGGTTGCCTTTTGACTCTTGTAGTATTTTCCCTTCTTCCTCCTCTACCTAACGAGTTCCCGCAACAACGGCTCACGCTTTGCACAATATCTAATTTCTTTTTTTCTTCCTTTCTTATTTTTTTTTGAACCGACCTCCGGCCTGTCATTTCCGCCCGCCAACGTAACAAAGCAAATACATAACTACCGGCTAGTAACCCCTGGACGCTAATTGCACCCGGGGACTTGGACTTGGACTCTTTACTCTGTGAGAGGCTCTGTTGGCTGCAGCGAAAGTGCATCGGCTCCCGATTAGATCGAAGCGATCGTCAGGGACACGAACGAAAAAGAGACGGAGAAAGAAGCATTGTTGGGATTCACCACTGCCGGCCAGTACAGACATCCACAGTGCGCGGGACAAGACGGACGACGTGGGACAGAATAATCGCCCGGACACGAAACCCCGACGGGTGGAGGCAGCGAGAGCAACATAAGAAAACCACGCTGGACGCTCGGCTGGCACTTTCTCCCACGCGAACCTGTGACTTTACCATCTGCGGCTCGACTCGCCGAGCCTTGGCTAAGTGGGAATTCTGTTGACGAACAGCACGAGAGGACTTAGAGACGGAAGACAATTGGGCATCCAAGGAGAGTGGGGAACTTTTCGAGCCGTTTTCCAGAGCATCAACTGGTGAGGAGCTGCTGGCCACTGACTCGGAAGAGCCAGCCCCCCTGTTGCCGCCCGCCCAGGCTATTATATCTCGCCTTAGCGCAGTCCGACGCCCCCCTGTCGACAGCCGCTGTCACCCACCCTCGCACTTCGTTAAAAGCCACCCCGACCCCTCAACGCACGTCCGGCCACCCGCCGTACACCCGAATCGCCCACGGAACTTTTGCTAACTTTTGCCACACGGGAACATCACCAATTTCGCACCCTTTATAGGGCCGCAAACCCCGTTCGGCTTCAGCAATTTCACCAAACCCCAAGTGTTGGAGAGTAATAGAAGATGTCACTAAAACAGGTGAGAAGGAAATTCGCTTCAATTGCCCCAGACTCCACTGTGATCGACGGGGAAAGCAGAATGACTTACACGCGTGCCTGCCACAGGAAATCGAGACATGGGTCGAAGCCCTCAAGTTCTACGACAACAATGAATTCGACGAGGCGCTTCAATCCTTTGATAGGGTCTCGGACACCTCCAAGATCCTTTTCAACATGGGTGTGATCAACGCGACCCTCGGCCAGCACGAACAAGCGGTACGGATGACCTCTCGCTTCCCATTTCCATAGGAGGAAGAAATGCACTAACAATTTGAGCCTAGGTCGAGTGTTACCAACGCGCGATTAAGCTTGACCAGTATCTCGCCGTGGCATATTTCCAACAGGGAGTCTCGAATTTCCTCCTCGGCGATTTCGAAGAAGCATTGGCGAACTTCAATGACACACTTCTGTACCTCCGCGGCAACACTCTCATCGACTACTCCCAGCTTGGGTTGCTGTTCAAGCTCTACTCGTGTGAAGTGCTCTTCAACCGTGGTCTTTGCTACATCTACCTTGAGCAAATGAAGTCGGGGATGATGGATTTGGAGTACGCTATCAAGGAGAAAGTTGTTGAGGATCACAATGTGATCGATGACGCTATTCGGGACGAAGCCAAGGTATGTGTGCTTAACCATGCAATTGACTAAGCAGCTAACTAACATATCTACTCAGGGGTACACCGTCTTCTCTATTCCCGTCGGCGTTGTCTACCGACCGAACGAAGCCAAAGTTCGAAACCTTCAACAAAAAGATTACCTTGGCAAGGCGCGGCTCGTGGCCGCATCCGACCGGGGCAACGCATTCACGGGCTTTTCTGGAACCGAGCTCAATAAGGGGGTACGTCGAATAGATAAAACCTTGGGTTTTTATGACACTTGCTGACTTTCGAGAAGGTTACCATCGAAGCAAAGGACGACCGACCCACCGAAGCGCTTTCGTTTGCCGCTAGCAATCTCGTCAAGCCCGGGCTACAGAGCAGGCGACAGCAGTCCGAACCACCCAATAGCCGCAACGTGTTCCCACCTACACCACCTCCCGAGAATGATAAGCCTGCAGGCATGAGCCGGGGGCAGTCGGTACGCAACGGGCCGAAACCCCCACCCAGCAGGCTTAACCTCGAAAAGGTACGATCGAATGAGCGTTACGAGAAGGCGACTTCTCCCGATGATGGACGGCCACGGCCAGCCCGCTCAGCATCTGCTGCCCCAGCCCGAGGCTTCTCTCAGCGTGACCCCCCGCCATCTAGGAGGAGGAAGGAGGAGGAGGAAGACGCTTACCCCGATGATGTCTATGACATGTACAGCGGTGGTAATGGCGGTGGTGGCGGTTCGCGGAGCAGCAGGTCCCAAAGAGGCGGCGGTGGCCGCACACGGGACCGGTACATTGAGGAAGAGGAGGAAGACGGCTCTGACTACGACGACGCATCTTTCGACGAGGGCGATTTTGAGATGGTGTCGAGCCGCCGACCCGGCCCTGGTTCCGTCCTCTCTGGTGGCTCAAGGCGCGGGTCCTCCAAGAGGGACACTCTCCGTACAATCCGTGTCAAGGTCCACGCCGAAGATGTGCGCTACATTGTCGTTGGCCCTGCGATAGAATTCCGCGATCTCGTTGATCGGATCCAAGATAAGTTTGGCCTGCGCCGCAGGTTTAAGCTCAAGGTCCGGGACGACGACTCGCCTGAGGACATGATCACGATGGGAGACCAAGATGACTTGGATATGGTCATGACGACAGTGAAGCAAATTGCGAGGAAGCAAAGATCGGAAACAGGGAAGATGGAGGTGAGTTCTATTTTGCCGATTTACCAATTTCTTCATGTGAGGTGCTAACGAGCATTTTCTAGGTCTGGGTTCAAGAAATATAAACCATACAGGCAACACCGGGAACGGCAGGTCATGGGCTTATTCATATTATACCCCATCGCCCAATGCGCCACGCCTCCTTGTTTTGGCTACGAAGTAACGATGGACGTCTCTTAACAAAAAGCAATCACCTATATCAACACCTTCATATTTTACCTTCTCACGCCTGGGGCAAACTATCAGCGAACCACATGTTGGGTAGCTTGCGTTTTATTCATTCGGCCTGCGATATCTATTCACTCGATTTTTCCGTTAGCTCATTCGACCTGCAGATTACGAAGACCTATGGGAGTGCGGCGTTATATATACTGGCAATGTCTTTTTTGTTGGAAAAGGGTGTGGGACTCGATCGGCGCATGCGGCAGAGCTGCTAGCCACGAAGATTATTCCTTTCGATAATACATCATGTTTACATGTCTACATTCTTTTGCGTCCCGGTCCCTCATGTGCACCATGTCTCCCTTCACGTTGTCACCTTTTCTATTCCTGTTTACAGGGCAGCGTTAACGAGCTAAAATAAGAGGCTCCGGTAGGTTCAAAGACCGGCTCGAGAGGGAATGTTCCACGGGAACCTGGCCAAGTTAACTTGATATGGACCATGCTGAAGCTTGAAAGGAGATGTGTTCAGTTGTCTTGAATATTCGGCGAACTTGCGAGACAATACATCATGGATTAGCGTGTTGCAAGCTGATTTAAGAGTCAACCCTTCGCACTGATTCCAGTTCTCGCTGAACCCTTACCGATCTGTCATTTATTCAGGTTGGGACTATTTATACTCTCTAATTATGAGTGTAGATGCCATGGGCATCCCGAGAGGGAGGGAGTAAATCAAAGTCAACAGGAAAAGACAGAACTATGGCCTCGTCGTTCTCGTTGTGTATTAGCACACACCGGAAGCCCCACTTCGCGATGTGTCATGGAAGAGGACGGGAAGAGTGATGAGTATTATCAGCCCGTTAAAATGATCACGACGTTCAGAGAGCCATATTTCTGATGATTTGTGTCTCCCTTAGCACTCAATTTGCATCGGTTATCTACCCCCATCCACAACCCTTTCTCCCTTCCCAAGCAACACCCAAACAGGAGCCCTTCTGCCTCTACTCCAATGGGTGGGTGGTCATGACCGAGTGGTTCATGTTTTTCGTTCCTCTCTCTCCCTCTCTCCCACTCCTAACCATCCTATCCTGCGTCTCAGAGACTCAACCCGACCAAGGATGTGAAGCGGGATGGGACCTAGACCAGCAACACAATGAGAAACGCGAGTAAGAGTGACCCGAGGCGGACGCAAGAAGAACGCATTGAGGTCAAGATGGACTAGACTGGGCTGAGTACAGCTACTTGAAGCCTGTATGAGACTCAAGAACGTCCGTCCGGGGTAAAAAGTTCCGCAAGAAACAGAGACCGTATGAAGAGGGGGAGAAAAAAATTCAGCAACCAGCGATGGAAAAATAATCTACACACTTTGCACACTTTGTCCCCGAAAGACCCGGATATAACGCCCACCCGCGCCTCAACCAGGATCGAGTTTAGATATACATTGGAAAACCCAGTGAGAAAAAAAAAGGAAAAAGAAAAGTCAGAAAATAGACGGGTGGGGTGGTGCGAAATGAGACGAGGTAAGGGAAGAGAAGCTGATAAGCCGTGTGCAGCCGTAGCGTGTCTAAGCGGGCTCGAAACCGAAGTAATGAGGCCGTAGAACACATAAGGCTGCTCGCCAGACCTGACCCCAGTGACTTTGTTCCGTCTGCCCTCATGATCCCGACCGAGTCTTATGCTGAGCGCAAAGCTCTGGTGCGTCTGGCCTTTCCTGTGCCTTGTCCCTAGCACAGATAGACGCGGGTGAAAGAAAAAAGGCTCAAGGAAAAAACAGAAGAAGTGCCCTGCCACCCATTGACCCTTGGTCACCTCGTTGTTTTGAATCGGCCCAGTATAAAAGGAAATAAAAGAGTGGGGCCCACGCAAACGATCCTAAGCAGCAAGAACCGAAGTAGAAAAGAAAAAGAAAAGAAAAAAAGAAGAGAAGTGAAAATGGAATGTAGGAGTCGGTGTTGACCAGACACCACCAGTATTCCTATTTCCATAGCGGTAGCCATCAAAGCACACCTCAAGCGCCTGCACGCCGTCGAATCAGGCGTTGTAGATGTCCGGCTCCTGGCCCTCGCCTCCGTCTTGCTGGTTTCCGCCCTCGCTTCCGTCTTGCTGGTTCCCGGACTACTGGTTAACCATCATCGACAGGCCGCGGGTGTCGTCGTTCATCATTTGGAGGTCGTCCAGACCGCGGGGCTCCATTTGGCCGAGACGGCTTTCAACGCCGCTGAGGCGGCCGTCCACGAGAGGCTGCATCCCGCCATTAGCGAGCGAGCCGTTGCCAAGACTGTTACCGCCCATGTTGGCGGGGGGCATGCTGGGGCCGCCCATTTGAGGGACGCCGTTGGCGCCGAGCATGGATGGGCGGCCGCCCTCGAGGGCCTCGAGGCGCTTCTCAATGTTATCGAGGCGCGCAATAATTGTATTCTCCATCCGGTTTAAGCCTTGGGATACATCGTGGGCGAGCCGGTCGACCTTGTTGGTAAGGCTCCGAAGACTCTGCGCGACGGGGGTGTTCTCCTGGCCAGGAGGGGCCGCGGCGACACGAGCTTCGTGGTTGTGACGGGCTTCTTGAACAGCGAAGCGCCACTGGTTGCCGAGGTTCACCTCGCAAACGGCCTTTGCGCGCCACGGGCAGTCGACCTTGCGGGTGGTGGGATTTCGCTTTTTGGCGGTGCTGTTGTACTTGACTCCGCCGCGATCGCACACTAGGTCGAAGCGCGTGGGTTTCCCATCGCGATAATTGCTCGAGCGCAGCTTGACGATGCTGTAGCCCTGCTCCTTTGCGGTCCGCTGCACCGAAGTGAGTAAGTCGTCGAACGAGCGATAAATGCCCTCCGGCGGGGGTACGAGGCCGGCGGAAGAGCCCAACGCGGGCGATTGCGGAGGCATCGAGGACGAAGCGGTAGCCGACGCTGGCGGCTGCTGTGATTGTTGTTGCTGCGGCGTTTGCTGCTGCTGGGGGGTCTGCGGTGGCTGAGGGTTCGAGTCCGGAACGGGCCAGGAGGGTATGTAGCCAGCAGTAGAGGCAGACGATGGGTTCGCCACGGCGGTGGGTGAAGTCGAGTTTTGAGCTGGAGCGCCGTACTGGTGTTGGTAGAGCAGGCGGTCGGGTTTGTTAGCCGCCACGCGCTGCTGCTGCTGTTGCTGTTGGTGCTGCTGTTGGGCTTGTTGGTGCGTTTGAGCAGCGTGCTGCGCGTGTGAATGATGCTGTTGCGGCTGCTGCTGGTGGTCACCAGCTAGGGCGCTCAAGCCGACCAGACTCGAGTTATCGGGCTGGGTAGGAGCCGGGGCGAGGGTCGATTGGGGCTCGGGGTATTGAGAATGTTGTGGGGGGGCGCTGTAGCCATTCATCAATCCGTCGGGCTCGGCGACCGGGTGCTGGTGCTGATGTTGGTGCTGATGTGGGTGCTGGTGCTGGTGCGATCGGTCCAGCTGCTGTGATGGGAATGTGGGAGGTTGACTGGGCACGGTGTCGACGGGCGCACGCACGGCCTGGGGATGATGGCTACTCGCAACAGTGGCAGGGACCCAGCCTTGGGGCGCCTGTGCGATTTGCCCGACTTGGGCGTGCTGGGCTACAGGGGCCAGCGAGCCTGGAGCCGCCGTGTTCCCGGCGTCTTGCACGCGGGCATTGCGGGCGCGCTTGCGGGGGCGCGGCTGGGCCTGCGATGGGCCTCCGGTCGCACCAGAGGGATCCATGATGATTGGTGATGCTGCGCTGTGTGTCCACGGGTGATGAGTGGCACGGAACAACCAGTGAGAAACACTGTGCTGCGCGGGTCCGGGGGAGCACGCTATTTGGTTGTAGTCGCAGCTTGGAGGGGAAATCGGCGCCTGCTGGGGCCTAGTTGGGTCCTGCCGAGAAGCGGCGCGTTTTGCACGCGCGATCGCCTAAAAATTATCGGCCGATTGGCAGAAGATGGAAACCGTTTATTTAAGGCGAGCGATGCAAGTACTGTGTCTGTAAAACGCAAAGGGAAAAAAAGTGGTTTGTTTTACGACGCGCGCCGAGAGGGGGGGAAATAAAAAAAAAAAGAGTAAAGAGCTTGGGAGACACGACTGGCGTGACTGGGCTGCACTCACACTCGGGCTTTGCTTGTTGGATCGGTTGGTTGATTGTTGGTTGTTGGTTGGCTAGGTCCCGGTTGTTGATGGAGGCCGCTTGTGAGCAACGACTCTTTCCCATGGCTGTGAGGTCAGGTTGTTTGCTTGTTCTCGGCCCACCTCGCTCCCACCTCGAGCCGAAAACTTGGCGGCCCAGTTGTTGGCCCGAGCGCCCGCCATTCATTCCATTCTCTAACTATTCTCCTACGAACAACCTTACTGTTCTTGCGTTCTCTGCAGCAGGCCACACCCACAAAGTCACGAGTAGGTCCATTCACTCATCAGCCACAATTGGAATCTGCTTCAAAAGCCGGCCTCTCCACACCGCTGTCCGCTGATTTGGAGGAGCGAGGCCAATCACGCACCCTTCTTCTTCCAAAGAGAGAGCCACCAACAAGGGTCACTGTGTGCTCATTCGTGGGTCACCATCAATCAATCACGCATCTTCCGACGCTATCACATTTAGCAGACGATACGGATATCTTGGGCCTTTTCTTTCTTTCGTTTCCGGTGGTGTTGAAGCAAGTCCTTTGTAAACTCGTTACGACCGAGACTTTGACTCAATTCCATTTGGAACAAAGCTGTAATCCATTTTCCTGTTCCTCCGTCTTCAAGCCTCGAGCTCCTGCCCTCAAGGCCGAGGTCGACGCCATCAAACATGGCCAACAATAATGGGGCCAACAATAAGCCAGCAGCGCCGGTCAAGGATAGTGCACAAGAAGAGCAGCAGCTCGAGGACATGTTGCATCGCCTCGACCAGGTGCATCTTCAGGTGAGTTTGCTCCGGGTGGCCCATCAATACCACCACGTCGCGATGCTGACCCGTTCATGCAATGCAGCTCAGACAACTTCGCTCGGCGCTTCCGCGCATGTTGGAGCCTCTCATGACCAAACAGCCGTCGCGTAAGTTTTCCACGGCAGGGAAGGGAGGGGTGGAGTGACCGCCCGAGAAGCGAGCGGAAGGGGTTGGGGTTTGCGGGTCTGGACCTGCACTGGACTCGGAGACCGGCATAGCGAGGAATCAACTAACAACAACACCGTGACCCTAGCCCAGGCTGCGTTTGCCGCTTACATGCAGTCGGTCGACAGCACAAAACAGGAGATTTCTGGCTTCCAGGAGGCCTATCTCGGTCTCTTCACCGACGGCGTCTTCCAGAGGACACGCCTTGGCCAAAAGAACGCAAAGGGCATCAAGCAGTGGCGCGCCAGTGAACACCCCAACTGGGCCGATCCAGACCCGAAGCGGCGACGAATTTCATAATCATTGCAAAAAGAAGCCCTGGATGTCTTTTATTTGTGGAATGAACGAGTTTCTGCTTAGGGGGGCAGCACGACCGGATGGGATACCAGGGATAAATGGATACCAGGTCAGGTGTATGGCGTTTTGGTGTGCAAAGTGGAAAGCCCGAGTGATATCCATTTTCGGAGCTAGGTGGTGGGTTTGGATAGGTTCATACGTAATACCTGAGTTAGAATTTCGGAGATCTATTCCCAGTGATTCAAGACTTTGATGTGTATGATGCTTTTGTTGGAGTTTGTAACTGGTGGATTTGGAGGTCGAATTGCGAAATGTGACAGGAGCAGGACAATGGGCACGGCTGGTGTCGGGCCGAGATTGTTCGGGTCCAGATGGATCCCTTCCCACATGAAAGCGGAATACAAATGGGTCTGTGCCACAATCCACACAGCCAAGACAGCCACACCATCTCCATTGAACCTGGCCATCTGCTGCCGGCTGGGAAAACGCCTGCCGGGTGGCAGCCCTGGAGCATCGAGCCGAAGTGGGGCCCGCATTCTGCACCCACACAGAAATTTCCAACCAAGACCTCAAAATTCAACCACCTCGCACACCGTGATCGAGTCGACGGAAACCATCACGTCAGCGACAACACCGCAGAAATGGCCCCTTCACGAGTCACATACCGTCGCCGGAACCCGTGAGTCCTCCTCGAAGCCCCCCCCCGACAGAATTGACGAGAATCGGAATAAATCTACGCGGCCGACGGAGGAGTGGAAAGGAAATGGGACTAACTCGCGGCCTCTTTTCACATGTAGTTACAACACCACGTCGAACCTGACGCGGGTTGTCAAGACTCCCGGCGGCTCGCTCCGTGTCCTCCACATCAAGAAGCGCGGCACTGCCCCCAAGTGCGGCGACTGCGGCATCAAGCTCCCCGGTGTAAGTTTTGCGATTTTCAATTTCCTTGTCGCATGATGGGAAGGCGGCGGTGGAGGAGGCTACGAGTTGGAAGCTTGTGTCATGGGAGGGATAGCGGGCAGGGATCGAACGAGGAGTCAATAAACCCAACGACGAGCCGATATCGACTACACGAACACATGGCCATCGAGGGACAAATGGGAAGGAGGGGTCGCTTGCGCCCATCGGTTCCCTCGCTCGTCTCGTGCGACTTGCTCGCCCGCACCTTGCCCGGCTCCCGACATCGCCCCTGACATTGGCACACCGTATTCTGACGAGGAGGGGCTTGGTTCGGATTCTTGGGACATGAAACAAATCATAGACAACAGTTTGCTGATTCGACGGTTTCTTCTATTATTAGATCCCCGCTCTTCGCCCTCATGAGTACGCCCAGATCTCCCACCCCAAGAAGACCGTCCAGCGCGCGTACGGTGGCTCGAGGTGCGGCAACTGCGTCCGGGACCGCGTCGTCCGGGCGTTCCTTATCGAGGAGCAGAAGATTGTCAAGAAGGTGCTGAAGGAGCAGAGCCAGGCCGAGAAGAAGAAATAAATGATGATAGGGGCTTGGTTTCGGTTCGGGTACGGCATGGGTGCGCTGGGTTGACGGTATCTCATCATTGCTTCGGTGTTCACTTTGGGAAACGGGGTGGCATGCCATAACACACACACACACACACAACAACAGCCGGGGTTGGTTGTTTCTGTTCTTAGGGCTGCTTTCTGCACCAGGATGAGGTTCGCAAAATGGGAGTGGACTTCAGGCCGTGCTTGTTCATGAAAGCAAGGAGTGGGAAGTGCTGTTGAACACGCGCAGCAAGGAGGCATTTTGAGTGCTGAGCGCCAATCGAGTACGGCCATGATCCAGAAATCCAGCCAAGTGTCGTATCCATCATTCCGACCTCTTATGTTACTGTTGGGCCCATATTGTTGTCTCCTTCTGTCCCCCTAACATTGCCTCGTCAGCGAACCGGAATCCTTGATATCACCACATAGTCCGTTTCAACCACTTGACTACGTCAAAAGTAAGAGATGTACATTATTCGTTTTAGTGAACTGGATTACAGTGAATCGAAACTCAAAAGTACATATCGAGGGGTCAATTGGACTATTTTCCCCGATAACTTTTACCCCCTGCAATGACGTCGAGCCAAGGGCCTTTCCCCGTTACCAAAATTTACAATCGAGCCCGATAACGCAAGCCAGAAAAAGGTGCGACCTATGCCCTTTAACACTGAATTCCTCCCCGACGAATAGCAGATACCACTTAATAAGGTTCGACGGGCTAGAGTAGACGTCCAAACGAAGAACAATGACAACACCAGCATTAGCGGGCCCCGCTCGCATCTCAAGTTCTGCTCTCCGCGCTCTGAGCTCGACCGCAGCCAGACCATTCTCTTCCCGCCCTCAAGCACCACCTCCCCGCACAAGGCGCTCTATCACCACTTCATGCTACTCTAGAACACGACTCGCTGCCGCTCCTGTCTCAAACCTCGCTCCTCAACTCCACCGACACCTCCACACAACTACACCCACTGAGCGACAAAAACACCCACAGCCAGAAAAAGCTCCCAAAAAGACAGACCTAGGCGATCTAGACGTACTCGCCTCGGCTCCCGTACCCTCCACCGCTGTCGAGGTCTGCCATGCCGACGGCTTCTCGCTCAATTCAGGAGTGCAGATTCAAGACGGGGTGGGCGCCCTGCTAGTTAGCGGGAAAGCGTTTTGTTGGAAGCCATGGCTAGTAGACGCTGGTGCCGGAGGGGATGGAAAAAGGAGATTGGTGAATGAAAAGGGGCAGTGGGATGTGGGCGAGGAAGGGTTTGCGTTGTTGAGTTTGGTTTGGCCGCGACCGGGTGAGTAACCCCTTAACTCCATCACCCCCTTTCCTCTCATTGTCATCAGCCTTTTCAACGTTTTCTCCCTCTTCTGCTATCCGGACTGGGAGAGGACGGTCGGCTCTATCCTACTTACCCACTCTCATTCTAACCAAACATTACCCCCGTTGTAGATTTGTTGATCCTCGGCCTCGGCCCTTCTATCCTACCCTTGAGTCCCGCCACCCGCCGTGCCATTAGCAACTTGGGCATGCGCGTCGAAGTGCTAGATACTCGCAACGCCGCCTCACAATATAACCTCCTCGCAACGGAGCGAGGGGTGGAGGATGTCGCAGCGGCTCTGATCCCTCTTGGGTGGAAGTAATGAGAGGTTCGCTAGCAGAGGGCTCCCGCTGTGTGTTCTGTAGTTTCGACCTTGTTTGGGGCCGTGATACCTGGAAAGAGGTTATCAAATTCAGAAAGGAATCTTTGTGTAAAAATAACCAAGGAACGGAAAGGGGAGCAGCGTGTATGATAAGGTGCATGATCTCAGACAATCCTGGAACGAGGCAGCACAGACATCCGGTTAGCCGTCCATCTCTCGAAGATTGGGGGCGCCCTGCGCTGAAAACTCACATCAACGTCGCCTCTTTTGATATTCAAGCTCGACCGCATGAATCTTGACACATAGGGGCTGATCGTAAGATGTGTTCACACGCTTCCAATTAAGGACTGCGTTCCGTATCAATGACAGGGACCGTGGACTCGAACTCAGGCCACCCATAGAAGCACTTCGTTGAACCTCGAACGCATTTGGTCGGAGTCAACACCGTCGTCATCGTGGCATTATTTTCTCTAAGCTCCCATCTAGTTTCCTGGATAATGGCACGCACCGCTTTGATCAGACACGCGCGCCTTCACCCATCCCCATTGCCGCCATATTCCCACCCCAAGTCCGTGACATATTCTATCCACACCATACAACCCACGCCACACCACTTTACAATTAATCTGCCGGTTAAGATAACCCAATCTTACACAATACTTCTTCATTCAGCAACCACAAGCTTATCGGGAGCGATGCCGAGCCCTCGAGGTTGATATGTTTATTAGGTCGGTCCAGCACCGATTTACTCAGCCGGAACGCTGGGGAAGTCAGCCGCGTTGGCCTCGACCCAGGCCTTCATGTCAATCTTGGCAGCGTTGGTAGAACCGCTGACGCCATATTGGGTAGCAATGCCCTCAACACGGTGGAACGCGTTGTTGTTCTTGTGGAGAACAATCTGGTAGACCGTGGCGCTACCCTGGCGGGAGATGATGGTCGAGTAGGCAAGGAAGTACTCCCAGATCTAAATTGTACGGTTAGTCAGTGTGAGAAGCGCAACAAACCAGACGGACACAAAACTTACGCGGAACCACCGCTTGCCGTACTTGGCCTCAACCTTGTCCTTGTTCGCCATCCAGTTCCGGTACCAGCGCCAGAGAGTGGCCGAGTAATGCACGCCAGTGGTGTCGACAGCCTTGACCTCGAAGCCGGCACCCTCAAGCTTGTCAATAAACCAGCCGAGAGGAGTGGAGGCATCAGCACCGGGGAAGACATATTTGTTCATGAAGAGACCCCAGATCAGATCCTCGTACTGCCAGCTCTTGCGCAGGCCAGCAATCTGGAGGAAGAAGACACCGTCGTCGTCCAGCATGTTGTAGACCTGTTTGCAGAAACCGTGGAAGTGGCGGACACCGACATGCTCGGCCATCTCCAGGCAGGTAATCTTGCTGTAGCCGCCTTGGGGCACAGGAATGTCACGGTAGTCCATGCACAGGATCTTGCTCTGCTCCTCGGGAACGCCAGCGCGGCGCATGGCGCCATTGCCCCAGGCGGTCTGGTTGCGGCCGAGAGTAATACCGGTGACCTTGGCGCCGTAGTTGACGCTGGCAAAGCGGGCGAGAGTACCCCATCCGCAGCCAATATCGAGGAGGGTCTCGTCCTTCTTGAGCGCAATCTTCTCACAGACGCCGGCAAGCTTGTTGTCCTGGAGCTCCTCGAGGGTCTCCTCGCGGTTGATGTCGCCGATGATACCACCGGTGTAAATCATGCGCGGGCCAAGGAACCAAGCATAGAAGTCGTCACCACGGTCATAGTGGCCACGTACCTGCTCCTCATCTAGCAGTCACAGTTCCTGTTAGCCCACCTACGCATGCACATTGCCTACTACACACGCGCGGTTGAACCATGAACTTACCTTGCGACCGAGTGTGCATGATGACCTCAGGCACCATGCCAGTCAAGAAGTACTTGATCAGGCTGAAGGTGAAGCGGAAGTTCGCCCAGTCGTGACGGTACTCAAGAACTTCCAAGGCATCGCCGTTGAAGTCGACCTCGCCGTCAAAGTACATCTCGTGGAAGGTTTCCATGGGGATTTTGTTGCGGCCCTGATACTTGGCCTTGTCGGCGGAGTTCTTGAACGTGAGGTAGTGCTCAACGGGACGGCCGGGAAGGCGAGCCTTCTCGTCCTTGCGAGGGGACATCGTGGAGGCAGTGATCCAGAAAGCAGCCAGCAGCGGCAGACTCGTGATGAGCGCCAGGAAAATCGTCGTCTTCAGACCACCGCCAAGTTTCCATGACAGGTAGACCGGCACGCCGCCGAGGATGGAGAAGAGAAGCTTGTTCGAGAAGCTCTCGGTACCTGGGCCCTCGGCGGGAAGAGGGGCATTCTTGATAGTCGGGTACTGCACACGGGGGAAGAAAAGATGTTAGCGGACGTTTAAGTCTATCAATTGGCCTCAGTTGGGTTCAGTGAAGCCCGTGGGCATGCATTGGGAGTGTTGGTGTCAGTGTTCGGCATCTGCACCGGTATCAAGTCCAGTAGCAAGCAACCAAATCACACACCGCCCACTCAAATCACCACTTACCGATGTCGTCCGCACGCCGCAGTCCTCGGCCTTCTCAAAAGTAGGCGTGCGAGCCTCGGGAGTCTCGACAAACTCAAATCCGGAGTCGCTACCGGTGGTGCTCTGTGGCTTCGACATGTTGGCGGCCAGCTGCTGCAACAGTCCTGAGTGCGGGACTGGAGAGCAGGAAAGAAGGTCGGTGGAGGAAGAGAATGAGGAAGAAAGGTTCCAGATTCCGCACTTTTTCACTACGACAGCAGAAGCTTGGGTCGGCAGTGGACAAGCTGGGGGGTACTGGGGGGGCTGGCCCCTGTGGGCCGCGTGTTGAGCTTGGCGCCAGCAGCTCTGAACAGGGATTCTGTACGTCGAACTGTCCGGGCTCTGTTGATCCTATTTGCCCCTTTCTTTGGTGGTGTTTTGTTGAGGCCAGTGCTGGTTCACTATTTTGTTTACATGGTTGCTGTTTTGTGCAGCCCAGGGGTAGCTCGATAGTGAGACTACACCGAGAGCCGGGCTGCGTTGAATTTTTGTGTCGTTGCGAGGCTGAAGTGTTGGAATAAAAATTGGCAGTGACATCCCACCGCCAGGACCTCACTAACCAAAGAACTGGATCCTCCCTGTCGCAAAAAAAGAAATGCCACGCAGTCCAGAAAACCGATTGGGTAATGGACCAATGAAGGGGCTGCAAAACACTTGCATGGAGTGGGAGCTTTGGCTATCTCGTCCCTTTCCCCTCCTCACGGCATCCTATCTTTCCAACTTCTTTCGGCCTTCCTGCAGGGAGCCTCCTAGCAGCCAGACAGGTACAACCTTCCCTCCCAAGGCCTTAGTTGCCGCAATCTCCCCTCCGCACTTTCCTCCTCGCTCGCAGCATCCTCGTAGCTGCCAACTGCGAACACCAGCCCCTCATAGCCAGCACCTGACGGCAACTCCACCTCCTGTTCTTCACCTGTAAAGTTCAACACCACTGCGGCCCTCTCCTCATTCTCACCCCTCTTCCCAAACACAAACGTACGCTTGTCCTCCATTGCGAACCCTTCAAATGCTCCATGGACCAGCAAATTGGCATACTCCTTGCGGAAGCGGATCATTCGTTTCCAAAAGCCCAATACGGACCCTTCGCCATCATGCACTTGTCTCTCTACGTTGATTTCCTTGTATAAATCGTGCACCCGCATCCACGGCTCAGTACTACCGTCCGTAAACCCAGCGTGCGGGGCTTCGCCGCTCCACTGCATTGGCAGCCGGGCGTTGTCACGGCCCAAGATTTGCAGGCCGCGCATGACGTTGGCAAGCTCGGCCGCCCGTTCTTGTTCGTTGACGGAACGCGCGGGATCCGTCATGGTCCGGTAGAAGTTGAGCGATTCGATATCGCGGTACTCTTCGATGGGCCACGACTTCGGGACATTGATCATGCCGATCTCTTGGCCTTGGTAGATGAATAGTGTCCCCGTCAGTGCACAGAGCATGAGGGAGAGCAGCTTGGCCGACGCTTCACGTTCGTGTGGTGCGTCGGAAGCGTATCGTGTTACAAAACGTCCTTGGTCTGGTGTTTGAGGGGCTGTTAGAAGACTCGTTACCTCAGCAGCTAGCACGGAGCATAGGAAGCGTGACGTTACCGTGGTTTTCGCAAAAGACGGTCGTCCAACCGTCGGTGCCGTCGATGAACTGCTGCCACTTGGCTACGATGTCTTTAAGTTCTGGCAACTCCCACTTCTCAAAGAGGTACTTGTGATCTTGTCCCTGACCAAGAGCGACAAGGTCAAACTGGAACACCATGCTCAGTTGCTTGTCGCCGGCCCCGACATATTCGAGGACCTTCTGGGGCTCGGGTGTGTGCGGGAGCTCGCCCACCGTCACAGCATCGTAGTGGTTGAGTACTTCTTGGTTCATCTCCCGCAGGAACTCATGCATCCTTGGGCCGTTGGCGTAGTACATCCACGCCGGCTGCTCGTAGAACCTGCTATCAAGGACTGGGGCGTCCTTGAACTCGACCCCCTTTGAATACCTTTCCACGATATCTGGGTCAACAGTGCCTTTCCGAGATCAAAAATGAAAAAGGATATGTAGTAACTCACATATTGACCACATCCACTCGGAAACCATCAATCCCTTTATCCAACCAGAAGCGCATGGCACTATCGTAGATAGCCTTGCGAGTCTCCTCATTCTCCCAGTTGAGGTCCGGTTGCTCCTTGGCAAATAGGTGCAAGTAGTACTCGCCCGTGTGTTCGTCGTATTCCCAGGTCGGCCCGGAGAAGTAGCTTCGCCAGTTGGTCGGTGGCAGCCGAGTACCATCTTCTGTGTACCGGGGAGGCTTCCAGATATACCTTTTTAAGGGGGCATGGGGTTAGATGCAGATCGTGAGGGTAGACATTTCAGGATTGTGATCGCAACTTGCCAGTTGCGCTTCGGGTTGTCTTTCGAGGATCTCGACTCTTTGAACCAGGCGTGCTGGTCAGATGTGTGGTTGACAACGAGGTCTAAGATGAGTTTCATGCCCCTTGTCAGGCGTTAGCTAGCTGGTGTGGATAGGCATATGTTGTGATGGAACGATGAAATACCGCTTGTGGCAAGCCTCGATGAGGGCTTCCATGTCCTTGACAGTCCCATACGGCGCGTAGACTTTCTCATAATCGGATATGTCATAGCCCATATCGACCTTACACCCGGGTCAGCCCTGAATTCACAGTTGTAAAACTAGCCTTGATAACCCGGTGGCTTCTAATTTTTCCCAATTTGACGATGGTCCTACCTGAGGACTATCAAACCTATTTCTCGCAAAACAATTAGAGCTATACTGCGTGTTATATCGGAGAAGAGCACAACAAATAGTTTGAAAGTCATGTAACTGCAATGCAATACATACATGGGTGAAATCCAAATTACATCGATCCCAAGATCTTTGAGGTAATCAACCTTGCTCAAGATCCCAGGGACATCTCCAAGCCCATCGCCGTTGGAGTCTTTGAAGGACGCGGGGTAGATTTGGTAGCAGACTGCGTCCTTCCACCAGGGGTTTGCTGAGGCTTCTGTCATTGTTTCAACTGTCTTTACGGTGCGTGGTTCGGGAGTTGAAGCTAGAAAGGGGGGCGACACAGGACAATAGTGAGTTCAAAGTCCTGAACTGGTGATGTTACAATATTAAATGGCCAAGCATCAACACCACCCCCTGGCTAGGATCCAGATCACAGACGGATGTTCTTGGGGGCAGGATGGATGCACACAGTGTGCCTCGTGAGGTAGCAACTAGGCACGACCAATGCCCGCATTATGCATGACGACCTTACCTCGGACCGGCGCTGTGTGAGATAACGACGAAGGTAACCATAGATGGCAAAGCGGGCACCAAAGAAATGTCTGTAAGTGGGCTCGAAGTGGGCTGCATCTGCAACGACCACAGCCCGCTAAATATATGCTCGAAACGAGACAGCAGAATCCGGTAGCATGCATGAGAGCACTCAGGAAAAGGTATTGTGGGGAGGTAGTCATGGAGAATTACAGACTGAGGAACTGAGGTGCTTGGGTTTTTGATTTTTAAACCTGGCGGGTTTTCTGACACAACCCGAAACCCTCAAAGTGCCAAGATGCATCCGTAGAAAGAACGGAGGGCTATGACGAGAAATGTTCGGCTGTTGGGCACTTGCTGTAGAAAGTCTGAGCTTGCTCGGTTGTGATTATGAACCTGGAACATAGTCTCAAATCATCACCAACACGGAACCTTGAACTATGAGCGATGTCACGGGCCAGAGTAATAATGCCCGTAGGTGGAGTGTTCTGGCGTGCTGCAAATACCTGACCAGACTGGCCTACTGAGGAGACGGGACTTTGTAACGGAATGACGGATGGGCCTGGGTGTGCGTCGTTTGCTAGGCCACCAGGAAACCTCGTCTGCTCGAAGCCGAAGGGCGTTACCTAAGTCAAAAGTTGTCCGGGTGACTGTGTCTGATCATGGCTCATCGGGTGCTCTCCGGCACCTGAGAATATCGCCGCTGATGAACGTCCTTGGCTATCTGTCACGGCTGCCTAGTACTGACGGGTGAGTGTCAGCCGATATGGCGAAGTGGAAGCTAAATGTCATCGATACCAACCTGGCTAAGGGCATGAAACGATGCACGCGCGCCTATGGAGAGTTCCTGTGTGATGTCCTCAAATCCGGAACATTGAGGGATATGAACGTGTCCGGATGGGTATATCGAATTCGGTGTCCCAGTAGCCTATCTCTCTCGCCGCCGGTCTCGTTCTCGGTCCCGTTCCCGCTCCCGCTCCCGTTTGTAGCTATCAGCATATCGGTCTTCTACGCGCTGGCGCTTCTTGCTTTCCTCCCTCCGGTAGTCGTCAAGCCGGACAGGGCGGGAATCCTTGACTGTCTTTTGGTTCCACGCGCCGAGATCCTCCGCACCTTTTACATCCTTAGCCCCAAGCCCCGTCAAGTTGGCGTGCCGTGTCACATCTTTTACTTTCCCCTTCATCTTGCCGTCCCAACCAAACCCGCGGAGAAGATGGGCGCCGAAATCGTCGATTGGGATGGATTGGTAGTCCTCTGCTCGTGGTTCTCGATCGGCCGCGCCGGAGTCTGGGTGCTTGCGTTTTGGGTTGCGCGCGCCCATAAGGGCATCCAATGCTTCGTCATCGATGCTTTTCGCCGGATTATCTTCCCTTTTTGTACCACTCTTGGAACCTGCGACACCCGTCCGCGGGTTTGACCCTTCCTTTGCACCATCCTTTGCGCCCCTCATATTGATGGTCAACCCCCATTTTGTCGGTTTGTTTTGTGGCCCCGAATCGCTTGGCTCGCTATCAGGCTCTCTGGGTCCTGGACTAGCCCCCCTTCGATCAGGTTGATCTGAATCGTCGTGTTCTTCGCCTTTCGTAGTTGTTTTGTGTTTTGACGAGTTGCCGCGTCGGCTGGGCTTCTCGGTGTCGAGGTTCGCTCCCGGAAGTTCCCAGGATGTGATTGTCTCTTTGCGGCCATACGACTGGTGTTCGCCGTCGCTATTGTCTTCGGATCCAGACTCTTCGTTTGGCGAATGTGCTCGATGTCGTTTTCCATGTGTCGGACGTGTATGTTTCTTAAAACCGTGTGGTGAACCAGCGGGGGCATGATTTCCAAGCTGGATCGTTATCCGTGAGGATTTATTACCGTCGTTAGACATGGTACTAGCAGTCCTGCGCTCTTTAATCAAGAGGATTTCGTCGAAACACCAAAGAAAGTGGTGTTGTAGGAATGCCCATTCCGTAATTCGCACAATACGAAGGTCGCCCGTTACTGCAACGGATGAGGCGGCAATGTGGGTCTGGTAAGTCTGAGTGTCCGTACGCTGGCGGCTCCTTGGTGTCCGTGACACTTGTGGGGCCAAGTGCGTCCTCTTGTGTAGTCAGCCTGAGGCAACGAACCTTGCACACCTTACAAGATTATCCGTCAGAGGACCCTTGACATACCAGAATCAAACTGGCCTTGCTCCCAAACACCAACCGAACCTCGACGCATCCCCTTCCCATCGCTATCCGATCCTCTCCTCCTCGAACAGCCCGCGTCAAGGAACGCTGCCTGCCAACGACAAACTATCGACACTACCTCGAAGACGGTACCTTGGGGCCGCTTTTTTTTCCCTTCTCAGGGCTGGCGACGCAAACAATGGGAGAGGAATTCGTCGGGGGTTTATCGTTGCCAGTGCTGGTCCCAGAGCACGCGCATCGTCGATTCAAGTCGCCGGGATGCTAGGAGCGGCCGCATGGATTCAGTCGAGTCTAGCATCACCATCACCTTCTCGTTTTCTCCTTTCCATCTCTCGTTTCTTCTCCTTGTTGTTTCCATCTGTCGCAGTGCGGCAGTCGGATATTTCTCGGCACGAGTGCCAAGCGGCACAGGTTGAGTGGGGCACGGCCCCTCAATTCCCACAGTATGGGAATTGGCATTTCTTCCTTTTGACACTGTGTTTCTTTTGCCTTCGATGGCCAGAGGCGTCCATCGGGCTGTTGTCGGCTGGGTCTTCAGCGGGGTTTTAGGCCTGGCTGCCTTCTAACCCGCCCCCGAGTTGTCGTCAGCACCACCACCAAACCCACCCTTCCTGGTACTTTCAGCGCTGAGAACATCCTGGCTTAACATTTTTGAACCCCCCGACGGCGTCGCTCCCGCCCGTTCCCGTCGCCCACTGGCACGGTGGATTTCACCACCCCCTCTCAACACGGCTCGACAGAGATTTACGCCCTGCTTGACCCAGCTCAATCAATCAAACCGGTGTTGAAAAGTCACAACGCCGGCATTTTTCATCCTCTGTCATTGCGTTCTTCATTTCCAACTACTCTGCTTAAGTCGGAATCGTCATCCGTTTGCAAAAAAACGGATGTCGCCGTTGCCGATGACATGACTGAGCTCCCGCTCGCCGACCGCCTCAAACTGCTGCGATCAAAACAAGCAGAAATAAAGTGCGAATCATTCCATTCGATAGATCTCAATTTTGCGGTCATTTTGATGGGCGATGTTTGATATTGATGCGTTGCAGGTCAATTGTGTCGTCGCGGAAACGCAAGCTGCGCGAGCTTTTTGCCGTTGCGACCGACGAAGATGGCATTCCCAACTTTGACTACAGCGACCCCGACGCGCTGGCTATCACGCTCCCCGAGGCAAAATTTCTAAACGAAGCCGACATCTTGCAGTATGTTGCACCATTTTTCCCCCTGCACGTCGAAATCTGTTTTATCTCTTTTTGGATCTCTGTTTCCTTTTCCAAATGATATCGTCGCGACGCGTTCCTTTTGGTTGCGTCGGCTCCTCTAATCACCTCTTCGCATTTACAGGGGTCGCCGACTCCACGAGCGTCACATACCGACGCGCCGCAAGGCCTTGTTCGATGCGCAGCAACTCCGAGCGAAGTATAACCACCGGGCTTCCGGTCCCAGCACCTCGGCACCGACAAGTACGACCGAGAATGGTGTACATTCGCAGGATGCCGATCCAAAGTCACTCAAGGCGACCGCTCCTGGCCCAAGCAGTGGATATTTGTCTCCTCGGCCTATGTCAAAGCCATCGCAGGCGAGTCAAGAACCTGAAGCTACTATTCGACAGCCCGCTGCCGTCGCCGACGGTCGGGGCGACAGCTTCCGGGCTGGTTCAGCGAATGGGGCATCTACTTCTCTCCCGGCCCACGTTCAGGTCAATGGCGCCTCCGAAAATCACTTGACTACGGAGGACGGGAAGACCGTGGCGGCCCCTCCCCATCCACCGCCGCCACCCTCTTCAGTCTCTTTGCCCGTTACCACACAGCCCTCCCGTGTCGATGCAAGAGTTTCTCAAACCAACCAAGACCAGTCTCAGACGAAAGTGGAGGAAGGGCAGGATGCGAAGCCGACGGAGACGGTCTCGCTGAGCCAGGATGCATCTGCTCTCGACAGCTCTCGCCATCCAGATGCTCTGTCATCGCCGGGATCCACCGCGCCGTCAATGTTGACACCGGCCGTGCACGATGCGTCCGCCAACACCAGCCCCGACAGCGAAGCAGAACAATATTCCGAGCTCAACGACGAGACAGTTGGGAGGAAGCAGGAAGGGAGCGATAGAGTAGAGGAGAGAAAAGGAAGTGGTGAAGAGACAACCACATCGTCAACAACGGCCCCTACATCTGACGCCTCTCTACCTACCCCGATCAGTGGCGTGGAAGAGCAACTTCTTCAGGAGTCGGCTGCAGCGCAACTTAGCCAACCAGCCGGCTCTGCAGTTGATGCTGGTGCATTGCGAGAAGCGCCGGAGGATAATGCACTAACCACTGTGAGCAACGCGGTCATCGAACAGGGTACGAAAGCGACAGGGAGCTTGCCAAATAACCAGCACCCCGCCCAGCTACCCTCCAACACGCAGACACCCAGGAATTCGGAACACGAACAACCTGGAGATACCCTACTACCTATGGACATTGATGAGCCAGAGACGGCCGCATCGACACGGCAGCCTCCCGAAGTTGGTACAAGGAACCGCGGGACAGTACAAGGCGTCGCCGATAAGGTGAAGGCTGAACCGGGCGCCGAGTTGCGGACATCGACTATCCCGACTATGCCGGAGAAATTTTCTGGGCCAATTTCTAGTTCGCAAGCAAACGGTGCCTCCCAGCTAGCCCAGCGAGATACAAACGTCCCTCGGAGACCATCCGGTCCGCTCAAGTCACGCGACAGGCGTCGGCAGAGCGTTCCCACGGTCATCTTTGGCAAGCAGCCAAAGAAATCCAAGCCGCCTGAGGAAGATGGGACAGTGGTTGTCAGCGAGAAGCGGACTGGACGGATTCCATCTGATGATTACTTCACGCCTCTCTTCATCGAAGGATTCACGCGGCAGTCGAACTGGATGAAGCCCATCGAGAAACTGATCAACCAGGCTCACAAAACGATCTCCACTTCAGACCAGTACATCTCGATGCTAGACCATCAGGCATGCAAGATTCTGCGTAGGGTGTATCATCTCCAGCAGCATGATAAGTGGTCTCTCCGACAACCAGTCCGATGCCCAGAACCAACGCGGCAACGTTCTCACTGGGACGTGCTCATCCAGGAGGCAAAATGGATGCGGACCGATTTCCGTCAGGAGGGCAAATGGAAGCGAATGGCGGCGCGAAACCTTGCCTACGCCTGCGCGGATTGGGTCAACTCTGATCCGGCTACTCGGTTGGGACTGCAGGTGAATGCAGTCATCCCACCCCGGCGGGTGGCTTCGCAGGTAGACGGGCCAAAGGACGTTGTGTTTGAACCCTTGGACGATTCCCTTCCTGAGCTGATTCATACTGATTCCCCGACGGAACATGAGGATGAGCTGCCGGACGTCCTGGTTCATTCTATCTCACCTTCGGCTATTTTCAGCTTACCAAATGACGAAGTCGTGTTCCAACTCCAACCCTCCAAAACAGCCGATCTACTTCTTGAGAATCTACCACTTTATGGATCACCTTTAGCCATTCCGAAGTTCGATGTCGCGGATACGGAGCACGACCCTGATGCAACGTGGAAGCGACCTGCCGTGCCTTTGAGCAAATATGTCGAGGGCGAGATGGTGCTCGCCGGCAAAAGGCCGCCTCGCAAGCGCCGAAGGTATGACTACTTGGACGAAGATGACGAGGACGATGAGATTGATGGGGTCATTTTTGGGGACGGGTTGGACAACGGGGCAGAACTCCAGGCTAAAAGCTCGGCTGTCGCTCTGTTCAGCTCGGACATGAAGGGGATCCGAGACCGCCTCCATGCGGGCCATCAGTTCCGCCCGCCGACTGAGCATCCCATGCCCCCACAGAACTTTTTCGAGAGTCGAACGGCATCTCAGTGGACGTGGGCCGAGGACGAGCAGCTCAAGTCGCTTGTGCGCGAATGTTCTTACAACTGGTCCTTGATCTCAACTATGGCTTCGACGCCCTCCACATTCGCATCTGGAGCCGAACGCCGCACGCCTTGGGAATGCTTTGAACGTTGGGTGAGCCTCGGAAGCCTAGACGGGCTGCCGAATGATATGGCCCGGACCCCCTACTTCAAGGCCTACCAAGCGAGGATCGATGCGGCCCAGCGCGTCATTGCGCAGCAAAACCAGAATGCTCAGCAGCAACAGCAAGTTGGGCCGAACGGGGCGGTGGCTCCAGTTCCACGACGTCGACCCACTACGAGCATCCGTGTCGAGCGGCGCCGGAACCAGAAGCACCTTGCCCTCATTGATGCCATGCGCAAGTTGGCCAAGAAACGGGAGGCCACGGCCCAGAAGGCCCAGCAAGCCGCGAATTTGGCAGCCATGCGCAAGGCCAGCGAGGTACCGAGACAGCAGATTCAGAACAAGACGCCGCGAGATTACAGTATCATGAGGTGGGAGCGGGACCAGGCACTTGCTGAACGCATGGCTGCATATGCTATTCGACAAGCCGACGCGAATGCCCGGAGACTCGTGAGTACATTTCTAGTCCAGGTATAGAACCAACATTGACTAAACATTGTGACGCATGCAGAAACAGAACCACGCTGGCCAGGTTCCAGGCACACCTGGTACAGTCCCCGCAGCTCAGACCACCGCGCAACAACTTGCTACAGCAAACTCGCTCAACAATGCCGCCCGTGGCAACGCAGCTAGCCAGGTTGCAATGGCTAGGCAGGGCCAGAACCCGGGGACCGGACGAGTCTCGGTCGCCGCGACGCCCGGCGCAATCCCTGCCGCCGTCCAGGCCCGGATGGCAGCTGCTGGCGGCCTCGTTCCGCCGCTTCAGATGGCTGGTATCCCGCAGGCTCAGCTCCAGGCAATGCAAGCTGCTCAACATAGACTTCCCATGGCCAATCCACAAGCGGACATCAGCCTCATGCTCCAAGCCCGGTCCATCCACCACCAACAGCGGGCCATCCAGCAACTACACCAACAACAAAATGGGCAACATCAAACACAACAGGGGCAGCAGCAGCAACAACAACAGCAACAACAGCAACAACCACAAACTCAAGCTCAGCAGCCGCAGCTTCAACAACCTCAGCCACAACCCCAACAGCCATCCCACAATCCCCAACAACAGCAGCAGCAGCAACAGCAGCAACAGCAACAATCATCCCATCCGCCGCCACAAACAACGCAAGCACAACAGGTACACCATAATCAGCAGACTCAACAACATACACAAGCCAATGGAGCCCAAGGCTCACCCACGCCAATGCGCAACGTGATCAACGGTCTGAATCAGGGTGCATTCCTAAACAACGCGCAAGCCATGATGGCATCATTCGGTGCCGCGAATGGTGCGGGGTCGGCTACATCGCCCGGCACCGGCCTGAGCATGCCCACCATGCCTGGCCGGTCTCCCGGTGGTATTTTGAACCAGCACATTACTCAACGCCTTGCCGAACTTGAAGGCCACTATCGCGCCAAAAACCCGAACCTTCCTCCTGAGACTGTGCGGCAGCTCGCGACTGAGCACTTAGGTCGTATGATCGTGCAGAGCCAGCAGCAACAGGCAGCCATGAACGCAGCAGCTGGAGGGGTCGCACAACAGCCAATGAATAGTCCTCATCAATACGCCTCTCTTCTTCGTGCCCAGCAGCAAGCTCAAGCTCAGCAGGCAGCGGCGCAACAGGCCGCGCAGCAGCAGCAACAACAACAGCAGGCAGCACAACAGCAACACCAAAGGCAGTCGAGCGGAAGTGCAACGCCGGCGCCGAGCAAGTAAATTTATCTATTTACGTTGCTTTCTACCCTGTCAGCCACGAAGGGAGCCTTGCGCGAGGGCAAACGCATTTGTTCCTTGCTGCCAGATATATGCATTGCTTTCTCTTTTTAATAGGCATGACAGGAACTCTTTGGCTCTCGCCCTAAGCTGGAGGTATTTTGCTTTGTACTCTCCGAAGCCCCCGTTGCTGAGAACTGGAGAGACTAGATGGTCGTCACAGGGCGATGTTATGATAATGTGTTCATGTAGATAACTTACGATGGGTCAGCCATATGATCAGAGTAAATACCTAGTCTTATAATACATTTGCGGCCAACTGGCTGTGATGGAAACTTCTGGATTTTTGCATCCTTGGTTGGTGAATGAGCGGGCACGGCGGGCCATGGTCTGGATGAAATGAACAGCGGCGGCCATGTTCGGTCGATTCCATTGTCGCTGATAAGATAAGAAATCCGCAGGGGACTTTCCCCACTTAATTTTCAAAAAACCAAATGCCTGGTCAATTCCTCTTCCATTGAAAGCGAAAAAAAAGAGTGTGAACAAAGCTTCGCATCACCAAACAATCATCACAATGGTAGCAAAGAGGAAAAGAGAAGCCGCCCCCGATGGCGACCGTGCCGACTCCAAGGCTGCAGCCAAGAAGCCCAAGGCATCGACACCCGCCGCGCCCGCCAAAACACCACGACCGACGGCGGTAACCAAGCTTGACACCAACAGCCCAGTGACAATCCAGATCATCGCGGGGTCTTACGACCGAGTGCTTCACGGCGTCACGGTGACGGTCAACCCGGCCATTGTCCCGGCAAAGACTCCCGCCCAAAAGAAGAAGCCGGCCCCGAAAGAAGACGCCCCAAAACAAACCGTCACATTCGCCGACACCTTCCTCTTCAACGCCCACAACTCCGCCATCCGCTGCCTCGCGCTCTCCCCGCCGTCCGCCCCAGCCCCCGGCCAATCGCAAAAGGTCCTCCTCGCGACGGGCAGCACCGATGAGCGCATCAACATCTACAATCTCTCCGCCCACCCCCCATCAGCGCGCGCAGCCGACGACCAACAAGCTCTCTCCTCGCTCGCGCCCCGCCCGATCCTCGAGAACCCCAAGAACCGCGAGCTCGGCACCCTGCTGCACCACGCAGCCAACATCACGCGTCTCGCGTTCCCCAACCGCTCCAAGCTGCTGTCCGCTGCTGAGGACTCCACCGTGGCTGTGACTCGCTCGCGCGACTGGACGCTGCTGCATAGTTTCAAGTGTCCTGTGCCGAAAGCGTATGGCCGGCCGAGCGGGGATACGGCCGCGCTGGGGACGGCGCCGGCGGGGGTGAATGATTTTGCGGTGCATCCGAGTAATAAGATTATGATTAGTGTCAGTAAGGGGGAGCGGTGCATGCGGTTGTGGAATTTGGAGACGGGGAAGAAGAGCCGGGTGTTGAATTTTGAGCGGGTGGTGTTGGGGGAGGTGGGTGAGGGTCGGCATTCCACAGGCGAGGCGAGACGGATTGTGTGGGGGAGCAGTCGGGATGGGGAGGATGAGTTTGCGGTGGCGTTTGAGAGGGATGTGTTGGTGTTTGGGATGGATTGTTTGCCCCGGTGCCGGGTGATGGGGGAGGAGGTGGGGGTCAAGACGAAGGTGCATGAGATTTGCTACGTGCGGGTTGGGCAGAACAAGGACGGCGAACGGGACGACGAGGAAGCCGTGCTGGTGGTATCGACTGAGGACGGCCGGTTGCTGTTCTTCTCGACGGCCGCGGAGGACCTGGCGGAGCCACCTAAGGATAAGACGCTGCCGATCGCGAAGCTGGTGGGCCAGCTGGGCGGGAAGGAAGCTGGCGTCGCGGGGCGCATCAAGGACTTTATGGTGCTGCCGGTGGAAGATGAAGAGGAGGAGAACGGCACACGGTCGTTCTTTATCGTCACCGCGGGCAGCGATGGGCGGATCCGGCTTTGGCAGGTGGGCGCTGGGGAACTGCTGGGCCAAACGAGACCAGGCAAGCAGCACACTCAGGCGGGTGACCTGTTGGGTGTGTACGAGACGCAAAACAGGATCACATGTTTGGAAGCGTTTGTGATGATAACCCGACCGGCGGGCGCAGAGGAGAGCGAGTACGAGTTTGAGTCGGATGAGTCGGAGGATAGAGATGAGGAGTAGGTTGTCTACATAGTATAATGATGATGGAGATGATATGCTCGGCTTGTGGTTGTTCCCTAGTACTAGATACGGAGCCAGGATAGGCTCTACACCCTACAACCCAGGAACTCAACACCACAGCAGGAAACATTGATACCAACATGCAGCCGGCAGAGCCCATTGTGAATATCGATATTCGACATCCAGGGGCTGGCAGAAAGGTTCGCAGCTGCGATTGTTGACCCAGCTGGTTGATTAGTTCTTTTGGCACATGTATCAATCTTAACGGATTTTGAGAATTATGGCTGGAATAGTTGCCTAGATGCCTAATGTCCATAGGGTCAAAGTATTGGTGCTCAAAATCATATTTTAAACTACTGAGGACTTGATTTATTCTTTTTCGTCTTCTTTCAATTTTTTATTTATTCTTTTTTGTCTTTTTCTCGGAGTTTCCATCTACACTACATTCGTAAAGACACAGGAAGTATCGGATGCAATGCAAGCAGTAGCGGGGGACGTGAGAAAAACCTTGGTTGTGAGGAGGGGTTGACTGCAAGAGTTCGAAGCTGAAGAGCTCGAAAAGGGCATGATAGGCTCGATAGGTGGCCCTGGGAACATCAGCAGTTTGAGACGAGGGGGAGAGACCAAGGAAGATACAGCAGATGGTAAAATGCCCAAGTCAGGCGACCTGTAGCCCAAAACGAATAAGCTTGGGAGAAAAAACTTGGTGGAACTTGTGTTTTCGTGCGCTGGTTGTTGATCACATGTTGAAAGGCCAGGATGCGCCTGCCCCCCAGGATTTTGCCGCTGCTCGTTTAAGCCGCCCCACATTCACAACCACCCCCCAGTGAAGCTCCGACGGAGAGTTCAGGAAGTGATGGGGTCCTTCAACCCCCTGTTTTAGGCTTAGCGCGTCGGGTGTTCTCCAGTTTCTCTTGTCGATTTCCCGCTGGCGAGGCCCGTTGTCAACTTGTCCCTGGGGTTCCAACTGTGGGGAATTCGAGATATGATACCTATTTCGTTGCACTTTCATTTGGGGCCGTTTCCTAATGGGTGGCTCGCATCACAGACTTGAGTCAGGGTAAACTGAGAGTACGAGGATAATGGGAATGGGCGGGTGTTGAAATGTAGTGTACAGCTGCAGATGAATGCCCACTGGATGGGCGTCAACCGACCGAGGACCCAGGGTTACGTCGTGTCCTCGCAACCCAAGACAAACGACGATCTGATCGTACGTTGTGGGAGAAAACTGCACGAAAAATGCGTGTTCAGGCCTCATGACTTGGTTACACGGCCCTCCTATCCTTGCCCGTTGCAGTCGAATAGAAAATCGATGCCACCCATCGCCCAATCTGCAGAGTTGTGGGAGGGCACCACCTACCCCGAATCAAAGAGGTTTTTAATATTACAACGTTGCCCCCCTGGGCGCTTCGCTTCGCAACTCCCGACGCGTCGCCTTGGTCTCAACTTTTCACCATTTTTATCCTGCTCTGATTCCAATTTTTCTAGGGCTAACGCTCGGCCAACACGTTGATATACAACCGTCTATGCCATTCCGGACGGTGGAATCAAAATCGACTAAACGGAATAAGGAAGGAAGCTCTCGGTAACCCGCATTTATGACACACAACCACGGGCTCTTTCTCTGTGCCATCGGGACAAAGCCAACGCCGACGCCGACGACTGAAAGACACAACCTTGATCCGCATCTCATTCCATATTCTTAATTTCAACCATTACCGAATACAACAGGACTCCGTTTCGGTTTTGTGCACAGCAGCTCAGGTTCACGAGCCCCCGGGTCCGCATATTAATTAGGGGATTTGGTTTATTCGGGGTGCCGAGCCCGTGCTCCTGCAACGCGCGCTGTCCCAAGCACAGTCATCCATACGTCTGGAACCTCGGTCGCGGCTCATCTCAACATTTCAACATTTTTTTTTCCAAATAACAGCTGCACCTGCATTACACATCAAACATACATCAAAAAAGGCTCGCTTGCGCCCTCACGTCACAACTTATAAGCCTAGCTTTGGTTTAGATCCGAACAGATCATCAATCCCAGTAACATTCACCAATCATCATCATTCCCCGGACAAGCAAACCATCCATCATCAGCCCCCAACACAATGGACGACGGGCCGGGAGACGGCCGACCCGAGTCTCCGGGCCTCAACACCTCCGGCCCCAAAATCATCCGGCCCATTCCCCGCCGGCCCTTCAAACTCGCCTTTTCCACGCCCACGCCACCGGAGGACGACGATGAGTACACCTCACCGCGGCCGCAGATCACCGCCAGCGACCTGCGCTTTCTCGCTCCCCACCAGCACGCCGCGGTCGCCACGCCGAGAAGCGATAGCGGCAGCCAGGATGGCAGCAACCCCATCAGTCACACCACGTCCCTGCTGAACTTGACCGCTCCGGCTTTGTATGGCATCTATTCACCTTCGACGCTGGGATCGTCGTCGCTTAGTCGAGCGGATGAGGAGGAGCCGGACCAGGACTATTTTAGGGAGGACGCAGACCGCGGCAGCAGTTTTGGTAGTAGTGGTGGTGGTGGTGCGGATACACCGCTGGATTCTCCGGGACCGCTACATTTGGCTAGTATGGACGTGGCAGCAGATGAGTTGAGGCGTTTGCGGTCCTCGCTTTTGGCGCGGAAGGGGAATTCCTTTTTGGGACCAGCACCAGTAGCAACGGGAGTAGCAGTGGTGGGACAAACAGGAGGAGGAAGTAGGGCAGCCCCTTCGTTGCTTTCGAGGAGACAGGAGCGGAAGCAGAAACAACGAACAGGGATAGTGGCCGTCCAGCTTGTGCTCCGCGCAGCGCTGCTTTTTGTCCTCGGGGTCGGCTACGGCGTGCTGGTCACGCGGCTGCCACAGAAGAATAGTCGTTTGGGCCAGCATCAGAACAGCAGCAGCAGCAGCAACAGCAACAGTGGCACCCATCGACTCACCACACCCCCAGCCGCAATCGACGAAACGAGCCTGGAGTGGCGGTACCTCGTGTTTTGGGGCGTCGCAGGCGTGGCGCTGGGGACTTTGCTGCCGTGGTTTGACCGCTTCTGGGAAGAGACAGTAGCGGCGCGGCGAGAAAAAGCCTCCGGCGCGATGAGAAGCAGCAGCAGCAACCCCCAAAAGAGCAGCAGCATCGACGGGCCTGATATCGACCTCGGAACTGACACCAACCTTAACCTCAACCCCGACGGTGACGCTGACCTCGGCGCCGACATCGAGCCGCCACAAACAACACCCACATCACCACCCCCAGCAGACTGGACCCTCGTGATCCGCGGCATCGGCGCCTTCGTCGGCATAGCCTTTGCCATCCGCCGCCTGCCCTGGGCATCCACCATGCAGGTGTCGCTGACCCTAGCCTTAGCCAACCCCTTCTTGTGGTATCTCATCGACCGATCGAAGCCGGGGTTCCTATTGAGCGCCGCGGTCGGGCTGGTGGGTGCGTCGGGGGTGTTGGTGGCTGGGGTTGTGAGGCCGCTCGGTGGAGGTGACGGTACTGGGTCGTTGTTGCGGGTTGGTGGTAGTGGTGGGTATGAGGGCGTCTGGGGGTTTGGTGGTAATCATAATAATACCGGGCTTTCTTCGTCGTCGTCTTTTGTTGATGACGGGAGTGTGGGGGGTACCGGGGGGAGGGGGTTACCTGTCGGGTTGGAGACGATTGAGACCAGCATTTGGATGTTGAGTGTGCTGTTTTGTAGTTGTGTGTGTTTTGGTAATATTGGTCGGCGGCTTGTGCTTGGGTCGGCGGCTGCTGGGCGGGGGCGATGGGGAGGTGTGAGGTGAGAAGAATCTTTGGCTTTGGGATTGGGTACTCGGGAGGGTGCATAGGGAATCAGGGAAAGAGATCATCAAAGGCGGCTGGCGGTGGTGGTGACGGTTTGGAAGAGGAATGGACAACGGGCAAAACAGATGGATATCTCCAAAAACGGAACAGTCCGGATTGTTTCCTGCGCGTATACCTACCTACCTATGGACCTTGACAATAATACCCTTGTTGTATGGCGTGTCGAGCAGATCAGCACTTGGGCAAACAAACGGGTAACTTACTACTTGCGAGCAATATTATCGGTAATGAGTTAGTTGTGTGTGTCGTGTCGTGTCGAGTGGAATCGAATTGACTCGAGACAAGCCGAGTTAAACGAGGACGTTGAACCTGGAATCATGCCTCGGGCTAGAGCTAGCCCTAGCTCAGAACTTGACGGAATGGGCCTTGAACAGGAGCCCAGCGATAATAAGATCATGAAACCCAGTCAATTGCCAGAGCCCAAACGGTCCAAGGCATCGACTTTATACCCACCCACTCACCCACCGGTCTCTTCGTCACTTTCTTGCATACAATAGGTAGCAGCAGCCAGCCTGGCCATCTGACCATCTGACCATCAATCTGACCAGCAACCAAACAAGCCACTGGACGACCAAGCAACTAACCTGATCAAGCCCACCGCCCACCCACCTCAATGAACGAACGAACGAACACTCTCCCCATTAAACGACCTAGGACAAAAGAAGGGAAGACCATATATATGATATCACATGAATGGGGTGGTACCTGGACAACAATCCTAACGTCTTTCTCTCCTAGGTTCCTTGCGTACTCCCTTGCGTCCGACATCAGTCGCCCTGCCCTTAGGGAAACCCTAATCCACCACTAACCACAGCCTCTTCTTCCCCTCCTCTGTCTAAGGCAGGTAAGGTAGGTCAGGTAGCTAGGGATGTCAGTCAGGGTTTCGTTAGAGGTAATAATTTACTTGTGCTCTGTTCTGTTCTTTCCGCAACTGCAATAGATGGCCGCTGTTTAACCGTGGGAAGGAACCGCCAACATTGGGTTAGTCACACTAGTTATAGCATGCTTGGGCCGACTTCACTTACAGTACTTACCAGTTACCTAGCACCAAATCAGATCCACAAGATGGAAAAAACCCAAATGTATTGTTTTACTACCATGCGTTCGTTTACACGACCTTGTACAACCTGATCAAAAATCATAATAACCGCTGTGAAAGTATTATTCTTTTGAGAATCCCCATTTGTGGCGGCCGCGCGCAAAAAAAGGGAGCCATGCCGCAGAAAAAGCCACGCCGCATGAAATAACTAACAAAAACAAGAAGCCAGAAGCCAGAAGCCAGGCACCACCACCACCGCCGCCATCACCACGACCACCAGAACCAGAGTCAAAGCCAAAGCCGGAACCAGAAACCAGAACTAGAACCAGAATCAGAACTAGCCATCCACATGCCATCATGCCATCATCAGCATCAGCATCAGCATGACTGTCGGAACTAGCATCAACTGACTGACTGTAAATGCCCAGCTAACCTTCCCTAAAAATCACTCTCTATGGCTAGTGGGCGGGTAGGCAGGCAACCTGGTCTTCATCCCTCCCGCACTCCGACCGATGCAACCACGCCGATGCAACCACGCCACCATCTATCACTCTAGCTTTGGTTACCTCCCTTATCGTTGCCGGAAGCCACGGTGTCGAGGGTGGCCTTGGGCAGTGCCGGCGAGGCGTGGGTCGATGGGGGGGAGCCCGCGTGGTCGCCGGTATCAGCGAGTAGACTGTGTGTTTTGTATAGTGGTTAGCAAAAGGTTCATTGTTTTTGTTTTGTGTTTAAAACATCTTTGTGTGTTAGTGTTGTAGAGGGAAAGAGCATGGACATACCCAAATGCATTGGTATGCGCAACCGAGTCACGGTCGCGAACCGGGGGTGTTCCGGTGCGTGAGGAAGCGCCAGAGTCCTCACCGGCACGACCGAAAGCACCACCGGGGCCTCCCATGCGGCGACCACTGTTGCTGCGCGAGTTGAACATCGACGTGGGGCCGAACGATGTGGCTGGGTTCTGGCTCGACGTGCGGCTTGACGAGCCCTTGAGTCGACGGAGATCGTCGATACCAACCTGGTTCGGCGCCGAGTTGTACGAAAAGTTCCTCGACTCGCCACGACCGCCCATCGGTCGGCCGCCGGGACCACCACCGCCGCCACGCTGGCTGCTGTTGCGGGCACTCTCAGCCGCCTTGAGTGCGGCTGCTGCCTCGGCCTAGTTGAAAATAGAGTGTTAGTCGAAACATTTTCTTTTCTTGCTTCTTTCCTTTTGCATTCTGCATTCTGCACAGATGCACGTGAACATGAACATACCTCAGCCTTAATTTCATCCAGGGTCTTAGGCCCCTTGTTAGCCTCCTTAGAGACCCATCCCGACTTGCGCAGGTCGACGACATCCATCAGCATGAACATGAGACGGCTCGGCAGGCCCTCAATCTGCACCATGGTGTCGATGCGCGCAAAGTACGCCTCCATAAACTGGCGGCCCTTCTCGGTGTTATCGAGGTTCGCACCGATCGTCTTGAGCAGCTTGGTGAGCGACTCGATCTCAGCCTCGTCGGGCATGCCGGTGAACTCGAGCAGCTTGCGCACACACTCGTGCATGATGCGCTCCGTGAGCATGCCGAGCTTGTAGAGCTCACCAATGAACTGGACGAGACCCAGCCCACGACGCTTGGCAGCCGCGGCAATGTAGTACTCGTCGGACAGAAGAGCGGCCTCGGTCGCCTTCTTATCTTCACCTTCCGCCGGCTGCGGCAGGTCGACCTTCCAACCGCGCTCGAACTCCTCCTGGCAGCGGTTAAGCAGGTACTTGCGGAACAGAGCGCCGCCGCTGACCACGTTACCGGCCTTGTCGAGGATACCCTCGTCACGGATCTCAGGGCTCATCGTGTCAAGCATGCGCTTGCAGAAGCGGGCGTACATGGAAGCCCAGTGGGCCTCGTCGGTCGCCTTCTCGAACGTCAGCTGAATGACCTGGCGCAGTGTGCGGCCGTCCTGCTCGTTCTTGGACTGCCCGGCAATGGTGAGGATCTGCTCCGAGATGCGCTCAAAGTTCTCCGGTGTCATCTTGTTCAGCGCCGCCTTGACCTTGCGCTGCACCATGCCCGGGTCGAGGTGGCCGCCCTGGGTGACGGCCGTCGGTGCCTGAGCAGCCTTGTTACCGATGCTCGTCGGCTTCCAGCCGGTCGCCGAAGTCGTGATGGGCTTGAGATCCATGCCTTGGGTGAGGGGCATGGTCTTAGCAGCCTGCGCCTCGGCCTTGGCGTTACCAAAGTCTTTGCGGCTGCCGCCGCCGCCCCGTCTGCTGCCCGTCCGCGGAGAAGGCAGACCGCCGCCCGTCGACGATGGGGTCCGGCTCATCTGACCAGGGAACGCACCGCCGCGGTTAAAGCCCATCGTGCCCATGGCCGGCCGAGACATGTTGCCCTGGGACATGGCGAACCGCTGCTCCGACGTGGTCCCGGGCGGCAGCATCTTGGCCGCGCCAAACTGACCCATCGCACCGCCAGATGGGAAGGCAGACGCGCCACCGCCACCACGCGACGAGTTTTGACGGCCCGAGCCGGCACCGGGCGTGCGCGCCGAAGCGGAGCGCGAGCCGTCCGAGTCGCCGATGAGAGACTTGACCTGTTGGTGGAACTCAAGCGATGGCTGCTCGGTAAAGACTTGCTGGAACTGTAGCAAGAACTGGGCGTCGTACTTGAAGATCTTGCCCTTCTTCTGGACAGCCGCATTGAGGGCCGGGTTGGGCGAGGCGATGCCCGCGGGGTAGATGTTGTGCTCGACACCCGGTAGGAAGCGAGCAGAGCGGAGCGACTGCAGCGCCGCGCTCGGCTGGGGTGCCTCGACGGGCGTGGTCTTGAGGGGCGCCAGGTTGAGCGCAGCGGGCTTGCTCTTAGACTTGTCAGCGGCTCCCGCCTTGGCGCTTGCGTCTGCAGCGGCAGACTTCTCGGCCGCCTCCTTATCGGCAAGCTTCAGCGCGCTCATGGGCTTCGACAAGAGGTCGTTGACCGACACCGACTGGCCCTTGGCAGCCTCTTCATTGCGGCGACGCTCGCGCTCCTCCTCGAGCCGCTCCATCTCGGCCTCCTGCTCTCTCAGCTTCTTGTCATTGTCCGCCGAGCTGAGCTTGGCCGCCTCGGCCCGCTTCTTCTCCTCCTCCTTCGCCGCCTTCTTCTGGGCAGAGATCGCCTCCTGCTCCTTCTCACGCCGGGCGTCCTCCTCTTCCATCTCCCGGACCATGCGCTCAAACTCTTCATCCTCTATCTCCTTTTGCGTCTTCCCCTCCGAGGGCTTCGAGGCAGCAGCAGCATCCGCATCGGCCTTGGCCTTCGCGTCCGTCTCAGCCTGCTCCTTGGCCTTAGCCTCCTCGGCAGCCTTGGCTTCCTCCGCGGCCTTCTTCTCAGCCTCGAGGCGGGCATCCTCCTTGGCCTTCTCCTCGGCGGCGGCCTTCTCAGCAGCAGCCTTTTCAGCAGCAGCCTTCTCATCAGCAGCCTTCTGGGCGGCCGCGGCCTCTTCAGCGGCCTTGGCAGCAGCCGCTTCCTCAGCTGCCTTTGCGTCCTCTTCCTCCTTGGCCTTCGGGTTAGAGGGAGCGTCGGCCTGTTTCCTGACCGAGTTAATGAAGTCGTTACGGATCTGCTCGGCCGTCTTTCCGGTCGACGTGCTGTCGGTGCGGCTATGGGACGGCGTCGAGGGCTTCGGGGGCGGAGTCGGCGTCGAGACGATCGCAGGAGGGGTCTTGGACACCGGGACATTCGAGGCGGCGACGGCCGGCGCCTTGACGGGGACTGGCAGATCGACAATCTGGCCCTCCGGGTTCTTGATGACGATGGCCTGGCTCTTCTTGGGCCGCGAGAAGGCCGGCGACGACACGATGGCGGGAGCCGCCTGGGCAAGCTGGGCGGGCCGCTGCTGGGGGGTACCCTGGGTGACGGCCGGGGCCGGTTGGGGCTGACCGGTGCTCGACGCGGGACGATCGGAAACCTGTGAGGGGTTACGAGACATGGGCTGGGCAGCGGGCTGCCCGGGCCCGTACGAAGGTACAAACCGCTGGTGCTGCTGGTGCTGCGGATGCTGCTGATGCTGCTGATGCGGCTGGTGCGGCTGGTGCGGGAGTTGATGCGGATGCGGCTGATGCTGGTGGGGGCCGGGGCCGAAGCGGGTGGGCTGCTGAGGATAATGGTTCATCTGCTGGGGCATGTAGGTAGGGTAACCTAAACGGTAGCCCTCCATCTGCGGCTGCATGCCGTAGGGGGCGCCCATCTGCATCTTGTTTGCGGTTAGCAACTTCTCAAACGTACCGCTTTCGGGCGAGAGGTCAATGTGGCCCTCCATCAAATGATGGGGAAAGATAGCAGGAACCGGACGACCGGGCTGAAACCGGTAGGGCGGAGGGAACAACCCATCGGGATCGTCAGGCAATGGAGCGCCGCCAGTGACGTCCTGATGGTGCCAGTCGGCCGCAGAGTCCCAACGCTTGCTTGGACGCCGCGACCGCCGGGTGAGTTCCATGCCAGTGCCGGTGCCACTAGAGCTGAAATTGGGGTTGTTTTGCTTGGAGAAGGCGTTCATGTTGGGACCTCGCAGATGGTGCGCTTTCTCCGAGTCCCGACGCGCTGCCTTATTCTTCTTGTGGTTGCTGCTGCCGCTGCTACTATTGTTGTTGCCGCTGCCGCCATGTGCCTTGAACGTGGGATACTCGTTGCTAATAGAAAGGGACTTTACTTGATGAGAATAAGGAGGGATAGCCGGGTTCATGCCGGGGTAGTGATAGGGCTGAGCGTTCGGGGCCAACGCAGCGGGCTGCATTGTGGGAGTGATGTGGGCGTGGCCCATCGAGGGGGTCGTCGGGCCGCCGCCGCGGTAGCCGCTACGGCCATGCGCGGGGCCGCCGTGGGCAATGCCGTCGCCATGTGTCGAGGCTTGAGAATCGCGTCGGACGTGGGGGCTCTGGCCCAAGCCGTGCTTCAGGTGGCGCTGCAACGGAGAGAAGAGTCGAGGTTAGCGGTCGGCCTCGCAAAACTTTAACTTACCACCACAAGATAGGATAGGGTAGGGTGATATAAGGGTAAGAAACAGAAAAGAAGGAAGAAAAAATAAATAAACGGAAAACCCCGCTCTTCGGCCGTAAGGAAAAGGAAGATTGGTACAGTGTGGTATATTGTGGGCAGGAGATAGTAATAACTCACATCATTGTCACCGGGGAAGCTCCCAAATGTTACCGGAGCCTGGGGAATCGACGGAGCTCGCTGGCCACCGCCGCTCTGCTGGGGAATCCGGGGGATAGGCGAGGGAGAGTGGGCGGGAGACTGGATCCTCGGGTTCCCACTGCCGGGAATCGGGATCGGGGCAGCGCCACCGATTTGGGGCGAGCTGTGGGCGATTGCAGGCGACTCGTTGAAGCCGAACTGGATGCCCTTGGGGCCGTTGACGGGACCGCCGTTAGCGTTGATGGTCACGGAACTTTTGCGGGTGTGATCCTGGGCGCCGTTCACGATCGGGCTGCCGCGGGCGACGGGCGGAACAGCGACGGGCACCGCGGGGGTAATGTTCGGTCGGCCGGTCATGGGCGCGGGGATCGAGGGGCTGCCATTCTGGGGCGCGGGCGAGGAGGATCCAACCACAACGGGCGGCTGGAAGCCCGTCGCAGGGAGCGGCGAGGATGTCGGCTTCTTGTTCGCACCGGCGGCGGAAGCATACGACGGGGCGGCTGCAGGAGCTGCGGGGGGTTGCGCCGGATTTTGATTCTGTTGACTCGCAGTAGAAGTCATAGAGGGAACTGGTGACTCGAAAGCCGTGTCCTGGCGGGGTAGGATTTTGGGTGTGTTGGGTATTTTTGGGAGAGTGTTGTGTGGGTGGAGGTTTCTCGTGGGAGCGCGAAAATATCGGGTCGCTCCAGGCCTGCAAAGCGGCGAATCTCAGATTCCGGCTTGTCGCAGACAGACGAGAAGAAGGTAATTATCGGTTCGTTCCTCGGCGATCCCAGTCTCTGTGCTGGGCCGGGAGGTCGATAAAAAAGAGGAGGATCGCAACGCACTCGAAGATGTTCGGGCGTTTGGCGAAAGGGTGGAAAAAAAAACGCTTCTGAAAGAGCGTGGTGGTGTGCACACACTTAAAGAGAGGGAAAGTAGAACCCAGAAATTTTTTGGGGCAGCGACTTTCTGATGGCGAAAGGAAGGGGGGGTGTGTGGGCAGCGCCGCTAAGGTTCGGTTTGGCCGCCGCACGAGAAAGAACTAATTGGGCGCTCGGACCACGTTAAGCCCCACAAGTACCGATCACACCAAAATTGGCGTAAGGAGGTACCTCTGTCTGATTAGGTCCGAGACCTGCCTGCTGCAAACAGCGGGCAGCAACACAGAACCTTAACAGGCCGGGAAAACTGAACAAGAAACTTAAACGGGAAACCTAACGAGAAACTTCACGGGCGAATTCAGTGCAATTGTACACCGGCAGCCAGATCACATGCGACTTTCCAGCAGTTTACAGCCCAGTGATATCCCTGTGAATTCCATGTCCCACGACGTTAACCGGGATCAGTTAATGGGTGAACTTTTGGTTTGTTTGGGCTCCCCAATTCTCAGTAATTACGCCGTAAATACAAGAAACCTCACACCCTGCCCTACTAAGGACACCTTTTTGTGGGGGCTGCCAACGATGCCGTGAGGTGGCTTGACACTCAAATACTCACAAACATAAGACGACCAAATCGTTCTTTGTTGTTGGTTCTTTGCTCTTCACGAATGACGCTTCTCTGTGACCCAAACGTGGAAGAAGCTGCTCAAGGCATTTCTCAGCGCACCAGCAGGCTCCGGGGTACGTGACCCTGAACCTGGTGTAATGGCGGGGGCAACATGCCATGCAGGGCCATCAGAAATTTACCAGGTTGAAGCCCCCACCTTCCAGGTTCTGCTTGACTCCCTTACTGAGGTAGGTAGTGAGTTAGCGGGTCACAGTAGTGTAGAATCAGATTAACCCTGCGTGCCCAACTCGGCGCCTTCTTTCACTTCTTTTAATTCTTTCTTTTCCGTCTTCTTTCACTTTTTTGGTTTATTATTTTTTGTCTTTTTTCACTTTCATAGAAAAGGGGGCATCCAGGGACTTGGTCTACCGTTTTTTTGGCCACAACGAGGGGGGTATGCACTGTACAGTACCTATCTACGTATGTACATTTGACGAGCAAAATTTCGAGTGTAACAACACACTTTGGTCAAACACCGAGTCGAAACAACTTCATATTACCATGTTATCATTCTCGGCTTCGCCCCCTTCATCCTCCTCTCCGTCCTCATCCAAATCGAATATAGGATATGTCAAGATCGCCGCAATCCCACCCAGGGACTCGAGCCGTTTCCCGCTCTCGTTGTCGCTACTTAACAACCTCACCTCCCCACCATCTTCCTTCACCTTATCTACTAACCCAACGTACCGCTTCCGCTCCGCTACATCCATGCTCCGAAAGAAGCCGTTGTTTACAAACAACACCCCGCCGCCGCGGCCCACAGCCCCCTCAACCACAGCTTTTTCCACCGGCTGCGTCCCGTACCACGCCCGCCCGTCGTCTTTCCGCAGCCGGTCGTAGAACTGGTCCATCAGGTTCGACTCGGTCGAGAACTTGGCGTCCTCTAGGATCTTCTTCGCCTTGCTGCTCTTCAGCACCTCGTTGAGACTATGCACGTGCCCCGTCGTGGACGGGATGACCACAGCGTCCTTGGCGATGCGCTGCAGCGCCTTGTCGCTCGTCCGTGCCGCTTCCGAAAGCATGTAAGTCCGGAAATCGTCGGCCGCAAACCCCGGGCTGGCGAGGAGTAGGGTGCGCGGGATGGAGAAGTCGATGTTGTGACGTAGGCTGGAGAGGGTTTTGTCGTAGAAGGTGGACATGGTTGTGCCGCCGCCGCCCGTAGTGGCAGCACGCTTTTTCGGAATCGGGCTGTCGATGCGTTGCTTGATGATGGTGCGGAACTCGGTGATGAGGCAGATGTTGGCCAGCCCTTCCTGCATGACCACGGCCGCGATGGCTTCGGGCCGGTCCTCGCTCAGCGCTTCCTTGAGCGCCTGCCGCGCTACTGAGTCCCAGCCAGCGCTCTTCCAGATGGTGAACTTGATGTCGGTTTTTTCGTACTTTAGCGTGATCGTGTGGTGCTGTCCGATGCTGACCCAGTCGTTCTCGTTGGCGACGGTGCCCGAGACCTTGAGCTCCGACGCGAGCGGGTCGAAGAAGGTGGACTTGACTTTGATGGAGAGGTTGGTCCGCACGCTCTTGCCGAAGGTCGACCCGGTCACCGTGGTCATGGTCACTTTGCGAAAGGCTGGAGCGTGCACGACATCGCCGGCCGAGATCAGGTTGTTGGCGTGCCACATGTCCTCGGGCTCAACGATGAGGAGCGACACACCAGCATCCTCATCGATTCCTTGAATCGTCTGCTTTTTTGAAGCGAAGCGCATTTTGTTTGCGTGTGTGTGTGTGTGTGTGTGTGTGTGTGTGTGTGTGTGTGTGTGTGTGTGTGTGCGTGTTTATGCCCGTGTGTGTGATAGGCGTATGGATGTAATAACAAATGTTGATTAAAGGATTTGACTTCATAACATGCTTTGGAGCTTTTGAGGTCGCTCCTAACCCTGGGTATGGAGGGGTTGTTTCGTTTCTACCTCTTTATACCTAGCGGGGTTCAATCCACCGGAACCTTAGCGGGAAATGGTGGGTGGCCGCAAGGCTTGCACAGGGAACCGAAGAATGTATGGTGATGTACATGTTACGATTTTAGGCCCAGAAATGCCAACACGTAAGGTCAGTGGCCGTTATCCGGGCCCGAGTGATCTATCGATCTTTGAAGTGGAATCTCCCGACTCGCTCTCTTCAATTGACCCAAAGTCACTGCCCAAGTGTACAGCTCGTCGTGGCGGCAGTGCTTTCAAGTATCATAGGTATTTATTTATTTTACGCCGAAAGACCACCAAACCTACGAGCCATTGTCACCCGTCCGAGCACATCGCCTAACAGCCAAAATTAGGCCCTTTTCTTTAGTTATGTTCAATAGTGGCTCCGTAGCTGCAATACATCTGAGCAAGTTTTAGGCACGGCGACGTAGTGTAGGCTAACCCCCTCAGCGGTTGTACATACATAGTAATACTTCTACAGGGTATCCGTAGACCCCGACAGGGCTCCAATACATGGGCTTAACACACCGCAGCGGCCAAACCCTCGCCTTTCGCAACAAAGATCGCCCCACTCGGACCTGGATAACGACGACCCTTTGAATGCTCTCTCGCCCCCATCGGGCTGAAGCCCGAAAAAAGACGCTCTGGAACCAACAATGGGAAGTTCGGACCTGAGGGGAACAATGCCGAACAATGTCTTCACAGCATGGAACTAACCCCTCCTTCCATTCCCTATGCAGGGAGATAGATGTATCTCGCTTTTTTGGGAGACCGTTTGCCTCTTTGCAAACAGATTCGCCGGTCCTTGTTTCATGGTCCGGACGGAAATAGGCGATAAGTTGTCAGGCAGCCTGGAAGAACGGATTCACCGAACCTCTTCTCACCATCGGGCGTTTTTGTCGCCGCATCAGCCTTCCCTTTCTCAATAGGCTGCCACGCAGGAGGCTCACAAAAATCCTGGGTCGACGCTGATCTCGCCCTGCCAAAAACCGATGGTGGGTTCAAAGGGTCAAAGAACGCATTGTTCTTTTCGTTCGCACGTGGTTCTCTTCTCCTCTTGAACACTTTGAACATGTGCAATGTACTGTGTATTCCTTTACCTTCACTGAGTGAGAAGATGGCGAGTGGTGATGCCCGGACCCCAAAGAAGAAAAAAGGAGGATCGAGCTCCCGACTTGGCGTCGATGGTGGCGTGCAGTGCAGCGTAATGCAGTCTCTGAGCTGCAGGAAAGAGGCGGCCAGGCTCACTAAAGACGTGCAGACCTGAGTGACCCTTTCACTCAGGTGACCCTTCCCGCCGATAACCGTGAGACAGATACGTTAAACCCAGCGGTCTGGTTGGGCTACTGCGATGTCCGTCGTGTTGTCGCGGTCCGATTGGCGAGCTACACAAGGTGTGTGAGATTTAGCCTCCTTTCTCGTTCCGGTTTCTGAGTGTGGTAACTAATCACTGAACGTCAGGTGCGTATTGGTATTTGTTTGTTACCTAACCACAGCCTCCTCATTTTCAGCTCCTCTTTCTCAAACATAGGTTCTGCTTTGTGGCCATATTCAACCCTGGTCCTTCCCTCAAAGGCCCCATCAGTGCTTGTGGTTGTCTTGGCAAAACATGCTCTGGGGCAAATGAGAAATCATAGTGGGGGGTCAATCACTTTTGGCGGGGTTTACCACCTGGAACATGACAAGGGACCTGAAAGAATTCGTCGATTTCAGAAACTAAAACACGATATTCCGTAATTTATTGAGCCACGCTTAACGCGGGCAATTTTCCAGTCAAACGGCCGAGATCAACGTTGGAGAACATGTTCAGGCGAGTAAGGAAAAGAGACCTGGGCTGGGGTTGTTTCTCGCCTTCCAGGTTCTCGCCTTTGGACGACCTATCAAACCGCCGAATATCGAATGTTTTTCAACGTCACATTAGTGCTTTTCTGCGTAACTTTCACACCCAAAGATGCGCTCGTCTTTCTCCCCAACTCGCCTCTTCCTTCGGCCGCCGTTTCGTTCCCTCAGTTCGCCTCCCCAGTAAACCCACCCACGCAACCCCGCCAACATGGATGATTATGGAGCAGCTAGCAACCCAACGTGCGTTACATTGTGGGGGAGAGAATTATTGAATACCCTTACTTCAAGCCTGCGTTCCTCCCCCAAAACCAGACAATCCAGACAGCCGCTTGCCCCCACGAACCACCGCAGCACGACCTGCGGGAATATCGCCGTTCGGTCTGACTCATTTTGTAACCCTGGTTGCAATCGACCTGGGACCAATGTTGCAATTGACCCGGGCTTCCCGTGCCCGGCTGTTTGGTACGTAAATGGGGGTAAGTTACAGAGAATCCTGGATCGCCGCTCAAGACGGTGAATTCCTCTCAACCGGCACTGCTCTCGGTCGGTTGTTTCTGGCCCCAGTGTGATATATCCAACCGATGACCGGGGTGCGGGACGATGGCGACCGTCTCGGATGAACAAGACAACAAGTTCTCGGTCTTATTAACCCTCAATGTTTGTCACTCCCGACTCAATCACCCATACCCAATGCAAAAGGGAGGTAAATACTGTAGATACATAAGCTTCCTAGCCCGGACTTCCCGATCGGTATCAACACCAGTATCCATCCCATCGTGACCGTCCTGCCGTGTTCACACCCGTCACCTACCCTACTTTACGTACGGTACTCACCTCCCGTCCTCGTACCACAGCTGTTGTGCAGACTGCGGGCAACTGATCCTCCCAGCAGCATCAGCATGGACTGAACCACACTCCCCTCCCTGCATGATGACGCTATCCCTGAGCACCCCAAAATGCATCATCATCCCACGCTGCATGCATATGATGTCAATCATCGCAGCGGCTTTCTCCGGGCCTTTTTTTGAACACGTCTCATTCGTCGTTGGCTTTTGGGTTCTCAGAAGGGTTGCAGATCAGGGATCATTCTGGGGGTCTTTTACGTGTAACTCCAAGAGTGTAAAAGCTGTAATATCATCACTTGCGATTCTTTTTGAGGGTGGGGGATTGACATCTTGGGGAGGGTTGCTGGACTTTACGAAGCTGCTGGGGTGTGAAGATTATGTTGTGGCCTCTATTCATCACCTTGAATATAAACGCCCAATGTAGACACCTACGATGGGACAGAGACCGGCATCAAACGTACAGCAACAACAACAACTCTGCCCACCTTTTCCCCAAACACAATGTTTTAATCCTCATCATTGATCATGCATACTTCTCATTTTCAGACCATCCCAACTCATAACAACATCACCATCTTTTAACCCCCCCCCCAAAAAAAAGAAAATCTACTCCTCCTCCGCTTCAAACCCTTCACCCCTCGCAACCCTATCCATCTCCTCCTGCTTCTCCTCCTCCTCCTCCTCTTCACCACCCTCGCCCTCCCCTTCACCCAACGCCGTCCCCTTCCCCTCTACCTCAAGCCCCCCATATCCCTCCTCAATCTCCTCCACCACCGCCGGCAGCAGCCCATCACCACCACCACCCACGGCGGCCAGCCCCTTCACCTCCCGCAGTTGCTGCAGCCGCGTGTTGGTCATCTCAAAGACATACTGCCCGAGGTGTTCCACTCCTTCCATGACCGCCTCGCCGGGGATGGTCACATCCACCTCTTCCTCAACAACACCATCTTCTCCTGTTCCTTGTCCTTGTCCTTGTGTTTCCCCAGCCGTCTCTCCAGCACCTGTTCCGTCAGCACCATCACCACCCTCAGCAGCACCACCCGAAGAAGCAGCAGAAGCAGAAGCCAAAACCTCCCTCTGAGCAGGCCACATCTCCCCCGTGACGAGCACCAACCGATCCGGCCGACGCAGGAGCCGATCAAACGCAGCGCGCAAGTCGGGGCTTGCTTCGAACACGGCGCGACGGCCGAGGACGTACAGGCCGAGACGGGCGCGGGAGAGGGCGACGGTGAGACGGCGGAGGTCGCGGAGGTAGCCGGGGCGGGTGGTGCGCGTTAGGGAGAGGATGATGTCTGGAGGTTGTTAGTACTGGGGGATTCTTGAAGGGGGTGGTTGGGCAAAAGTGAAATGTAGAGAAGGGGACCTACAGTCGTTCTGCTCGCCCTGATATTTATCCACCGTCGTGACAACCCGCGGCAGGCCAAACACAGGGTTCTTCGCACACCGATGCGCCAGCACATCACGAATCAGCGCGCGCTGACCCGCATACGTGGCTAAAATACTAATCTTCGCCGCCGGGTACCCCAGCAGGCGCATATACTGGTATATGGCCACCGCATACTCAGCCTCGCCGAGATTCTGCACAAAATGCGGCGAGGGTTCCGTCTCGCCGCGGCCCTTGTAGTCAGGCACGTCGACAAACTGGAAGTCGTACTTGAACCCGGCGTTGGCGGCGCGGAACTCGGGGGCTGTTTGGGTGTGTGGCAGGTCGGTTAGGCCTGGGTAGCGCCAGCGGTAGAGGTTGGCGATGGACGGGCGCGCGCGGCCTTGCTGGTCGAGGTGGATGGTGGGTACGCCCAGGCGGACGAGGCGGGAGAAGAGGGATTGTTCGAGGTTGGCGTATTGCCGGAAGGCGAGGCCTTGGATGACGGGGGAGTTTTGGTAGTGGTCGCCGCAGAGGACGACGCGTTGGAGGCCTGATGATGGTGGTGATGATGATGATGACCCGTCCTGCTGCTGCTTTGGTTTTTGCATGGCAAACGGGATGAAGTTCTCGATTTCAGTGATCTGCGCGGCTTCTTCCATGACCACGTTGTCATAGTGAAACCCAAGCGAGGCGATCTCGCCCCGCTTCATGGCCGCGTGGGTCGAGGTCATAGCGACGATGCGGGCCTCGCTGGTGAGCAGGTAGTTAGCCTTGTCCTTGTCGCGCCGCAGGATCTCAAACGGCAGCACGTCGGCCAGCTCCGAGAAGATCTTGGCGATGTGCCGGTAGCAGCCCGTGGCAATGTCCAGGGCGGCCTGGCGGTCGGCATCGACGGGGAAAAGGGGCTGCGGGGCATCCGCAAAGTAGCCGTGGAATGGAAACGCCTCGACGATCTCGATGGGGCCAACTTCCTCCTTCTGAACGCTGTCCGTGAACCTGGCCCATGCTGGCTCGACGTAGACCGAGTTGAAGTAGCCCGCTGTTTCGGCCGAGTTGCCGTGGGCCCCTGGCGCGCCCATGCTCGCGGCGAGGCGATTCACCTCCAGCAGAAACCGCTGTCGGTTCTCGAGGAACGATTCAACCCGGCCGTGCTTGCTGAAGCTCCCCTCCGTCTCGAGCTCCTCCTCTCCGTGACCGAGACGCAGCAGGTGGCGCTCGTCAATATCCAGGGCTACGATCTTGGCAAAGAGCTGGTTGAGCGCCTGGTTGCTGTGGGCGATGAGCAGCGTCTTCTGCTCCGGGAAGTTGTGGTAGATGTTGTTGATAATCTGCGTCGCCACGTCCGTCTTGCCCGTACCCGGAGGACCCACGATCACCGTCAGACCAGGCTGCGTGCCCGACACGATGGCCTCGATCTGGGTCGGTGTGAAGCGGACCGTGTTTAGCTTCGGCGCGTCGATCGGGTACGGTCCGTTGTTGGGCGGCTGGTACGTCGAGACGTGGATGGTCTCGATCTCTGCGATCAAGGCCGGCTCGGCGTCTCGCCTTCTCTTCTTAGACGGTTTCGAGACCGCCGTCTCGGCCTGTTTCTGTTTCTCCACCGTCTCTAACACATACGGCGGGCCAAAGCTGCCCGATACGTCGTCGCTGGGCTCAATGATCTTGCCGGGCAGGCTCTCGATAAGATGCTGCCAGTCCAAGAACGTGTCCCGGTAATTGATCTTCCCGACGCGGTTGGGCAGGTGCTTGTACGTGGCCCCGGCCGGATCACCGTACCCGAGAAAGACCTCGTGCAGCCAGGACGCCAGCGGGACATCAGACAGCGTGAGGTCTCGGATCGACTCGAGCACCGGCTTGAAGTTGTTCTCTCGGCCGCTTCTCCGCACGAGCAGGTTGATCCCGTCGTAGACATTCACCTTCCCATCCGTGTCCTCGACAAACGTCGAAGCATCCAGCCGTACCTGAATCTTTCTTGAGTCGCTACGGTTCCGCCCATCGAAATACGCCTGCGCATCCCGGATCGCCCGCCCCCTGTCGTCAAGCACCTGGATGACCTCGGCCGCGCGGACAGACACCAGACCCAGCTTCTCGGCCTCGGACAGCGGCGGGCCGCCGTTAGCGATCTGTTTCGACTTGGAGGCATCAACAGCGACGAGGAACAACACGTCGTCTGGACGCAGCGATTCCCACTCCCGCCGCACATGCGGTGAAAGCCTTCTCAGCTCAATGGCGACTTCGGCCCGGACGAGCGAGGGTCTGTCTTGGCCGACACGGGGCGGCACGACTTCGAGAATGGTCGGTTTGGCGATAGGCAGGGCCATCCGGGAGAAGCCCGAGAAGGTCGTCACCCCGGGCTGTTTGCTGTTTGGCTTCATCCTGGTCAAGACGTCCTCGATATCCTGGCGGATCGCGTAGAAGGCCTCGCACCGGTACAGGACCATGGCGCGCCACAGGAAGTCGCCCACTGAGAGGTACTGGAGGTTGAGTTTGGGGAGAGCCACGGGCTTAGACCCGTCGTAGCGATCCGTTCTCCTCAGCCCAATGTCGAAAAGCTCCTCCTCGGTCGGGAGCACGCTCAGGTCACGGGCGGCTTCCTGGAAGGTCTTGTGCCGCTCGAATGTCCACAACAGAACCTCTATCAAAAACCTGCGGTCCACGGGCACCTTGGTCGACTCGGGGTACGCGATCCGCAAGCCCAAGTGGTCCGTCAACTGAGCGAGCTCGTCGTCCGTCAGGGGCTGGAGGAGCGGTTCGAGTCCGGCCCGCTTATCGATGGACCCGTAGTTGGACAGCGCCAAAAGAGTCAGCTTTTCCTTGAAGTACTTCAGCGCCGTCCGCTGCAGCTTAGCCAACGTCCCACAGTGCCGGTCGTAGGCCTCGTTCTGGGTGAGTTGCGCGCCGGAGTGGTCATCGACGGTGAAGCGAGTGTAATGGGAGAAGAGAGCAGTCAGCTCCCGTAGTAACCCGTTCGACTCGTCGTTGTAGACAGGTGACAGCGTCATTGCAGGCAGGACGTGCATATCCTGCAGCAGCGTGTTGACGTAGCGCCGCGTGGGAAGCTGGCTCTGCAGGTCGGTCAAGAGCTCCACGAAGCGCTCGCAGTAAAGAACTTGCTCAGGTTTGGGGCTGTTGGTGTAGAGAAGACTCAAAAAGTCCAACACCAGGGTATACAACCAGGACCTCTCGAACAACAGGCGAGCTTTCCCCGCGTCGTCGGCCGAGTCGTAGCGCTTGGCAGATGCCCGCCACGCCTTCTTCAGCTGCGGGTTGGCCTCTAGAATGGCGGTCCGCTTGCTCTCGGTCGACATGTTGTGCCAGATGGAGATGGAGACCAGCGGGGCGCACTCCTTGCGGACAATGCTGTAGTCTAGGCTCTGGAAGCCATGGATGATGAAGAGCAAGACGTAGGTCCTGATAGTCCACGACAGCGAGGCGTCGAGTGTCATGGAGAGGGCGCGGCGGAAGAGATCGGAGAAGTCGGCCGGGCGATCCACGAAGATATCTGTGATGGTTAGAAGACAATACTGGGAGGAAGGTAGAAAGAGTAAAACATACCCCAAGTCCCCAATCGCTCCCTCCGCTTAGCGTTCACTATGAGAACAATGAGCAGGACATGGTAGTTGGACGAGTCCTCGCCGTAACCAGGCCATAGATAACTACATGATAGGTCAGCAACAACCTCTTCACTTCAGAGGCAAAACAACACCACCACCTACCTTTCCAGTATCTGCAGCCCCTCCAACTCAAGTAGCGACTTCTGCGGAAAGTTCTCCTTCTCCAGTACATCCCAGATCTCGCGCTTGAGCACGTCGTTCTTGACTTTAACCGCCACGCCTCCACCAGCATTATCACCAGCAGCCGCGACAGCAGCAGCCTTAGACCCACCCTTCTTTTTCGTATTCCTCGTCTGCCGCTGCGGTTGCTGTTGCTGTTCTTGCTGCTGCTGTTGTTCTGGAGTCTTCAACCAATGTTGCCGAGCTAGGCTCGCAAACTCGCCGCCTTCAACATCACCGGCCGCTGCGGCGTGCCCTTCGGAGGGTGCAGCTTTTAGCCGGGGACCTGCGCCGCTCTTGACTCGCTTCGCGGGCGGCATTGTCGTCGCTAACCCCGAGGTTGCTGTCGTCGTTGATCGCGTGCGGTGTGTAGCGGGTGGAGGGTAGGATTATGGGTCGTAACGCGCTCTGTACGGCGTGCAATGTGCAGCACGAAGAACGTACAATCGATTGGGATGACTGGGAAATGGGCGGCGTGGTTGTTGTATTGTGGTCGCGCTGCCGGTTGCGCATAAACTTGGGCGTTGATCTTATTAGATGCGCCCCGGTCCGCGCAGAGCTCCAAGCTTCGTCAATGCACAGTGCTGTCGGGCCCACTGAAATTTAGTTGCAGGGGTCTAGAAACGCAGCCTTGCAGCCTCGCTCTGCGCCAAACAAAGCGGTAGACTAAATCAGATGGCTTAAGTCCAATCCACCTATGGTCAATTCGATCAAATCTTAACAGATTTTGATTGATTTAGTCTTTTTGTCTTCTTTCACTTTTTTCGATTTATTTCTTTTGGCCTTTTTTAACTTTTGGAGAAAAGGAAGTTAACTATCCAGGGACCCACTGCGATCTAGCGACCCTGACGCCAACCCCTGTCCGAACCACTGCAGCCTTGCATTCCCGCTGGAGGACTGTTTGTTCGTCCGCCGGCCGTGCGCAGCTTTCAACGCCAGCATCGTGACCTTTCGACATCAGCGTTTTCTCCCTACTTTCGGTCCCTCAACCACCTCAAAGCACACTCGTTCAAAGACACAAAAACCAATCACCCGAGGCGAACTCATCTTTATTTACCGTAACACGCAAAACCGCACCAATCCCCCAAGGCCGGCAGTTTCACTCAACAATGCCGTCGGCAACCGTCGACGGTGAGCGCATCGAGGGTGTGGCCGCCGCCACCTCGTTTCTAGACAGCCTCCTCGCGCGCGCAGAATCAATCAAGCAAACTGCATCAATCGAACCGCCGCTCAATAAATCCGACTTTGACGACATCCGGCAACAGCTCAGCGATGCGCTAGGCTACGAGATCGCAGTGGACGAACCCGCCGATCCGAGGAGGATACAACGGTTTGGTCTTATTGAGACTGCCGTTCGCGAGACATTTGAGTCTTTGATTGTGGGTTGGCTTAATGAACGGCGCGTTGTAGCTTGCCGTTAGTTCTGGCCGGGGCGCGCAAAAACTTACGGATTCATAGGCAACAACACCGATCGAGTCTCCCTCGTTTGTCAAGATCTGGAACCTCCTCGATATTCTCTCACTACTGTCCGACTCCGAACTCTGCGACCCGGCCCTGCTGTTCTGGCTCGTTGAGGAACTGCTCGACAGCCAGACCATCGCCGGGTGCCGAAAAGTATTTGACTTCCTCGAGTCGCGTCGCGAGCGCATCACCGCCAAGCACTTCAAACAAAAACAGCTCGTTATTCTCCGGACCTGCAATGAGCTTCTCCGACGTCTGTCCCGGGCCCTCGACCCAGCATTTTGCGGGCGAGTATTCATCTTCATGTTCCAGAGCTTTCCACTAGGCGACAAGAGTTCGGTGAACCTGAGGGGCGAATACCACGTCGAGAATGTGACCACCTTCGACCAAGATACCCCGGCGGCGGAAGAGGAGGTGGAGAAGATGGACGTGGACACGGAGACGAAGTCGCAAAAGGACAAAAAGGCTCTAGAGCCGGATGCATTGTATCCCATCTTCTGGGCTCTGCAAGAGAGCTTCAACCAACCCAAGAAGTTGTTTGACTCGGCCCACTTTGCGTCGTTCAAAGCTGGCTTGGAGGCAACCATGGAGACCTTTTGGGGGATCAGCCCGGAGAAGCCATCGCGGGCGAGGGAAAGGCAAGACAAGCCGGACGAGGAGATCAACCCGAGCCACAAGCGGAAACGCGGCGATGTTGACGAGGAGCTAGCCAGTGGCTTCAACCCCAAGTATCTCACCAGCCGGGACCTTTTCAAGTTGGAGGTACGTGTGTCGTGATATCTCTTGTTCTATTCACCACAGACCCCCTAACTAACAAACGAACAGATCAGCGACCTAGCATTCCGGCGCAACTTCCTCGTCCAAGCGCTCATCATCATGGACTTCCTCCTCTCCCTTTCCCCAAAAGCCAAGGAAAAGCTAGCGGGCATCAAGGCCCCCAACAAGTCCGTAACATACTCAGACCAACAGCTCAGCGAAGACGACACCAAGTGGGCAACAGACATGAAAGTGTCCATCGTCAAGTACCTCCAAAAGGGCGTCGACGGGCCCTTCTTCGACCGAATGGTCGGCACCGTCCTCGTGCGCGACAAGAACTGGGTCCGGTGGAAAATCGAAAACTGCCCGTCCATCGAACTGCCCATCATGGACCCAGCCACTTTCACCGACGCGCGTGCCTCAGCCACCCGCCTGGCGCGGACAAGGCGGTTGCCGTTCGAGATGCGCACGCTTGAGTTCCTCGGTGACGAGGACGAGCATGGCGCGCTGGAGAAACTGAAAGACCCGGAACGGTACACCCTGCCCGAGCTGGTGAGTTTTCAGGGCGCTATAGGGGATGATGATTTTGATATTGAGCGGGCTATGGATAATCAGGCGAAGGCTGTGACGATTGAGAGCAAGGCTAGTAAGGCGTGGCGGGCGCTAAGGATTGCGAGCAAGTCGAAGTTGGTGGTGTTTGATAAGATTGAGGATGATGATAAGATTGATGTGGTGTTTGAGGATAAGCCTGCTGTGGAGGATGAAGTTGTTGCCGATGGCGACGAGGCTGCTGCTGATGGCGATGGGACCCCCGCTGATGGTGATGGAACCGCCGCTGCTGAGGGTGATGAAGCTGCTGCTGAGGGCGAGGGGATCGCTGTTGATGGGGATGAAGCTGCTGCTGCTTCTGCTGAAGACGTCGAAGTCACTGCTACCACCGACGGCGTGACAAATGGCGAAGCCGTCTAACCTAAAGGTGGCCAAGCCACCACCAACGTCGGCGTGCGCGATCCGAACTTGCAAACAGTTTCTCGCCGCGAATGCCCCAAGTCTGCGCCATGTGCCGCTGGAAGGTGTTGTCAAGATCGAGGGCTGCATTCCATCGACGGACGGGAGTTCGGCCTCATCCGTGATGTTTCTCGGGCCTGCTAAGCAGAGGGAGAACGGGTACCCTGCGGTAGCATTTGATTCGCAACCTGCATTCCATGTCGAGACGTCACAAGGGATAACAGCAGTCGAATGTGTACTCACATCGCGGTCCATCTCCAAGATCAGCACCCGGTCGTTATCTGGGATTCCACCACCGCCCGCTTGTTCGTCCCGTTCACGCAGCAGGTCAAAGACAGCGGTTTGGCGGGGAATATTGGGGCCTACGTGGGAAGGGGGCATGGAGAAGAGGCGGAAGAAGAGATGGTAGAGGAGGTGATAAGAGCCGTGAGAAGAGATTTCGGGCAAGAAGCCATATCAACGGCCGCAGGGAGACGGGGAAGAACGATGACGGAAGTCGTAGAGCGCGCCGCTGGTTCATGAGATGGATATCGTCACAGCATACCTGTGTGTAGTATGATAAGACGGATAGACCGCTGCACGAAGAATAAATAATGATACCCCCAACCTCACAAAACCTTTTCCACTCCTCACCCACCCTTGCACTCCCCATCTACCCATCACCCCCACACTTCCAGCTAGTTAGGTTCACTCCAACATATCCCCTCAAAACTCCGCAGCCTTCTCCAGCTCCCCCAAACGCGTCTTCAGCGTATCCCCAAACTCAACAGGCTGCAGGCCCATCATGCCCAACATCATCGGGTTCCCGCCCATCAGCATGCTGAGCATGGCTACCCGGCCTGCAACGTCGGACATGAGTTCCCGGGCGTGGGCGGGGTCTGGTTTGGGGTTGCCTAGGTAGGTAGGGGGGGTGTTAGTGAATTGATAAATGTATGAGATGAGTGAATGCATGAGATGAGCGAGATAGGGGGGCGATTTGTGGACGGACAATAACCCGTTTGAAAAGGGGGAAAACTAAAACAGTTCCGGGGACAATGAGGGGTATCAACATCGTTTGATACCCTACCCTCAGCACAGCCCCGCCAAAAGAAAACAGACCAGAAAACCCATGATACTATGAGATAAAGACTATAAAACCCACACTCACCCGTCTTATACTTATAATCCGGAATCTGCTCCGGGTGCTGCAGCGCCAGTCCCGCCTCCACATTCTCTAGCTCCCCCGTATAATTGGCACGGTTGGCAAAGTCCCACAGGTGCACGAGCGTGGGATGTCTCGGTTGCCGCTGCATCAAGGGGTGGGCAGCGAACGCTTCGATGAGGTTGGCGAAGGCGGTGTGCAGTTTGTCTCTGTCTTCTTTGGGGGCAGGGTGCTGCTGGGGGTGGTTTGTGTTGTGGGTGGCATTGTGGGAGATGGTTAACTAGGTATCTGGGTAGTTGGTTGGTTGGTGGTGGGCTGGTTGGTTGACGGGAATGTGTTGGTTAGTTGGTGGTGAGAGTTGATGGTGTTCTGCGAGTTTGGAGGTTGAAAGTGGGGGTGAGGAGAACTTGAACTAACGATTAAAGTCAAGTGTGTTGAGCGTTCCACATCAAGTGCTTGATTTAAGGTGTTAGTGCTTCTCTGCTGCATGACGTGGGCGCTTTGCCGATCGTCACAGTTACATACACAATAACTAACGTTAAGTGCAACCCGCCAATGGAAGATCATCCGTATCCGTCGGTTATTCTATTCCCTTTAAATCGTCCTTTGTGGACTCTACCGAGTCGATTTAACGTTACTGGATGTCTGATCAGGGGACAGAAGTTTCCAGAGTCTTGGCTTACCTTAGTTGGTAGATAATTAGACAAGAGACAGCAAATCTAGTCACGCGAAGGACACGAATTACAATCGCTGTATTTATTCATTTATCCTCCTCGTCTACGATTGGCACAGCTAACCGTCTGCTTCGCCTGTGCCTATGCCTGTGTGCAATATCCCGGACTAGATACACTAACACCCAGCGGCCGGTGTCCGGCTCGCAGACTGCCTAAATCTGCCCGGTCTCGTCTTGTAATGATAAAGGTAGCCCTACGATAAGACACCGTATAACAAGCCAAACCATACGCCTAACCAAAAAAACCCTGAATCCCTGAATCCCAATGCCAATGCTCGTCATTCATACAGACATGTCGAGTCGAGCCCCTTCCCCTTTCTCTTGGTTTCCTTTACACTCCCCTCACCCCTCAATGCTTCACCAACGTGCTACTCACCCCCAAAAGCGCCATCCCCAAAAACGCAAAGAAAATGCTCAAATTCCGATTATGATTCAAGCTCAGGCTCTCCACAAACAACTGCAGCGCCACACTAGTCATAATCCCCGCCGTAACCGCAAACAAACACGCATACGCCGTACTATCAATCTCAAAATTCGACCTCTTGGCGAGTTTAAACCACGCCACGGCAAACGCAGCCCCCAACGGCTGGCTGAACCCGCCGAGGAGCGACGACCAAAAGATGGCGCGCACTCGGCTGCCGAGGGCCATGTACAGCGGTAAAGCCATGGCGAAGCCCTCGGCGATGTTGTGGACAAAGAGCGCCATGAAGACGTTGAAGCCCAGGGTCGGGTTGGCGTGGTTGGTCGCGTAGGTGATGAAGCCTTCGGGGAATTTGTGGAGGGCGATGGCGATGACGGTTTGGAGGCCGATGGAGAGGAAGGCGTTGGCGGGGACGTGGTGGTGGTGTTGTTGTTGGGATTCGGGGTCGGTGGGGGCGTGGTGTTTGGGGTCTGTGGTGTCGGTGTCGGCGTCGGTGTCGGCGCTGCTGTGGTGGTCGTGGTCATGGTCATGGCCGTGGTTGTGGCTGTGGTTGTGGCCATGGGTATGATGCTCGTCGTGGTGGCCTTCGTCGTGGTGCTCATGGCTGGGGTATAAATGGTAGTCTTCGTCGTAGTCGTCATCATGGGCGTGGTGGGATGGTGTACGCAGGATGCTATACCGCGGGGTTATGACAGAACCGTCGAGACTCTCGTCACGGCCCTCGCTGAGGATGATTCCGTTTCTTGTCAATGCTGTCCGGGTGCCGATGTGTTTGAAGCACTCCTGGCCGCAAGGATCCGAATAGCCAAAGCAGGGGCCGTCCTCGTCGCAGTTGGCCTTCGTATCCTTAAAGAAGGACAGGACCCGGTTGTGAGGTTTTGCGGCCGGCCGCTTTATTTGCGTGGATGCCCGGCGCTGGGTTCCATGAAAGTGGGTGACAGCTTCGGCGGCGGGCGCGGCCTCGGTGTCGACCAGCTCGGTGTGTATGTGCCCGTTGCGCGGGGGGTCGCCGGAAAGTAGGGGTGTTACCTCGGTGGCATTTGGCTTGGCCGTATGCCCGTTTTCATGGTGAGTATGCGACGACTGTTTCGACAGGACATGATGGTCGTGGCTGAGACCCTCTTCCTCGTCGTGGTAATGGTCGTGGGTATGATCGCAGTCGACGACGTGCGAGGGCATGTATTGGTGAAGCACGCGCGAGACGACCTGGATGCCGAAGAAGCCGCCGACGAAACAACCCATCATTATCAACCCGGCCTTGTTTTCTTCCCAGTTGTCTTTTAAAAGGTAGCGCATCGCAGAGGGGAGCATGCTGTAGAGGGCAGAGAAGAGCTGCGGGCTCGAGGTTAGTATTGGTCATGCAACAGCAGAACAGAGGCAGTACGGGAGCCAAGGGGACACACCATAACACCAAAACTCAAGCTGAGCGACGAAGCGAGGAACGCATTGCTCTCCTGGATGCGAAAGTGGCGCTTGCCCGGGAGGAGGCGGATCGGGATGTCGACGCAAATCACAGTGGCGCCGGCAATGCACGCCAGGCCGCTGAAGGCGCACATAATCCAACCCCGGGTGTCGTTGTCCATGGCGCCGGTGTTCCGGACGGGCCGGAGAGAGAATCAAGGAGCTCGTAGCGGGAATCGAAGGGTAAGTCAAGGAGGATCGAGGCGGTTTTTGAGAGATGCGTGGTATATATTCTTCTATCAATAATTCGTTTCACGCGCAACGTAGGATCGGAAGAGGCAAGGATCGGAGAGGGGCGTCATTCGGGTGTCGAAGATGGAGGAGATAGACTTAGGCGGGCGCGGGAGCAAAAAGGGGGACGGGACAATGGGCGAGGAAACAAAAAGGGCGGGAGGATCATTGTCATTGCCCAGCCGGATGAGAACCTCGATGGCCATGCGGTGTCAGGAAAGGTCAAGGTATGGGAGTGAACGAAGGTCGCTCGCAGAATGGGGAACCTTGCAGCTTCTTGCAGTTTTCAAGTCCCCCAAACTCCAGGGTATTAGCGGGGGTGGACGGGTTACATTACGGGCCCGGGCCGTGCAATGGAATTGCCCGAGGCCAAACTCGAAACAACCTAGGGCGGCCACCTGCTTTCATTGCGTACATTTTTGACCAAATTCCAGAGGTTAATGCAATATGCCTTCGTAAAAATAATCAAAAATTCATGATTGAAGCCTTCCGGCGGGCATTTCAGTGCTATCGCCACTGATGATGAACCCCCGCGCCTGGGCGGAAGTCGCTGCAGGGATACCGGTCAGCCCTGCAGCGCTGGGCGAGTCGCCGAACAATGATTACCAATGACGGGCGGTGACACCAGGCACCTTGATGGCTAGGCTTGCTAGGTCAGGAAGACACCGCAGAACGCCAAAACGTAGCCAGCGTCAAACCCAACGGTTGTCTGTTTGGCTCTGTAAGGGTCTAGCCCAATCTCGATTGAAAACTCGTAAAATACTTCCCTGGCTTTCAAGGTAACTATCCAATGCCAGGTTGGACTGCTCGTTTCTCAGACTCCAGCTGGCGCCACAACCTGTCACCAGCCTCACCAGGCTGTGGCTGAGGGTGGGGTTGACCGAGGTGGACCCCAAGTTCCGGGCTTGGCATTTTCAGGAACAAATTTCGAGCGGGACGCCGAGACAACAACCGAACAACATCCCACCTCGACGACGACGTCCTCCGCCATTCCCAATTCCCGCTGCGTGAGCTCCCGCGGGCGTCGGAGGGTGTCCTAACCGGCCGACACACGCAGCTGTTTATTTGGGCTTCCATCGCAGCCGAATTGAGGAGACAACCAACCAGAGGGAGAAAACAACAAGGAGGGGAAAACATCGAAAAGGGAAGAAGAACAAGGGATTTAAAAGGAAAACACCCCAAAACACCACCACCATGACGCAAGTCGTTCCCAATGGCTTCCTCTTCGTCTGCTACACGCTCGTCGGCGTCTGCACCGGCGCGGCAGCCACAACCGCCATGTTCATCCACAACCGGCCCCCCCCGCCGGGCATCGAAATCGACACCCCCCCACCCCCCGGCGCCGCACCACCCGGCTTCGGCGCGCGCCTACCCCCCCCCAAAGCCATCGCAACCTCCCCCTTAGCCAGCAACCCCGGGCCCACCCCGTCCTCCCTCCCCCCGCCCAACCCCGCCAGCCCCGTCAACCCAGCCGGGCTCTTCGAATACGGCTTCCCCGGCCCCGTAGCCGACCTCGCCGCCCGCCAAGCCCTGATCTCCTCCTTCGACCGACGCACCCGCAACCCCCACTGGGTCGCCGAACACATCACGCCCGCCTCGCTCGCCCAACGCGACGGCGACCGCAAGAACTCCACTTTCCTCGAAGACGCTTCCATCCCGGAAAAGTTCCAGGCCAAGCTCAAGGACTATTTCCGCTCTGGGTACGATCGCGGCCACCAGGTGCCCGCCGCCGACTGCAAGTGGTCGCAGAAGGCGATGGACGAGACGTTCTACCTGTCGAATATGTGTCCCCAGGTGGGCGACGGGTTCAACCGGGACTACTGGGCGCACTTTGAAGATTTCTGTCGACGCCTGACCGTGCGGTACCCGAGTGTTCGCGTGGTCACAGGCCCGCTGTATCTCCCCAAGAAGGACCCGGCGGATAACAAGTGGTATGTGAAATACGAAGTCATCGGGTCCCCGCCGAACGTGGCGGTACCGACGCATTTCTACAAGGTGATTTATGCGGAGGAGCGGGAGGGGGATCCCAAGGGGAAGGTGGCGTTGGGAGCGTTTGTGCTGCCGAATGCGGTGATTCCGAATGATAAGCCGTTGTCGGATTTTGAGGTGCCGTTGGATGCGGTGGAGAGGGCGAGCGGGTTGGAGTTTGCGAATAAGTTGCCGGTGACGAGACGGAAGAGGCTGTGTGCGGAGATGAGCTGTGCGATGGTTATTAAGGATTATGCGGAGAGGCAGAAGGCGTTTGCTAAGAAGTAGGGGGGCCTGACTGTGTATGGTGTGGTATTAATGTAACGATACAGTGATACAGCGGGGGAGAGGTATATAAAACGTCGTTGCTAGTTAGCTTAGCAGTAGAATGTCATGCTTTCCCCCGATATTTTACGTTCATACACACATCAAGAAATCCGCAGCAAGTGTTATCACATCTCTATAATTCCGCATGTATAGTGAGCACCGAGAGCAATGAAACGGGAGTCGATCGAATAGCCGGGAATCCGTAACTTTTTAATCCGCCGACTCTAACTCGATGCATAATACATCAACCCGATCAACCCCATCCATCCCAGCACCTAACTACCTTCCTTTTCCGAACTCAACCAAACTAATCAACTCCTCTCATTCTACACCTCTACCATCACCATATGCAACCAGTTACTTAACCCGAGTATACTTCCCCTTACTCTGCTCCATCCTCAAACTCTCCTCCTGACTCGGCAACGGCGCCCTCCTACGGCCTGCACCGCCATCATCACCACCACCATCCCCCTGCCGCTGCTGCTGCTGCTGTCCCAATCCAGGAACCCCACCAGCACCACCGCCACCAGCACCAGGCACAAACCCAGGCGGCGGCGGCGGAAAACCATGCGGTAAAGCCGGTGGAAACCCAGGCGGCATTCCCGGTAAGGGAGGAGGGGGGATTAAGCCCGGGGGAAGCTCCCCGCTGCCTGCGCCAGCAGCTGCTGCTGCTCCGGGTGGAGGAGGAGGAAGAGGCGGGACGATACCGTGCTTCTTCATCATCTCGGCGATAGCGGCGAAGTCAGGCGGGTTCTTCCCGTCCAGACCGGGCAGAGGCGGGAGGGGCATCCCAGGGATCGGGGGTGGTGGGACGGGCATGCCGGGGATGGGGAAAGGCGGAGGGGCGCCTGCTGCTGCTGTAGCGCTGGGATTGGGACCGCTGGTGCTGCCCATGCCGGGGATGGCGGTGCCGGGTGGGGGAGGGGGTACGAGGCCTGGGAGGCCTGGGAGACCCGGGATGCCGGGGAGACCGGGGAGACCGCCGGGGAGGGGGAAGGGTTGGGTTTGGGGGTTGTTTTGGAGGTGTTGTTGCAGTTGTTGTTGTTGTTTGAGGGGCATTTTTTGGTCGACTAGGCCGTCCATTTCGTCTTCGAGTTCCTGTTCTTCTTCGGCTTGCCGCATGTGGCGGTGGCCGCGGCGGTCCCAGGTGCCTTGGGCTTCGGCAGCGGCTTCGCCGATGTGGTAGCGGTCGTTGAAGGAGTCGGCCTCGCCGGGGCGGGCGCGGGCCCAGAAGCGCGTGATGCGGTCGTTGGAGCCGGATGCGAGGATGTGGCCGAGCGGGTGCCAGTCGAGGGACCAGATGGCGAAGTCGTGGGCGTAGGGTACGCGGTGGGCGGGGTAGATGGTTTGTGCTGGCGTGGAGGCCGGGTCGGCGCTGTCGTAGGGGGCGATGGAGGCGGAGTGGCCTGGGGGGGTGTTGGGCTCGTCGAGGAGGTAGTGGAAGAGGGAACCCTCGGAGCCGCCGGTGCTGAGGAGGTTTGAGTGGACCGGGTGCCAGGCTAGTGTGGAGATGTCCTTCTCGTGGCCGCGGAGCAGGCAGATGTCGCGCATCATGCGCAGGTCGAACACGCGGGCGGTCTGGTCGCGCGCAGACGTGGCCAGACATTGGCCGCGCACTCGCTCGAATACGGTCTTGGTGATGGTGTTCTTGTGGCCGTGCAGCGTCGTCAGACACCGGCCCGTCCTGGGATCCCACAGCTTGACCAGGTGGTCCTTGGACCCTGATACGATCAGGCCTTTGGTTGGGTGCCAGTCGCAGCTCTTCGCGTCCCAGCCGTGGCCGCTCAGCGTCGACTCGGGCGTGGCGGCCGCAAAGTCAAAGATCCGCAGCGTCGAGTCGTCTGAGGCCGTGACAAACTTGGCGTCAGTCGGGCTGAAAGCTAGGTCTCGCACCGGGTCGGTGTGGCCGCGGATGCTCTCGACGTTGTTGAAGTTGGGTTGCCAGTACTTGATGATGCCGTCGTGATCGGCCGACACCAGCCAGTCGTCGCTGTGCGAGTATGCCAGGGCGCGGATAGCCGAGTCGTGCGCCTGCATGATGGTTTCGAAGTTGAAGCCAGTGCCGTTCCAGAGGGTAAACTCGCCGCTGCTAGAAGCGGTCAACAACCGCCGGCCTTCGGGTGTCCATCGCACCACGTTGACGGGGTGCTTGATCTTGTTGAGGGATGAGTGAAGATGCCGTGTCGGCACTGAGTCTGCTGGGCTGGTTGTCCTCGCATGAGGGGGGAGTATCTGGACAAGTCAGCTGCTGTCATCTACTTCATAGAGAAAATCGAGGTTGCTTACATCGACTATGTAGCTGTTACTCGGTCTTTCAGTCTCCCCCGTGTACGAGCCCTTGTAGCGCGGTTGGCGATGGCGCATCCAGTGGACGATAGTTGCACCATAGTCGGTGACGGGGCCTGACCGTGTTAGTCTCACAATCCGTTGAAGATAGAATGAAATAGCATCACAGCATCATCCGCCGGGACGGGCATCCGAAAGCAGTGACACTGCACGCGGTAGATTGGCTTCGCCATCCTGATGAGGCCCGAATACAGAGACTCAGGAGAACCGCATGGTCATTGACCCACGCCGACGATAAGATATGACGATGCACCCGCAGAAAGAACAAGAAATGAAGAAACATACGTCTGCCCCTAGCCCTCGGTGGTGGTCCATCATGGCCTCCACCGCCGTATCCAAACCCCTTGTCACCGTGATCTCGACCTTCTCGGCCTTCCCGGCCTTCGTATGCCATTGTGAAATTAAAAAGTAATGAAAGAATCAACCAGTCTCAGTGGACCAAATCTGCGGTGGAAGCTGTCACCTTTGCTGCATGGGATGAGACCCCGTTGCAAGCACCCCGGGACGGTTGCAAAATGTAAGCTTTGTCGTCATGCGGTAAAATCTCAAAATCAATTATGCTGAACGGCCAGAATTGAAGGTCGGTATAAGCAGAAGCTGAATTCGAGATGGTCGTGAAGTTTGGTTTCAGTCGCGAACCCTGTGGGTCGGCCTTTGTCGCGACTGCCACCGCGAATTGGTGGTTGTGGTTCTAGTGGGTCCAGAGCTCGACCCAGCATGGAGCAAATGGCATGTGGTCTGTGCGCACATTTGCAGCAACGCCAAGCCATGGCCAGAGCTTTGTTACACTGTGAGGACCTCCAACTTGCCTGCCTCTAACATTTAATTTAATTACCATTACCCAACCAAAAGAAGAAAAACACGGCAAATTTCATAAGCGGCAGGTTTGGTCTGTTCTGTCCACTGCCCGAGGAGGTGTATCTGTGAAAACACTCTATTCACAGCCAGTCCTGGACAATTGGAAGCACTCGATGTACTCGTCACCTAGGTGATGAAAGATAGCAAGATGCAGGTTAAGTGCGTTTGCGCTAAAATCTCATTCGTAGTTAACAACCTCTGGCATATCTCCTTCCTCTAGTATCATTTGCGGTGGCCAGTCTATTCGTCCATTTTTATTAAATCCACCTACAGCCACCGATGGCCAGGATCGCTTAAGGGTGGTTCAAGCACATGCAGCCGTTGAAGCAGGGCAATCCTGCAGTCCTGCTCCAACCACAGCTGCACGCAGCTCGCTTCGGCTGCACAGCTGGAGATAACGGTTTTGACTAAACTGACCATGCCCTGGCCTCCAACATTGACTTTGCCGGCTTTCATGGTGTCTAGAGGTGTGAGCAGATTCATGTGCCCGTCGCTCTTTCAGAAGTCAATTCCACTTTACGTAGGAGATCCCTTTCCCTTTCCCCGACTGGCAGGTTTTTCCACAACGTTTGAAGCTTTCACACATTCGAGATACGGATACCATTGCTAGACTTCTTAATTTAGCGTTCCTGCAGCCCACCCCCAACGGCAGCATGTAGTTCGCCAAGCCGAGCCGTTGTCCCTCGCATCCGAGACCTGCACCGGCACCGCGATCGAGATCACCTAGCCCGTTCACATCATCCACTTTGCGCGCACGTTTGTTCGTTCGCCCAAAGCAGCGGCATTTACCTCCACTGTTCTCCCCCACCCAAGAAATAAATGCGCCTTTATTGCTGCATGGTCCCTTTCTCGTGTATCTGTTCCATGCTTGTTATCGGCCAACCGTCTGATCCCTCTCATGGTGACGACTTATTTCCAGAACCCGCATGTTCTCGGCCGGCCCGAGTGGGGTTTCAATGGCACCACCCCTCTCCTTTTTCATGTGCAAGGGGCAGAACGGAAGTCTTTTTGAGTTGCAGTCAAATCGCAACATCCAATCACCCGAGCTTGAGCTTCCAAGCATCCAGCATCCCGTACCCGGCCGCCCGGCGTATCTTGCTTGGATCGGGGATCGTTTTTCTTCTCCTTAGTAGTCTTGGTCTTTTTGCCCCTCCTCGGCTTTGAGAAGCTCCCACATCAGATGGCGAAAGCTTCTTCCTCGCCCTCCTCATCCTTATTTTTCTTCCCTCTTGCCTCTTCATCAACGAACTCCCTCAGGTACCCATGGTTTTTTAAACTGCCCCGACGGGCAACATAAAAATGGCATCCAACACGACTTCTCAAGCGCAGTCGACCGCAATCGAGGGACCCCTCCTAAGCAATGGCGTCACTCAACGGCCCGCGCAGCCCGGCCCTGTTGACCCCCACGCTTCTTCGTCTCACGATGCGAGAATAACAGCAACATCATCGGAGACTCTCAAGGGATCACTCAACGGATCACTCAATGGATCGGCGAATGGATCGGCCAATGGCTCTGTAAATGGCTCTGCGGATGTGTCGGCGTTGCGTGAGGCGTTCCAAAACAAGTACCGCCATGTTGTTGCTGTGCATTCGCAGTCGAAACCATCGTGTCTTAGCCATGATACTACGGAGACGCCGAGCTTTTTGGGGTTTCGAAATCTGATGGTGATTGTTTTAGGTAGGGTCTACTCCCGGCTAGCCTTTCTGATATCAAGCCTGGGAATACGTTATCAGTCAGTGTTGACACCTGTTAGTCGCTGCAAACCTCCGTCTGGTGATTGAGAACATCCAAAAGGTGAGTGAGCCTGGGATGAACTAGCTTAGAGAGACCATAGAGTTAACCCCCCCAGTACGGCGTCCTCATCTGCATCCGGTGCCACGACTTCCGTCCCAACGACGTCCGACTCGGCCTAGCCCTCTACATGCTCATCCCCTGGCACCTCATGATCGCCTACCTGATCGAACTCGTCGCGGCAGCCAACGCCACCCACTCCCGCTCGGGACCCTTCAGCACCACCCTCAACACCATCAACAACAAACACAACCCCAAACCCCGCGACGGCAGCACCAGCCCCACGCCCGCCGAATCCATCCACTTCCTCCGCACCTGGCGCATCCTGCGCATCTGCCACACCATCAACGTCACCGCCGCCCTGGCCATCACCTCCTACGTGGTCTACTACCACATCCACCACCCGCTCATCGGCACCATGGCGGAACTCCACGCCATCATCGTCTGGCTCAAAACCGCCTCCTACGCCCTCACCAACCGCGACCTGCGCCACGCCTACCTGCACCCCGTCCGCGGCGAGCGGGATGCGCTTCCCGCGATTTACGCGAGGTGTCCGTACCCGCAGAATGTCACCTTTTCAAACCTGGCGTATTTCTGGTGGGCACCCACCTTAGTATACCAGCCGGCGTATCCGCGGACGGAGCGGATCCGGTGGGTGTTTGTGGGGAAGAGGGTGGGCGAGGTGGTGTGTTTGAGCGCGTTTATTTGGTTTGCGAGTGCGCAGTATGCGGCGCCGGTGTTAAGGAACTCGTTGGAGAAGATTGCGGTGTTGGATTATATGTCGATTTTGGAGCGGTTGTTGAAGTTGTCGACGATTTCGTTGGTGATTTGGTTGGCGGGGTTTTTTGCGCTGTTTCAGAGCTTTTTGAATGCGTTGGCGGAGGTGACGCGGTTTGGGGATCGCGAGTTTTATGAGGCGTGGTGTACGTTCCCCCTTTCCGTTCCAGTCCCTTCCCTTTTCGAATCATTACGTTGTATAGTAAAGTATGCCGTCTAATCCCGCAACGCAAAACAGGGAATAGCGAAAGCCTCGGCTCCTACTGGCGCACCTGGAACAAGCCCGTCTACCAATTCTTCCGTCGACACGTCTACTCCCCCATGCTCTCCCGTGGCTGGAGCCGCACAGCAGCCAACACCACTGTTTTCCTGCTATCCGCCATACTCCACGAGCTGATGGTCGGCATTCCCACGCATAACATCATCGGTATCTGCCCTTCTCTTTCTCCCCCAAACCCATAAATAGCGTGAGATAAGAGTCTAACAGAAGCTAGGCGTCGCCTTCCTAGGCATGTTCCTCCAACTCCCCTTAATCATCATCACGGCGCGGCTGGAAAAGATGAAGACGGGGCATGGCCGGCTGCTAGGGAATTCGATTTTCTGGGTGTCGTTTACGATTTTTGGGCAGCCGTTTGCGGCGCTGATGTATTTTTATGCGTGGCAGGCTAAGTATGGGAGTGTGAGTCGGATGCCGGTTGCGAGTTGTCCTGTGTAGGGGTGTTTTTGAGCGGCTCTCTGCTTTTTCTGTCTCTCTTTGGTGAGGTCTTTTGGTTATGGGCAGGCCGGAGGGTTGGAAAGGAGTTTGGGTATTTCTTTTTCTCTTTACATATTCGCAAGGGTTTGGACGGCGTTACGGTAGATCGACGGACGATAGTACAGCATGGCAACATGGGCACAGCAGTACACAACCAAGAAAGCGTGAATACACTACCATTACCATTACTATCGTGATGTCCCGTCCTTCCATCTATGTATGCAATCTATCCAGTCCACCATCCCATGCCCTCCTTCTATAATCCACCCTTATTCTATATTCTCATCGAGGAGTGAGTAAGTTTGTTCGTGATCACCCCACCCACGGAATCCAAACCCCCACCCCCCTCCTATACTCCTCATACTCCCCCCCAAAAAACGCCACCAAATACCTCTCTTCATACCTCACCCTCCCGCTAAAAAACCGCCACAACACCACCGCATACCCCCCAAAACTCAGCACATTCCCCATCACAAGTTGCGTGCCCAACGCCCACCAGAAAAACCCAAAATAACTCGGATGCCGCAACACGCTGTATATCCCACTCGTGACTAACACGTGGTCCCGCTGGCGACGGTACTGTACCGTGTGGTTGAAACTTTGCGCTGCGTGGACCATGGCTGCTGAGCGGACGGCTTGGCCGGCTATGACTAGGGTTAAACCGACGGCAACGAGGAACCGGGTTCCCGTATGGCCGAATAAGGGCGTCCAGGAGGTATTAGGCCAGAAGAGGTTCGTGATAAAACATTCGAGCAAAGCGGTGGTGTGGGCGATGGCATAGGCGGGCCAGTTGGAGGTGAGCAGGAAAGAGGAGACGGCGGCGGCGCGGGTGTTGTAGGTGGCGGTGGTGTAGAATTCGAGGAAGTGGAAGAGGGAGAGAGCTGTGAGGAAGAAGGGGAGGCGCCAGAGGGGGGAGTTGGTGAGAGTCAGGAGGAGGAGGGTGGTGAGCAGGCTGAGGGAGAGGGTGATGCCCAGGGCGAAGGCGCGGAGGGCGATGCCGCGGAGGGATTTGGGTTGGGAGGGGAGGTAGGGGTGGATGGGGTCGTTGTCGTTGTCGTGGTTGTAGTCTCGGTCGTAGTCTCGGTCGTAGTCTCGGTCGTAGTCTCGGTCGTAGTCCCGGTTGTAGTCTCGGTTGTAGTCTCGGTTGGAGTTGGTGCTGTTAAAGAACCTGTCAGTGGGCTGTGTCCGAGAATAGGAGTTTCAAGAGATAGGTCTGGCATACCGGCCTGGTGACCAAGGCTGTCGGCGCGAGCCGTTCACGCCGTTGGTGCCATTTGTGCCGTTCGTGCCGTTCATGATGGGTGCTCGCACGACCGATGCTCACTCGCCCGTGATCTTAGTCGGTCATTCCGGTCGATTGTCGATTGAGTATTCGCAGTTGCGCTAGAGGTGCCGGCATAGAAATCCTGTGAGTTCTCGGCAACTTGCTAACGATATCCCCGTAAGGTGTTATGTTGAAGCCTTGAAGCTGCAATGACGCGGTTCGAGTTGGAATGCCAAGCGGCCCGTCGCGGTCAACTTTACATAATTTAGTGAATTTAGTGGATGGAGCCCTGAATCGATCCCCCACGTGGAGGGACAGGGGTTTCAGCTGTGCTGCACTGCATCAGCCCCACGGCGCTTCGAGCCGGGGATGCATGTACTGCGTAATGATCTGAATGCATGTATCCCGTACATGCACATGATGCATAAGATATACATGCAGCAGCACGCGTCCAAGGCCATGATGCACGCGTTACAGACCACCCTGGATACGGAAGGACGAGACGACCAGCACGAGCACGTTGACCCAGCCCCAGACAAACGGGATCCAGGTGGACATGGTGAAGCCGCCGACGAGGTAGCTCGCTCCGACGCTGTGTCTAGTCAGTATGCGGTTGACCCAGTATGCCACAGTCGAATAAATAGGCCGAGAGAATAAAAACGCGAACCCACATCAAGCCCACCAACGTCCCAGCAATGAGCGCCTCAAACCCAGCAATCAAAGCATACACCAGCGGCACGAGCCACAGGTACCTCCAACTGGAAATGCGCTTGCCGCCGCCCTGCATCAGCACGGCGACGCCGACGGCGCTGAGGTGGAACAGGCCGTAGAGAATGAGGGTCCAGAAGAGGGTGAACTTCCACATCTCGTCTAGCTCGTACAGGATGATGCTGGCGTCCTGGGGGGGCCAGAAGAGCGAGGGGAAGGGCGGGATGGTGTATGATGGCGGCGCGTCGCGGCGGATGGGGCTGGGCTGTTAGATTTGGAGATTAATTGGGGGTGCGAGAGAACATACGATGGATTGTCCATGGCTGCGGATGGGGGGCCGACTTGGTGCAGCCGGCCGTTGTTGTGTCTGTCGGTTCTTTGTCGTTGTTTGCGGATTAATTTGAGGCTGCGGCCTTGGGGAGTTTACTAGGTAGATATGCATATACGGGGGTCTGCTAGCTGGTAGCTGCATCCAGCTGATGCCTCGGCTCTCGGCTCTCTTGTCCTTACCATTCAACATCAACATCCAAACACAAGAACCATCACAACAATCCGTCGCAATAAGTCATTGCAACTCGCTGCAACCACCACAGAACCCCCCCATGGAATAACACGCCCTCAAAAAAAAAACCGCCATGTCGATCGACCGTCTCCTAACAACAGTACTCCAGCAGTACCAAGACATCCACGACGATGCGCGCACCGAGCAGCTCTTCGGGTCGACGGCGGTGCTCCTCACCAACCTAGCCAACCCGCTCAACCTGTCCCTCCTAACCTCGCAGCTGCTCATCGCCCCTGCGATCTGGGGCCGCCGCGATGGCATGCGCACGTGCTACCGCATCATCAGCATCTTCAACACGGCGGCCATCCACGTCCGTCGCAACGAGCTTGAGAATGCGCAGAATAAGGCGAAACTACAACAACAAAAGGGGAACTTGGGGAATGTACCGCAGCAGCAGCAGCAGCAGCAGCAGCAGCGCGCAGGCAGTGGGTTGTCAGCCAATGCCTGGACAGCGGCCGTGTTGAAGGGCGCAGACGACCAGTCAGGCCGCTGGCAGCATCTGCTGGTGTTCAGCGGCGTGTTGATGGGCATGGAGGGGAACCAGCGGCAGTCGCTGAGCCGCGGGATGCGGGATACCGTCGAGCGCGCCGTGGTTACAGCGACCAACCTAGCCGTCCGCAGCCGCGATCCGGAACCCCCCGCTCCCTCGGGCCCCGTGGCGCTAGCGCTCAACTACGCGTTCCCGCTGCTGTCGGATGCGACGCGCCACGGGCTGGACGGCGATGCGCTCGTGCCTGTGGCCACGCGGGCAATGTTGGGTGGGGATGGGTTGCAGGATGGTTTGTTTTTGGCGGGGATTGATCAGGATGTGCGGCAGGCTGAGCAAAGATTCATGTGGGAGGAGGTTTCCCCGTCGTATCTGCACTTGCGTCAGCTCGAGCAGCGGCCGCTGGTGGCTGGTCTGGGTCCGCTGTCGACGCTGCTGGCTTTTGCGGTGTCGCACGCGCGGGATGCGGGTGTGGTGCACCAGCTGCAGGATGACCTCGTGGCGTTCACGGGGAGGTTGTTGCAGCACTGGCAGGCGAGCAAGCTGTCGGAGCTGGATATCTCAGAAGAGAAGCTGTTCTTGACCCCCGAGACGCTCGACACGACGTGGCAGGGGCTGTGGAACTTTCTGAAAAAGGTCATGTACGCCGTGGTCGCGGTGTTGCACGCCGTTGTCGCCCGCAGTCTGCTTGACGGCCGGTTGATGCACCACACCGTGGCCCCCAGCGTGGCGTCCCAGACCCTCCACGCCCTGCGCAACCTTTATTTTGTTTCATCCCGCAACGGCAGCGACGCCTTCCAGATCTACGCCTTCACCTACCTCACCTCGCTCGACATCCTCACCCGCCACGGCCCGGCAGCCGCCGCCTTTCTCCGGTCCATCCTCCCGTCTTCTTCCCCTTCTTTTGCGCCCTCTTCTTCTTCTGGTTCTCTTCCTCAGGGGACCACAACCATCCCCCTCCACCCCCTCCACCGCACCCTCGACCTCTTCTACCTCAACACCGCCGAACACCTCCCACTCCACCTCCCCACCCCCGACTGCGACGCCCTCATCATCCAGCCCGCAACAGCCTACCTCCACCCGCCCTCCCCCATCATCCCCCTCTCCGCAACCATGACCCAGCTCTTCGAAGCCGCCCACAGCGCGGTCCTCTCCGTTCTCTCCTGTCCCCACAACGCGCCCCTCACAGCCCCTTTAGTCCCCTTCTACGCCGACGCGCTGTTTGCTGCGTTCCCCGCGCATATTTCGCCGAGGCAGTTCCGGTTGGCGTTTAAGACGCTCGTGCAGATTCTGAGTCCGCCGTTTGCGAGGGAGTGGGAACAGGCCGGGTTGGCGGATGTTTTGTTGGAGATGGTACGGTTTAGGGTTGCTGGGGCTGGGTCGGTTCCTCTTCACCTCTCTCCCTCTTCCCCCTCCTCACCACCACCACCAGCCTCCGGACCAGCAGCGGAAGAAGGAGAAGACCTAACAGAACAATCCTCCCTCGTCCTCGCGTTAATCGACACTCTCCCCTTTTTGCGGGCCGACATGTTCGAGGAATGGATGGGTTTGACAGCCGCTGCTATCTCGGATATCGTCGGGGAACGGTACCGAGAGGGTGTGAGGAGACGGTTCTGGGAGGTGTTGGTTAGTGGGGAGATGGATGTGGAACGGGCTGCTGTTGCTTTGGGGTGGTGGGGGACGAGGGGGGGAAGGGAGGCTGTTCTTTTTGGGGGGGGTGTTCCTGGGTCTGGGTTTGTGAGAGGAGGGGGAGATAAAGGAGGGGAGTTTATGATGAGTGGTGCTTTGGTCGAGGAGGGAGGGAGGGAAAGTAAGCTGTGACGGGGGGGGGGGGGTGGGGGGGGGGGGGGGGGTTATCGTGAGATGTTGGAGATGGGGTGTGGTGTTCGGGAATGGTGGGTTGTAGATCTTGGTTTAATGATGATGGTACAACAGGGGGTGTTACATACGCACTCACATGGATTACACATGGATCACGCATGACTTTCCCAGAACATAAAACACAAAACATAACAGTGCAACTGCAGATCGCCATAGATTGCCAGGCTGTAGCTGTCACACCAACCAATTTTGTCCTCATCTTTGCATTCTAGAAGGACTCAACAGGTGGGGCGTAAGAGAGCAAGGCGAGCTAAGTAGAGCTGAGCTAGCCAGCCCCATTATACAACACACGACACGACTCACAACATACAGCATACAGCGCAGCCCAGCACACAGCACAGTCCGCAGTCCACAATATCCAGCTCAGGCGCACAACCCCCACCATATCTAACATCTCACATTCTCACTTACTCATACTTCGTTGGCACAGCCCTCACACGTCCCTAATATGCCTTGCTTAATCAGGTCCAGCTGGCCTAGCTCGCTATGAAGAGGAGAGGGCCTGGCTTTGTTTCAGGAAAAGGGAAAAGGGGTAAAGGAGAAGAAAAGGGGAAAAGAAATGTGTTAGTGGGCGTCTCGCTGGCTATCTCGTAGTTGGTAGTTGGTGATGAGGCTGTGGTACTACCGTGAGTGCTGCTATAGATGACTGTATAGGAGAGCTAAATTACTTCTAAGGTGCGTGTTGTTAGTCTTGGTAGAGGGTGTGGCGTTTTTGGTATGCCTGATCTCCCCCTGACGTAGAGATAGTTGATAGACATATTATATGAGTTGGCCTTTGAGCTGGCTGGCTGGCTGGCTGGCTGGCTGGCTGGCCGCTGCGTGATCTCTGTGTTGGTATTGAAATGACCTGTCAGTAGCGTATTTACCAGCTTGCTGCTGGCATGATAGAAACCTGCCGCTGACTCTGACCAGCCTGGGGGTGTTGTAGATATTGGGAATAACAAAGGGACTATAAGTGGTATATAACGGCCCCCTTCTCCTGTTCCTCCCGGTCGAAGAAGCAGTTCCCTTACCAGAGCTTACCATACCCCTTTCCCATCAGCTTCTGGGTTCACTTTCTACGACATATCCATTCGAATATGACTAAGTCTAAGTCTACCACACCCATTTCTCACATCAACATGACACCCAACTCTCACATCAACATACCACCCAACATGACGCCCAACAACACCAACCCAAACCCCCTCACCTACCACGCTCCCGCGCACCCCCGTCTCGCAACCCGCGCCGACCCCAGCCCGTACGGCGGCCCTGACCCCGACGATGACGAGTGGGATGATCTGTCCGACTGCGATGACGACGATGAAGACACACCTGATGATGATGATGATGATGATGATGATGACGATGACGAGGAGGACAAGGAGGGGTATTATATTGTTGATGAGGGGAGTATCCGCCACAAGCAGCCTCAGCGTGCTGATGAGCCTGGTGATCGCCATGGGAACAATGGTAACGATACCGGGAACGGTACCGATACCGGGAACGGTACCGATACCCGTAATGATGGTGATAAGGAGGATGAAGAGGAGAAGAAAGGGAAGAAGGGAGAAGAAGAGGTCGAGGACAACGACTGGGTCCGCGATGGATATGCCGTCTACGACGAGGACCTAGACGGGGAGGGCGTAGCCGTTGAACACCCCGATGAAGACGAAGATGAAGACGAAGACTGGAGCTACGACGGGGATGATGAGGATGATGGGGATGCTGAAGAGGCCGACGACAACAACAACGACAACGATGGCAACGAAGTCTTCTGGGACGCCGGTGAGTGGGACTTTGGTGGGGATGGAGAGGACGGTATGGATGTTGATGTTGATGTTGATGCCGAGACGGGTGGTGTTTTGGTTGGGGGCTGGGATGCTCAGGCTTTGGAAGGGTCTGGAGTTGGGGTTGATAGGAGTATTGGGGTCGGTCAGGGGGTTCATCACGGACAGGGAGATGGGCAGAACAGTCTGGACAACACTGGTCTAGATCTCGCTGCTCTTTTCGGTCGTGGGCCCGCGGATGAGCTGCTCACGCTTCTTGGAGCTGGGCAAAATGGTGTCTCTAACCTCGGCCGGAACCCAAACCATAACCGTGCCAACGACAGCTTTATCGACTTCATCCACACCTACCATGTACCTTTTCTTCTACCGCCCTCTGCCTCTCACTTCCACTCTCCTCAGCCGGCCGGTATCCTCGAACGCTACCCAAACTCTCTTTCTCAACCTCCTCCATCAACACAACATCAACGCATACTACCAGAGCCCCCAATCCCCAGGACGAACACGGCCAGGCTGTTCATCCCACCAACGGTAAACCCTCTCCTCCTCGCTTTCCGTCTCCGTCGGGATAGAAACGGAAACGGAACTAGAAACGGAAACGGAACTAGAAGCGGAAACGGAACTAGAAGCGGAAACAGGAACGGAAACACAAGCGGAACCCACCGAGGTAGAACCCCCTTTCCCAACTTCTTCCACCTCCCCACAACTTCCCCCCTCCGCCGGGCTGCTCCCTCATTCCTCTCGACCGCTTCCGGTCCCGGATTTCCCCCACCACCCGCCAGCGCCTTTCCCAACCTCTTCTTCGAACTCCAAGACGTCTTGTCGTCTTTCGAACATCAACGTCGACAAGAAGAAGAACACCAAGAGGAACGGCAACAACACCCGCTTCCCATCGTCCCTGTTACTCACCATCGCCATGGGCACAATTCTTCCGTGTACCATTCCCCTTCACCGCCAATCCACCCCCGCGAACCCAACGGTCCGCTCTTTACACTGACAGAGATGAGGCAAGAGCCGGCGGGCGAATCACCGTGGCATCGGCTGATGGTGGAGCGGTTTGGGGCTTGTGAGCGGCGGGGGTGTGAGTGGTGCGAGGGACGGTTTGAGGGTGGTAGATAACTAACTCCTGTGTTCTGGTGTGTGCATGAGTTGGGTTGGGGCGGTTAGGATTGTGGAGGGTGTGGTTTGGGTTGGCTGCGGGGCTGAGAATGTGAGAAGAGAAGGGGTTGGTTTGTTTTTGGCTTAACGTTTGATGGGTTGGGTGAATACCGAGTATCGAGGAGTGCTGTGTTTTAGGCTCGTTGATTTTTTTGAATTTTTTGGGTTGGTTGGTTTCTGGTGCAGTTCGGTCAGTTGTTATTCACCGCAGGACGCGGGATACATGAGTTCTTCTCGTCTTCAAATATCATCTTTTACAGCAACAAAATACACAAGCTAGTTTTAGTTTACCCCCGAAATCACTTTTATTCCCCCAAACGCCGATAGCAAGGGTATACCATCAACTCCCATAACCATGCCCATCGTAAATCGTATCATGTCTCCCCACTCTCCTTCGCGTCCATCAGCGCATCCAGATCAATCAGTCTCCGCATCTCAGCCCACTCCGTGTCAAATCCGGGCTCAGACTCGGTCCAGATCTGCTGCTCTTTCCCTCTACCCCCAACCCCTTCCAACAAACGCGGGTCAATAGCATCCTCCTGCAACTCCGGGTGCGTCTTGCGAATATGCTTGTCAAGATCATGATGCCGGATAAACATAGCATCGCACCCCTCCACCGAACACGGGATCGTCCGCGTCGGCACAGCCGCCGACATCTCGTCCTCCTCCCCCGGCCGCGCCGACTTGGCCGTGTACTGCATCGCCGGCCGCTTGCGTCCGAGGTGCACGTACCGAACATGCTCTTCCAGCTTCATCTTACTAATAAACGGCTGTCCGCACCCTTCCTCCCGCCAGTTCCAGTCCGCAATATCCGCGATCTCGTCCGTGTCCACCTGGCCGCAGACGAACCGCACGCCCTGGTGGGCGGTGCGGATGTGCACGTTGAGGTTGGGCACCCGCGTGAACTTCTTGCCGCACCCTTCCCACGTGCAGGCTATCGTCTTGCGGTCTTCGACGGTCGTCCCGGAGTGGTACATGTCCACGTGCCGCTCGAGGTCGGATTGCTTGCCGCACCGGACTTCGCAGAACACGCAGTTGATGTGCTCTTTGCGCATGTGCGTTTGCAGCATCAGCAGTGTTCTGAACCCAACTCTGCGTCCTTTTTTCCCATCTCGTTCTTCCTCCTCGTCATCATCTTCCTCTTCTCCTCCTTCTTTATCTGCTTCCTCCCCCCCACACTCCTCACACCAAAACCTCACCTCCCCATGCTCCCTCTCCACATGCCTCCTCAACGCCCCCGCCGAATCAAACCCCGCTCCACACTCCCTTCCATCCCCCCCCTCCTCAGCCCCCCTCGCACAAACAAACGCCGCCAACCCCAAATGCGCCACCCTCACATGTCTCTGCAACGTCTGATGCTTCCTAAAACTCAACCCACACCCCTCAAACCCGCGACACCGATACCTCTCCTTGCCCTCATGCACCGCCGCATGTCGTCGCAGCCTCGTAGCCGTCACAAAGGATTTATCACACCCTTCCTCACCACAAATATACTTTTTCTCGTGCGTGTGGGAGCCCTTGATGTGCTGCGCGAGGTGTTTCTCTTCAAGGTAGGTTTTGGAGCAGGGGGGGTAGGGGCATTTGTGCGGGCGGTCGTTGGTGTGCGAGCGAAGGTGGGCGGTGAGACGCGCCGGGCGGTTGAAGGTTTTGGGACAGGAGGGGTAGGTGCAGGGGATGGTTTTGAGGTCGGAGGGGAATTTGCGGGCGCGGCCGGCGCGGCCGGAGGGCGTAGTACCCGGGAGTGAGGTGGCTGCTGTGGTGGTTGGGGGGGTTGGTTGGGGGTGGTGGGTGTCGGAGGGGGTGCTGGTGGTGGCTTTGTCGTGGGAGTCTGAGACTTCGTCTTCGTCGTCGGGGTTGAATGTCGGGTCTGGTTCTACGGCCCGAGGATTACGGGGTCGAAGAGAGAGGGATGCCGGCTCTTCGGTTTCGATTGAGAGCGGGGGATGTTCAGTTTGGCGTCGCTTTGAGGAGCCCAATGGCTCCCCTTCTCGGGGTATTGTTTTCCGTTTCATGACTCTAGCGGACGAGGGTGTAAGCCCGAGCTTGTACGGTGATAGAAACCCAGCATCGAAAAGCTACAATTCGAAGTTGCCCAGAACTTGATTTCTCCAACTTTTTTGTGGGTGCGGCTTGAGCACCAACTTCCGGCAGGCAATTGAAAAGAAACTCACGGACCACTTCAAACCAATCAACGCGCGTCCACCCCTGCAAGGCTGCGAAAGCTCCCAGCCTCGCAGCAGAAGTGGCCCCACTCAAATTTTTCACTGTCCCTCCATCAAACCGCCCCTGCCATCGATCGCAGCCGCTTCCGTCTTCAACAAAAGGAAACGCGCGCCCCGTCTCATCTCCCCGCCATTGTCACCCCCATCCCATCCCGTCCCGCGCGGCAATCTTCTTCTCGTCACCGAACCCCGCCTTTTCATTGTTCGGCTCCCGTCTTGATCCATCATGTCTGACTACGGCGGAGACGACGACCGCGAACCTCTGTAAGCTTCTCACCGCGACGGCCTGCCTGCTCCTTCACAAGAACACACACACAAGCCGGAATTACCCCCACTAACCGTACTTCCAATCCCGTTTAGCAACGACGAGCCCGCCTTCGACGAAGACCCCGATGAGTACTACGAGCCGGAACCCGAGCCCGCAGCCGACGACGAAGCCGGCCAGCTCGGCGACCAAGACGGCCTGGGCGCAAACGGCGGCGGCAACGGCGCAGCAGGCGAGACAGACCACGTCATCGCGTCGGGCGACCCTAACGCGGCGGCCAACCATGGCAAGGGCAACGAGAAATCGCACAAGGACAAGAAGATCCCGAGCGACCAGCGCACGACCACGCCGTTCATGACCAAGTACGAGAAGGCGCGCATCCTGGGCACGCGCGCGCTGCAGATCAGCATGAACGCGCCTGTGCTTGTGGATTTGGAGGGGGAGACGGACCCGCTGCAGATTGCTATTAAGGAGCTGCGCGAGAAGAAGATCCCGCTTATTGTGCGGAGGTATCTGCCTGATGGATAGTATGTGATGACTCGACCTGATGCTCCGCAGCTGGAAGAAACTAACGGAGTGATAGCTACGAGGACTGGACCTGCGAGGAGCTCCTCCAATGAGGTGCTGCGCCGCTTTGTGATTGTGTAATGGAAAACAAGAAAACCGAGATTGCATTAGCGAGGGCGTTGGGGTTTTGCTGCTTTTGGGAATAGGGTAATGCAGAGGTGGACGAGCGGGAGGATATACCAATTCTCTCCGTGCTGTCGCGTCGGAGACCAGAGCCGTTGACTCAATCTCTTCCGTGACTCGGATCTAGACTTTAGCTTAGGTCCGTAGATCGAATGGAGGATGGGAGCTAGGCGAGCAGAGGACCGACGTTTGTAGAATAATGGCGAAAGAAACGCTTTCCCTCCAGATGAGCCCTACGCATCCCACAGATTGTCTCAATCTTCATGATTATTTCTGCCCACCTCACCCACCTCTTCCCAATCCCGAACAACCATTGACCCATCCATCCCCCTTCCTCCAGCCAAACCCCCAAAGAAACCCCCGTACCCAACCCCAACCCCAACCCTCACCACCTGCCTGCAGCATGTTACCTACCCGTATCCACTGACTCATCCACTCATCCACTCCTCTCTCCACCCACAAGCATAAAACCCACAAGCAAGCATATAACCCCCAAAATTCCCTCCCCCCTTCCATCAAATCACAAGCGAGCAAGTGAGCAAGCAAGAAAAAAAAAAGGGTGACTAGTCTAGTGGTCAGGACGTTTCGTTGTGGTTATTCGAAGGGACCCTAATGGGTCTCCGGGTGCTACAGAAGAATTACCGAAGAAACCCCGGTTCGATTCCGGGGTCGCCCAGATCTTTTGTCTTTTCTTTTCTTTGATGTTTGATATTTATGGTCTTATTTTAGCTGTCTGTCTTGCAACCGGAAGTTCGCTTTTTTTAAGGTGTGTTGTGGATATATGCTGATTTGGGTTTGTTCGACCTGGTGGTGTTCTTCTCTTAAGAATAAGGTGGACTATTCTTGAGACTGAGTTTTCTGGTTTATTCCCAAGGACTCCGGAGGCAAAACTGTTATCGTTTTTATGTTCAACCTCACTTCTTCCAACATATACACCATTTTTGACAATCATCACGTCTCAGTTTGCTCTCCCACGGAATAAAACGAAACATGCATGGAATCAAACCCAATTATTTACAAATCAATCAAGGAGCGTAAGAGCCACACATT